TAACAGAAAACGATGATAATTGTTCATTCAATTTAACGTAATTATTTTCTAATCACAGTAATCATTTTATTAAAATTGTACTGATAGAAAACAACAGATCTAAATTTTTAATCTGCATTTTCTTTCCCCCTAAAAAATATTTTCTAATTCAAAATAAATCTCATTTTCCGCATCCAAATTCTAAAAAGAGAATAAAAAAATTCTCTACGAATAAAAAAAAAAAAAAACGAACCTGACGATAAGTCTTGATCCTGTGAAGGTGGAGTGGAATGTAAATCGTTGTATCCGGTTATAAAAGTACCATGACATGAATTACTGTTATCACTGGGGTTCACATAACACGTAGGTCCAGTGATACCGTCTAAACGTACAATTAAGCCGGCATCAACAATTTCATGTGGTCCACGACTTTTTCTCACTGCTGCCAATGTATCCCAAACTTTACTTGCAATTGAACTTCTATTTCCATGGGGTGATCTTGTCTTGATTGTTTTTGATTTGCTTTTTTTTGCAATCTTGTCTCGGCTCACTTTATCGGGCACTGAGGTGCTACCTACTGTGAAGTCGTGTTGTTTTTACACCCTTCCGCGGACATCTCACCGGCGAGAGTTAACGCGCGCGCAATAGAACATCTCCCAGAGTAGTGTCTCGCCGGTGAAAGCCCAAAAACTTTTCACACAAGAGGAAAGGTATACATATATATAGACTAAAGGAAACTCTCAACTCGGCACAGACAGACTCCCTCGTTTTCCGGCATCTGCTTCCCCTTTTCAAGTGAAAATACCAAGAATTCTTTCACGTTCCTTTTACAGTAGAAAATGAAACGTTTTTTGCGAATTTCGGAATTCTTTTATTTTTTTTTCTCTCTAAATTACTCACGAATTTTTATCTTAAACGGAAACAATTTTTGAACAAAGAATACGATTCTTCGAGTGAAAAAAGGAACATTATTTTCAAGTCAAATTAAACCTGTCAACATTATTTTTACTGAAGAGGAAAAATCTAACGAGCAAAAAAGAAAAGTATAATTCAAATTTTTAAATAAAAATTTTTTTTTATAAATAAAATTTAAAAAATTCCACATTTTTCTAAATATTCTATGAGATAATTTATTTACTGTGGCAAAAATACAAGCAAAAATGTCAAGAAAAAAAAATAATTCTGTTTCAGTGAGTCATCAAGACGTCATCAAGACAAAGGAATTATAAATAAAAAAAAAAAATATTCTAAATATTTTTGTAAATCACGACAAATATTATCAATAATAATAAAAATTTAAATAACACTTGTTTAAGAAATATATATACAAAAATATTCAAAACTTCCTTTAAATTAATTAAAAAATGTTTCAAACAAATAATAAAAAAAAATTAATATGTCAAATATAAAAATCCTTTTAATTAAAAATTATTAACAAAAAATAAAACATTCTTTCCAATTTTAAAATCAAAAATGTAAAAAAAAATTACATAATGATTTAAAAATTGTTTTTCTGCAACAATTTGAGAATTAAAAAAAAAAACTAAAAAAATAATATTTAAAAAATGACAAAAAAATCCAATATACCAACGTTAAAAAAAAATCAATACCGAACAAGATGCTTGTGCAAAAAAAAAGTACTTGATATCATTTGCATTAGTCAAGGGTTGTAACTCGGTGAAAAGGCCCGGAACCTATTCAATTTCCTCCTCTAAGCAAAACCTCAAGTTCAAACCATTAAATTCAAATTGTCTGGGACCTGACGAGAAAGCAGAGCCTTTCATTCTTTTTTCTTTTCAATTCTTAAACATTTAATTTGAAACGAAATTACATTCTTTACTCATACAAAAAGAAAGTTTTCAAGTTAATATGAAAAAAAATAAACAAACAAGAAAATATAATAAGAAAATAATATATATTTATACTGACAAATATTTCCTTAATTAAAAAAGAAAAAAATTCACAAAGAACAATAAAACAATATTAAATGTAAAGAACAAGAGAAGCAAAATTTAAATGCAACAAAAAAAAACATAAAATAAAACTCTATTAAATAAAATCCAAAAATAGATTTAAAAAATAATTTCAATAATAATAAAAACCACTTGAAAACTCATATTTCACTTCACTTTTGATTTAATTTTCGCAATTTATTGCAAAAAATATTAAGAAATTAAAATTCCACAGTTTTTTTTTTGTTGAAAAAAGAATGAAATTAAAAATCACTGATGTGCCGAGATTCAGAGTAATTCCTTCATTATTACCATCGATTTTGATTTTCCGATGAAACTTGTTTCTATATCTTTCGGAGTTAAATTTTAAACTTCCAAAATTGCTGACCACCGGGGAACATTTGTTAGGAGTGTGACCCCCATCCAAGGGGTCTTGAAATTGCAACTCCAACATCTGCGACCTTCACAGTTACTTCGGCTCGTTGCTTCTATCAAACTACTGGCTTCACTAATTTCTCCTAAAGCGATTTGCTTCCTTCCCACCGTATTTCAACTTCCGGTCTCCCACCAAACTTCCACACTCTCGTTCCTCTCTTTTCTTCTCTTCTCTTTCCTTTTTTTTTCTTCTTTTTTTCTACTCTTCTCCAACTTTACTATCAAAGAAGCGCAAAACGAGAACGGTACTCTCTCTCACATTCGCAACGAATTTTACATTCATAATCTACTATTGTTTAACACAAAACTCATATATATATATATATATGTGTGTGTGTCTAAGTTGTTAATTGTTGTGCGTTTAATACTCGATAAGTGCCTACGCTCTTTGCGATTCCGACTCACGGAAAAGTTAACGAACTCGTCGAGGAAAAAAAGACAAATAAACTTCCAATAAGCAAAAAAGAATCACAAATTAAACTAAATTTTCTGTTTAAAGAAAAATTAAAGTTTCCAAATTTTGGAATAATTAAAAACCCACAAAAAAATTATAAATTAATTCAATTAAACGGAACAAAAATATTTTTTTTCTCAATTAATTTCTTCCGATAATAATTAATATTAAATTGTTTTTCAAAAATGATTATTATCTTCCGATAAACTGTTTGTTATCTGGAATATTAATTACATTTTTAAAAATGTTTCATCACAATTATTTGTATCTCTTTTACACACAATCACTTCAAATATTTTTCATTTAACTTTTAAAATTTATAAATTAATAAAATTGAGAAATTTTTTTGAAAAATATATTTTTCTGCACATCATTTGGTATTTTGTACTTGTTCTCTTTTCACTACTTCTCACTTTATTATTATTATTATCTCGAATCACAATAAAGTTTCTCAATAATTCATTTTGTTTTAAAAATCTTGCAACTTTCGTAGCAAAAAAAATTTTTGACGAAATTAATGAAAATTTGTTCAATAGAGAGAAAAACAATGTCGCGAGATGTTTATATAGTTATTATTGATATTAACTAATCGCGAGATTTGAGAGGAAAATCGAAAAACTTTTTAGACGACAAACGAAACTTGTACACGATGCCTGCGTGAACGTCAGCGTCTCATTAACTTAATTCCGTTCAGTTCAGCGGGACGTTGCCGATAAACTTATGATATTACTGTAGCGTTGTGTCAGGGCCGTATAAGAAAAAATAAAAATAAACAAAATACTTATAAATTGTGACATCAAATACATCATTCTCGTTATTTTAAATAAAAACAAGTTCTTACAAATTAAATATTAAATAACTTAATTAAAAAATATTTCCAAATTAATAATTTCCAAAAACTTATTCATTTTGAATATTATTTTTAATTATATTAATTTAATCAAGCGGCAAAATATTATAAACCTCAAAATAAAAATACTAACCATAAGAATTTAAATATTTCAAGTAAAAAAAAAATAAATTTACATCTAATACTATTTAAAGTGAAATTAAAATTAATTCTATTTGAATTTAAAATTAAAATATTCTAACTAGAAATTAAAATACTATTTAATAATCAAATTATTATGTAGTAATTTTCTTTGTTCCGATTAATTTAAAAACCAAAAGGAAAAAAAAAAAATTCACCAACAAATAATTTCTGTCGATAATTCTAATGATTGTTATAAGTAAGGGGTCAATGAAATCTTTTGTTCTCTTCTTCTTACACGCACTTGTACAATCGCCGTGAAAACCTGCCTTTAAAGAGTCAAGTACGTGACCATCAGTGCCATAAAATTCTCCTCATGAAAATTAATAATCTAAAGGAGAAGGAAGGACCTTGAAAATCAACTTATCTAATGTCTTTTATATTAACTTGATAGGGAATTCCATTAATTGTGAAAAATGATGATCGATTCAACAACGCATTTTCTTAAAACACAAATTTCATATTATTTTCTAAACGTTCTTTTCAAAAATATTAATTCCCCTTTAAAATGTCAACAATTAAAAAAATAAAATTAAGATTTAATTTTTATTCTTAATTGCATCGAAAGAAAAATTAAAAAAAAAACACACTGAGAGAGATTAAAAATATCAACTTCAAAATATCTTATGGAATATAAGAGCTATAAAAATCAATGGATGATGATTAAAGTTTGCGACAATCTTTTTTTTTGTATATAATAATTGGTGGATTAGTAGCAGATGTTGGAAAAAAAAAAAAAAATTTTCTCCTTTTTTTTTAAACAGCGAATCTTCTATATAGTTGAACATGACGTAAACGATTAAAATACGGTAATATTAGAGAACATGTGGTGCTTGAACGACGAGAGCATCTATACACACACACACGTCCTTGAGAGGTTAAAATTTATGAACAACACGAGCAGAATCAGTGCAACAGCGGTAAATTTTCAAACGCGCATTTCCCTCTATCACACACGACGCTAAAATGTACTCGAGACATACTCAATATTCCCGATAATAACTTGGCAGCATAAAATTGATGACGAATCGAAAGAAAATAGGACGATAGAAAGCTCCAGTCAAAAATCAATAGAATTTTCTTGATGAAAATTAAAAAAGTTAAAAAAATGTTAAGTGAATTAAAAAAAATTTTTTTTTTAAAAACTCACCGTTTTCTCCGTCTGTTAACGTCCCTTCTTCTTCTGACCTTTTGATACGTTCAACTGAAATAACAGAAATTAGAATTTAAAAAAATTTTTTTTTTTAAACGTAATAGAGAAAAATTGTAATTAACTTACTGAGATGCATGTGATTTTGATTGTGGTGATGATGATGATGAGAGGGTGGTTTCCGTTCAGGACGAATACGTTCCATAAATTTGCTGATACGATCATTCCCCTTTTCCTTTCGAACTAAAGGACCGGTACAATTTTCCTCTACGACTCGAACACATTGACGATGTACATTGAGAGTGCAATCTATTGGAAAATTAGTGATTAAATGAAAGATATAGAATTAATCGATATTAATCTTAAATAATTAAAAATTCTATTTAGCAACTAAAGTGATAAATTATTTAATTTTATTATCTGTTTAAAAGCAAACTAAAACTTCAAATTTTGTCTCCGTTTAATAAATATTTAATTATTAATATTAAACAAACAAAAAAATCTGTAATTTAAAAAATGAATTTTCTTACTATTGCATTGATATCCCTGAGGTCCAATTCCACAGATAATATTCTGGCAGTGATTACAATAATCTACAGTAAAATATTGATGAGCTATAAAATGATGACCTCTGATGGTCATTTTTCGCGATTTTCCCGTGAGCAGTCGCGCTTTAATATTTGTTTTATCTTTAGCGACAAATATTGGTACTCGTTCAATAGACACTGGCCGAATTTGAAATATTTTTGTCAATACTGTTGCTAAACCTGCAGCTGTTAAAAATTGACGTAAATCAACATTCTCTTTCTCTATGTCCTCTCTGAAAAATGAAAATTATTAATTGATATTGAGAATAAAATAAACGATAAATTATTATTTTCTAAATTACTTACAAATACGCTTCAACTTTTGGTAAAAGATATTTCTCGATAATTTTAATTTCTCGACTTTTATCAGATTTACTTTCATCGAGTTCAAGATCGCAGGGTCCAAATAATGTTCCTAAACCTGCAATTCTCTTTACTTGAAAATCAGCGAGTTGCTCGTTTAATTCTTCTTTAGCTCTGGCTCTTGCTTTCCAAAAGATCTTGAACAATTATCAATTTATTATTATTATTTCGAAAACAAATTTTAAAAAATGGTAGACTTATGTAAATAAATGAATTAAAATAATTCCTCTATGCTTCGATAATACATACCTTCCTTAAAATCTCTTCTTTATCTGACTCCTTTAAAAGAACGTCATCAATTTCGCGGGCAACATTTTCGTCCACATTGTTGAGACGAAGAGGCTGAAAATATTTTATTAAAATTTATCTATTTTTATTAATATTAATATTAAACAAAATAAATTTCAAAATACTTACAGCGCCAGGAACAAGAAAACTAGAATGTATCTCATATGCCCATTTTCGCATCTCCTTTGCATTCCCTTCTTTGTAGAGATCGGTTATTAAATAAAATAACTGTAACAAAAAAAATATTATTTTTAAAAAATTTAACTAGAAATTTTTGAATCAAAAGAAATAAATAATTATAGTTTCTACTCACCAGACTGGAGAGATCGTTAGTGGATAAGACATAATTTATAAAAACTGCCAGATGTGCATGATGCCCCCATAATTTTGAAAGGTATTTAAACGGACCATGATCCTCCAATTGACCCTGAAAATATAAATTAATACAAAAATAAATAAGTAATTTTCTATTTAAAGATTTATAAATAATAATAAAATATCTAAATTTACAAATATTCATGATAAATTTATAATTTATTAAAAAATTAATAAAATCTTCAAAAAAATAAAAATTTATTTCAATGAAATTAAAATTAAAAAAGTAATTATTTTATAATAATAAAATCAATTATTTTACAATTGCAATAAAAAGAAATTAAAAAATGCATTTTTATGAAAGAAAAAATGCTTTTATAAAAGGAGACTACCCATGAAAATGTAAGGCCAATTTTACAAAAACGAATTCAGGAACTGGAAGCAGATATGGAGTCATCTCAGTGAAAGATTTATGAAATACAAAATTCTAAGGCGATGATGACTCAATGCTTACATGCATCATCGTTGAAAGAAAACGCACATTGCATTTGATAATTATAAGCCATTTGAAAATTTAATGTATTTTTGAAAATTTTCTCAAATATAAATAAATAATAATATATTAAAAAAATACATATTTTTTTTAAAATAAACTAAAAATTCTCAACAAAGAATTTAAAAGTCAATGTTTGAATAAAAAAAAAATTTTCTCTTTTTCTCTATCATACAAATAACTTTTTATTTCAAATATAATTCGAGTGATTAATTATTAAAATATTTTTAAAACATTAATATTGTTTATAAAAATATTATAAAAAGTTTATTTAAAATAAATTAAATAAATCTTACCACTTCTTGATCACTCATATCGTCATCTTCCATCGATATGATTGGTTTTTGAACAGTTGGAAGACCAGGACTGCTTTCGCAGAGGCTCGCATTATGTTTCGGTGACGACGTCGTCAAAAAACTGTTGCTCTAAAAATAAGAAACGCAGCATTAGCACATAAATTAACAAAAAAAAAAAACATATATATATATATATATATATATTCACAAGTCTTTAACGTTGACATTTTAGTTCAATATATTTGTTTCATAACATTTTTCACATTAAAACATGAATAATTAAAAAAATTTCTTGAATTACAAAAGAAAAATTTTTTCAAACAATTTATTATTACAAAAATTTAATTTAACTTTAAAAAATACTAAAAGAAATGAAAAATTATTGAAAATTGAGAAATAAAATAATTTTTTGCAAATCATTAAAATTCAAGAAGTATTGAAAATTATTTTGATTATTAAAATATTGATAAATTCTAAACTTATTGTTTCTTTTCGTATTATTATAAACGTTTTAATAATTTCTTTTTTCAACTTACATCATTTAGTCCAGAAGATGTTAAATTATTAGAATTAGGAATAGGATAAGGTGGAGGTGGTGTTCCTGGTGGTGTGATGTGAGGAGGATCATCCAGGTCGATTCCACTGTGACGTCCATGTCGCGGAGGAGATAAATCTTTCATCGATTCTGAGGCAATCAATAATCTACTGGCTTCCGCGGGAGAAATCATCGTCGTACTTAATTGTTCGGGGCTCGACTTCGTTCGATGATGCTTATTGAGTGAACTTGGTGATCCTAAATGCGCTCCCTGCGACAACTATTCATTTTTTTTTCATTATTAAAATTCACAAACTTAATTACAAAAATACAATGTAAATTATAGAATATTCAATTGTTTTCAAAACTAAAATTATTTTAAAAAAATAAACTAAAAAACATGAAAAAATCAATCTTTGGATAAAAAAAAATAACTGCAAAAAACCAGATTTAATCTAAAACCCAAATGTTATTGGATGACAGTAGACGTTAATATATATATATAAAAAAATGGTAGAGAGTCTAAGGACTGTAGTGTACAGGGGATATTGTTTAATTGTTACTGATTTTTTTTTACAAAATGTGTTTTTTACCTTCTACCAACAAGATGCATTATTTACAAATTTATTCACATTTATATAATAATTAGACCTCGGATTTTTGCTATTAAATTTAAATTTTAAAATCAAAAAATTGCATATTCCGAAGCCTAAAAATTTATTACCTTATTAAACCAAAATTATTCATTCATATTTGCAATTAAATAATGAAAAAAAAAGTAAAATACAAACTTTACTAAAAATACATATAAAAATAAAAATAAAATTAACCTTGTAATTAAAATATTTGCAGATCAGTCGCTTATTTTAAAATCATGATAAATCTATATTCGTCCGATGCTATCAAGCGCACACCATTTTTATTATTATTATTAAAAAAGAAACTTTTTAACTATAGTTCAAGCACCCTGTATAAATAATGTGAAGCCCTGCTTTTGCTGATAAAATCGTATGGAAAATGGAAATTTCTTCTTCTTTTCTTTTTTTTTTGACAAGTTGAGTTACTGTCGCACGAGAGCGATTAAACTACTTACAGAGTTAGGTATGCCATGACTGGTGGTGGGAGGCGTTATATGTGACAGCAGTTGTCGCTCCAGCTGGACTGTGTTGTGCGTGTTTGAAGTGGGTGGTAATGGACGAGGTGGCAATGGGGGTGGGGAAAGACTTTGCATGGAGAGAGATTTTCGGGAAGGTAAGGGTGGCGGTATATCACAGCAACCGCTGCTCGAGGGTAAGTCAAGAACCGCCAAATGACTTGGGGAAGATGAAGTGTTTGTTACCGAGCAAAGCTGTAAGACACAATACAAAAAAAAAGCTTTGTTAAACAATGTTAGCAAAAAAAAAAAAAAAAGGAAAGAGAGACTACACGAGACAAACAAACACATACACAAACACAGACACCTTTTTTTCAATGCCGCACGAATGCTACACAACATTAATTTTTGTCCCTTTGTGTGTGCTTTTTCCATTTTCTTTTTTTTTTCCCTCTTAAACTAAACTATATTATCGTTAATTTGGGACACATGAGTGTTCGACAAAAAAATTATTAGTTCAAATTGTCGAAATTCACAAGGTCGAATTTCTATTTAATTGAATTTTATAAAAAATTTCAAATTGTACTGAATTTATCATTTTTATTTTAACCAAAATCATCATTTAAGAGAATTTCCATTCGATGAAAATAGAAACTAAATCAAATAAAACTTTTATTAAATAAAAATTTTAAAGGTTGAAAATTCATTTCAAATGTCTATTTTATAATATTCAGCTAAATAGAAATTAGGCCTTATAAAATTTGAACTAATTAGTTTTAGGGAATATTCATGCATCCCATTGATCTCTAGCTCCCTTTGACAATCTCCAATAAATCTATTTCTAGTCTATAATGTTAGATGAGTCAGTCTTTAATTTAAGATGTGGCTCAAGTTTGGCAATGTTAATCCTTTTCCTGTTAGGAGTTTGTCTCGCTTTTTTTTTTTTCCTATTTTAACATATTGTAAAAAATTAATGTATTTTATAATTTTTCTCTAATTTGCAAGGATGAAAAAAAAATTAATAATTTATTTATGATTTAAACTTTTGAATGGATTTATTCTTTTTCTTTAAATTTATTTCAATTTTTGAAACATTGTGCAAACTTGAACTACATCAATTTAAGCAAATGGTGTGTTTGAAATAAATGTTTATTGCTTAACAATTGTTTCAAAGCTTATTTACAACTGCCAACTTCCCCTAAAATTATGTGTAACTATACAACCGCACCAATATTATACCCCTGTGTTCAATTTTTTAATGTATTTTCGGGATAGCTTCCCTACTTTCTTTATTAATAATAATAATAATAATAATAATAATAATAATAATAATAATAATAATAATAATAATAATAATAATAATAATTAAAATCAATTATTAAAAAAATAAAAAAACAGCAAATTATAAAAAAATTAAATATCAACAAAAAATTATTTTCTTTTTAAATAAATATTAACATCTAGCAGGAATAAATAATTTCAGAAAAATCAAAAAAAAAAAAAAAGTTATTGATGTCAACTGAAACGGAACTGGAGTCAACATTTAATTTCGTTTCGGTTTCAAACCCGGAACGTAATTAAAAATGTAATTTGATTCCATTTCAAACTCGAAACAAAATTAAAAACGTAATCTGATTCCGTTCCAAATGGTTTCTAATTAAAAATATTATTTATTCAATTTAGCTTTTTAATTTATTATTTATTATAAGAAAATTTTTAATTTACGTTATTCAATAAAATTTAAATTATTGAATTAAAAAGCAAATTTTTAATTCAATTCCAAATTCGAAACGAATTGAAATTAGTTTGTTAATTTGGTTTCGTGTTTCAAAAAATATATATGAAAAATAAATAAGTACGTACATGATCGTTGTTCGATACGGCGTTGAGTCTTTCTTGCAAAACCCGAACTCTTCGTTCAGCTCCATTTAATTCAGTTTGTAATGTCGCGATGCTGTTGGAGTTTCCAGCTCCGACTTTGGCCAATTCACTGCGAAGCTTGTCCACGTAGCTTTGCTCTTTCTCCAACATTAATTGAATTGTAATCACTTTTTCATTTTCCAGTTGACGCTTCTTTTCGTGCTACCAAAGAAAAAGAATTCAATAAGATTAAATTAAAAAAAAAAAAATTTAATGTCTTGCTACTGAAATAAAAGCGAAATTCTTGAAACAATTCTAAAATAACAGTTATTAATTAATTCAAATAGATCGATAAATTTATTAGTTAATAGAGTTCGCAAATGAAAATTGATTAAGAGAATTAAGCAATTAAGATAAGATCATTCATTATCAATTTCAAAAGAATTTCAATAAGAAATCATATTTTCAAAAGAGATCTTTATAAATCTCCAATATTCATAATTTACTGTCTTATTAAGATTATTAACTTTCTACATTTTAATGACTTGTAGATTTTGTTTGTTTACCTTTTGCAAAAGAAATAACTTTATTACCAATAAATGAAACTTCTTTTCAAGAATAAAATAAAAAAAAATGAAAAAGCATAAAATATACTAAAGAAAACAGCAAATAAACGATAAGAAAGTTTTATTAGCGAAACACATGCATAAAATATTAATTTTCAATTTCTACTTTTCTCTTACTTTTAAAAAATTTTTATTCCAAAGAAAAATGAAATTTTTATCATTTTAAAAATATTATTTCGAAAATTAAAAGACAAATTAAAAACATTCTTTAAAAAAAAAGAAGAAGTGCAAGCAAAAGAATAATTTTAAGCAGCCAATGCCCTTAAAAAAATAGAGTCTAAAAATGCAAGCCTGAAAAAAAATTAGAAGATCGTCATTTCTACATTTTATATTTTGTACCGGAAACGGTACCTACGTCATTTCTTATATCTTTAGAGTTTACTACGCATTTACCGAAAATTTACTAACGACAAAAATATTACTTTATTTCAGAAATTGATTTACAATTATTGATTTCCAAAAATTTATATACTCCAAAAAAATTCTAGTTTCAAATTTTCAAATTCATGAAATTGTAAAATAGAACTTTAGTTCTCAATTTTTTTTAGTAACATTAATATTATTTTACTTGCTGAAAAAAATGAAAAGATTTTCAAAAATACATTCATTTATTTCTATTTACCAATGATTCTGACTGACAGTGAAAAGTTTACTTTTTCCCGAAAAAGATTTTAAACAAACAAAAATACATTTTTACGAATTAAAAAGACCGTATATTTTTTTATAGAGCACTTTAGAAAAAAAAATTTTTAATTAATCTTTAAGTAACTAAAAAATTGAAATTATTGAATAAAAATAAAACTTTCAAATTAAAAATTCAAATTTGCCACCTGTAAAAAAATATTATTGAAAAAAATAATTAAAAAAAAAAAAAAAAAAAAGTCGGCTTACATTAACAACTGGCGTGCTGGCGAAAAGCCTCCAAGTTCTTGGATTTCGAAAAAAGCGTGAAGGAGAATCAAGCGAGGATGAAGCAGGGGAAAAATTAATATTATCAAAGCATAATTTAGCTGAGTGTGTTCTGTTGATAGAATGTTGATTGTTGTTGTTTTTGTTGCTGTTGATTTGAAAATTAATGCCAGAATTCGTACGATGTCGATAATAGGGACTTACGTCGGCGGGTTGTGGACCAGTAATACGATCAGTACACGATACGCCTCCAGCTGGTGCTGTAAATGCTCTATGAAGTGATGTGGCGGGTTGCGAAGGTGATACCATGGTTGTACAGCCGGCAATTACACCAGCTGGTTGATGATAGTGATGTTGCTGTTGTCCCGGATGATCGCCAGGTAAACCTGATGCTCCCGAACTCACTGGTTTCTGTTGCACTGTCAAAACCACTTCTGTCGAGGCTGAAACAATTTCAAAAATTATTAATTTATTAATTAATTTCGCGGTTAATTGGATTTATATAATCGTAATTTTTAAATGTTTAATTAAAAAAAAATTCACTATTACATTTAAATATAAAAAATTTGCATTTTACACAATTTTCTGATATAAAAATCCCACAATCCACGTGGGAAGCAAAAATGTATCATTTACAGGAAAAAAAACGTTAATTAACAAAAAAAAAAAAAAAAACAGCAAGACATTCAAGGCTAAAATAATAATTTGTTGACATGGCCAAGTCCACCAACTTTCCATTTAATATATTTCCTCTCTACATTCCTCACGAATTTGATTAGTGATTCCAAAACTTAATTAGTCTTCGATTCTCTGGATAAATTAACACATTATAATTTAGAAGATGAGCAATAAAAGAACAGATAATAAGGAATTTGAAACGAATTTTGAAATATTTTGTGCGAAAATATAAAATATTTTTTTTTTACTGTTTGGCTAATATCACAATTATTTGATTTCCGAACGTTACAAAAAATCATTTTTCTCCCAAATAAAATCTAATTGAAAAAAATATATTCCTGAAAAAAATTGTTGATGCAGCATAACGAATTCACGTATGTTTGCTGAAATTATATTATATATATATATATATATATATATATATATATATATATAATTGCATAAAATTTCATGCCCTAAATACCGGGTTGAGTAATTTTCACGAGATTTCGACTATACGAACCAATGCTTTTCGACGCGGAATTTCAACGGGAATGTGAATTTACCTCGACTAAAAACCTTTACACAGTTGTGCAGATTTAAGTCGGCAGTGACACAGCTGCACGTTATTATTATAGGATTATTTCGAGCGAATAACGTGCAATGGATTTTCTTTAGGTCAGCAAATTGTATTCACTATACTTGTTGAATATATATATACATAAATGTCTTGCCACTAAAGAAAGTAAAACGGTCCCGAAGCATTCACTTCAAAAAGAAACTCATCGCTTCTATTGAATATAATATATATATATATATATATATATATATATATATATATATATATTTCACTCTGACAATTGTCTTTCAAGATTGTTGCCGCGCGACAGTCTCTATTATCAAACCTTAATCCCGTAAATTCGTTTCACTATCGATTATTATTATTTGACAAAGTTTATATTATTTAAAAACAAGATTGCAATTTTATTTAAAATTACATTAATTTTTAATTCAAAATTAAATTAATTTTGCATCAATTAAAAAAAATTTTTTTTAAGTTTATTTTCTCTTCACTAAATTCCTTCTTATTAATTTAAAAATAAGAAAAATTATTTTATTTTTAAAATTATTCCGAATTTGAATTATTAAAAAAGAACATTCTAAATAAACGAAATGTAAAAAACAAATTTGAAATTGTTTTAAAGCAACTGTGTTATAAGAAAGTTGTAAAGATAAACAATCTAACTTTCTGATCGTTTCTAATGGACTCGCAAAATTTTTGTAAAATGACCACTGTAAGAACTATAAAAAAAATACTTTATTTCGGTGAATTCATTAACAAACTTTCACATTCAAAGTGTTTTCTAACTTCAGTGCCAATCGTGACCTTGTCAAGTGTAACATGTCCTTTTTTTAAAAAGCAGTTTATAAAAAATCTTGTTTAATTTAAATAATTAATTAATAATCAATTATTTATTTAATAATTAATGTATTTATTTTCGTATTTATTAATAAATTTCATTAATTATTAAAATAAAAAATAATTTTAATTTCGTTGGAAAATCGAATAAAATAAATTTCTGACTTCAGAGTAAAAAAAAGGGAATTTTTCTCAAGCACGTCGTTGTCGTTACGGTTGATTGTTTATTTTACTTTCCCTATTGTCCAAAGAAATATTTCGGTATTTGATTCCTTATTTTTTTTTCAAGCATATGATTCACGGTCGTTGATGAAAAATTTTTGGTAGGTCATTGGCGTTTTGGGACATCCTGTTGAAAAATCATTTTTTGCGTATATTAAGAGAATGATGAATATTGTGCTTTGAAAATAATTAATACTCTTTAGATTTTTGTTTCATTGTGTGTCCAGAAACGCTTTGTCGTACATGTAATAAATTATTGCAAATAAGCTGGAATCCTGAAATCTCCATTGCACTTTGCAACAAACAACTTGATTCCAAGAAAATTAATAATTGATGAACATTTTTATATTATACTCATGAGACTTGGATTTTTTTTTCTCCTTTCTGGGAAGCATATAATCGCAAGAGTTTTTCCCAAGTTTATTTATAAAATGCACAAACATTTTAAAATTTAACCTTTAAGAATTATTTTGCATTTCAAATCAAAAAGCAAATTAATTTCCGATAAACAATTCGCACAATTTATTATAATATTTATATATAAAGCTTGTTTACTTAAGAAGAAAAGGGTAAACTTGCATTTTTTTTCATTAGTGTGAAACTGGGACAATTTAAATTTTGCCAAAAAAATGTCAACATAATTTTTTTCAGAAAATTTTCTAATTATTATTTGGAAATGCCGGGTGACAATATCAACCTTGCAAAATGTACGGACAATTTCTGAATTCGTGCCAAAAACCTTTCATTTAAGATGACTAATGCTCAATTTATTTTCAAGAAAATCAAAGAAATACTTGAGGCAAATTTTGCCTCTAAAAATTCAAATTCAACTTTTCAACAACAAAGAACTGTGAACATCAATATATAAGTATTAAAATTCCATTGTCAGTTTGAGAAATTTATAAGATGTTAAAAATACGAGCATTTATTTAGAATATTATCCAAACAAATAAAATTGAAATTATGCAAAATCAATTGCATTATTTAAAACTCTCATTTTCACCCAATTAATAGAAAATTAATAAAAAATTTAAGCAAAAGCAAATTTTCAAAAAAAAAAAAATTAAATATTTTTCAATATTAGTTTCAAATTATTATAAAAAAAATAAAGAAATAAAGAACGGTTTAGAAAAAAATTTACATGACATTGTATACTTTTTTAATTTTTGTAAATTGTAAAATTATGTAACTATTTCTTTGATACACATGTTAAAAGGGATAGAAAAAAAGAAAAATTTTCCGAATCTCTAAAAATTTCACTTGCCTTGACCTTATTTTTATTTTCAGTTATATATGTTACATGGAGCCACATGCTCTCATAAACTATCAAATTTTTAAATCATCCTGACAGAGAGAAATTAAAGACTTTAATCCGACAAGTCTTACGAACTGCGGAATAGCCAAAAAAAATTTTAATCCAACAATATATTCAGTGACGAACCTATATTAATGTGTCCTATTTTGCATCAGCAAATAGTTTTTTTTTAAATCAAAATTTGTTTAAATAATTTTTTCAGAAGAAAAAAAAATTCAAAAATAATATAATATAATCAAATTATAATATTGTAATTTAATAAATGTTAATTATTTGTTCAAATTCAATTACTAGTAATATCAACTATAAAAATATCTCAAATATTAAAAATCATTTTTTAAAATCCAATTATTGTAATATTCGATTACTTTATAATTTAATTATTTTATGGAATTAATTAATTTGAAATTTAATTATTTTGTGAATTTTATTGTAATTTATATTTTTTCAAAATCAACCAATATTTGAAAGTAGTATTTATAAATTTTTTTATCTAAAAAAAAATGTTTAATTCAGGTAAACAGAAAAATTTTGTTTTTTTTTAGTGAATCATTCATCCATTTAAGGTAAATTTTAATATTACATTTTTTTCTTATAGAAAGAGAATGCAAATTTTTAAACAAAAGGGAATTTTTTTTATTAAAATCTAAGGAATTGCGAGGTCAAAAGTAGTAGTGGCTACCCAAATAAAGCTCCACGGGAGCTTGATCCCAGGCCCGTTTCAGGTGGTACGTGGTAGGTGTTCTCATGTAGAGGATCGTTTCTCGACGAATCAAGCAATAATCGCACATTCAGAATTTAAAAAAAAAATTCTGTCGGTAACGAAAATTTGCGACACTATGTCTATTCTTTTTTTTTTTTTTTGGTCTCACTTTTTGCAGCCCGCCACGTTTTGTATGTTTCGGAATCAAAAACTAAACTGCGTAAAAGCGAGCCAAGCGCAAAGTTTGTATCTAGTAGCGCGGGCGTTTCGTTGGGAATATTCGTATGTATACCGAGAACCTCGGCCCAGGTGTATATTAATATGAATGACGAGGTCCAGTGTTTACACACTCTAACACGCGACCAAAGACGTGACTGGACCGAGATGAAGTCAACTTAAAAGAGAGAAAGAGAATCGAGCAAGAAGTGTGTACACAAATTCTGCTTCGAAAATCTTTCGAGATGATTTTCGTTTCCTAGATAGACGACACACACATATATATATATATACTATATATATGTATAGAGGCCAATGAAGAGAGAGAATGTGTATTTTATTTGGTGGCTGAGTCTATTCTCGAACCCTGGACTTTAACAAGTTTCATAGATGCTTGAGAAAATGCTAATTAATAGCAGCATCAAACACGCCAATAGAATGAATGAAGATTTCTATTTGAAATGTGAATGGACCTTTTGAAAAAAAAAAAATTATTTTTTCTTCAGAAACATTATTTTTGAGACAAATATTTTCAAACACCAAATTAATAATTCACCAATATTATTTTTGAGTCGATTAAATCTTTGTCACGTTTAATCGACAATTATGCGATTAATCAATGTCCAATTGTCAGATATACATTACATAGCTAGCGTTTTTGCATTAAAAAAAAATGACTAAAGAAACTAGGAAAAATATGGAAAATTATTGCTGGAATTTTTGTAAATATACAAATGAAATATTAAAAAATAGTAAAACAAACAATTAATGAAAAATTAATTATAAAAAAAAATTTTTTAAAATAACAATGTTTGAAAAAAAAGAAATATCTTGAATACCAGGAGACAGAAAATCATGAGGAATAATGTGGAGAGTATTTAAATAAATTAACTGTAAACAACAAGCTCGTATTAATCAGCAAACGGTAGTTTGTTAAAAAGCAAATTCTATAAATGGTACTAGTATGACATTCAACAATATATATTTATATTTTTTCACAAGTTTTTAAAAATTTCCTATATGACTATAAGTAAAAAAAAATTTATCCTATATTGTTAGAAATCAATCTAAAAGTTGAGAACCTCGGCAATAAGGAAAGACCAGAAAAAACTTATTGAGTCAGCACGACGATTACTTCAATCCTGCGTGACTTCAACCATAACTTCCAAGCTTTCTTGCCACAAGAGATCTTCCTTGTTTTATGGAAAAATGAACATTACATTTATTATCTATATCTTTATAGGTGACTTTCTTCACATCCTAATCGGAAATTTTCCTAATAATGATATTCATTTTATTCTCTCAATAATCAAAACATTTCTTTAGAAATTACACACGAATAAGGAAATTCCCTTTAGTTTTAATTATTAAAATTATAAATTTAATTTTTTAAACACTATAAAACTAAAAAATTTTCAAAAATGACAAAAAAAAATTAATAATTCTTGATGTCAGATAATTAAAAGATTTATGTCATCTTCATTAATATATATATAATTATATATAAAGTCAAGAATGCGAGACAAGAGTTTAATAATCGAGAGTGCAGATCACGTGCATAATGTAATAATTGTAAATGATAACAATTATTACGTTCTCTCTTATTCTCCTGCACTTTGGGATAATAAGACTATATACATACAACAACAAAAAGTTTCAGAATATATAATATACCTATATATACATACCACGTGTTTATAAACTAAGACCTACTTTATAATCACACAAATTGATAATAAAACAACAAACACTAAGATTTTTTTTCCATTCTTAAAAAATACACTTTACATTCCAATTGACACATCTGCCTCGAGTTATATCAACTATCTGAAGGACTTTGACAACTTTCCAGCAAGAATCAATTTTTATAATCATATTTTCGATACCTTCCTCACTATTTCACTAAATTCAAAACTTGCCAAAAAAAATATTAATAAAAATAATTCCCAAAATATTAATAAAATTTAAATCATTTCTTCTTAGAAAAAAAATTTCTTTCGAAAAATTAAATTAGATTTCAAGAATTCAAATTCATCAAAAATATCAAATATTCAAAATCATTTCAAATTAATTTTTAAAATTTTCTTTCAATTTTATTCAAATATTATTTCAAAATATAGTCATATATAGTATGAAACAATCAATTATTAAAATTATCATTATCTGAAACTAAAAAATTGTTAAATCAACAATTGAAACAAAATTTTGTAAATCAATGAAAATCAACATTACTCAATAATATTTGTCTTTTATACTAATAACAAAATTCTTACATTATTCAAACTCTTGAAAACTTTGTGTACATTACAAAAAAAAAAAAAAAAAAAAAAAAAAAAAAAAAAAAAATGATCTAATCAATGAGTATTGAATTAATTTCTAAATAATTTCTCGATTCCTATTCAATACTTCATCTCTCGACATCTTTCTTTATTTCTTTGATTGAAAAAACACGTGACATGTATTTGAAAACATGGCGTTGAATAACACAAGTGCTTCTTTCGTGATGAGATCAGTGAATGTACTTCCGCTCCAATTACGAGGAATTAATATACAATTGAATGAACGAGAAATTCCGAATCTTTGAAGAAGAGCCAAATACCAAACTTTTGTCATATATTCTTGACGAGAAGGATTTGTTTTCTCAATTCTCATATATTTGAGAATAGCTTCTTCATATCCTCCGTATCTTGGGGTATTTTTTTTTCAAATGCTAATTGAACGTGACGAAAACTAATCAGATTTCCCTAATGGTTAGAAGAGAGATGAGACGACAAGTGTTAAATTTAACGCTCCATTACATTTGTTGCACAATTTCTATAGGAGTATCATCCATGTGTTCAACTCTTGTTTGTTAAATGACTCTCTGATCTTTACCTGTTGTAGTTTAAAAAAAAAAAGTGCCAAAGAGAGATATAAAGTTGAAACACACAGTCACTGCTATAAACTCATGTGATTACATCACTATATGAATGCCTCGGGCCTGGTACATTCGCGCACGCCGCGCTTATAAGAAGTGTGTGCTTAAATCAAAATGTCATAACAATGTTTCAGTCGCCTGTTAATAAGGCCTTCAATGTGAAATTATAATTGTAAAAAAAAGAAATAATCGAAGAAAAAAAAAATTGCGAGGACAAAATATAACAACGGATGAGAGAGAAACGCAGAAAATCCATATAAGAAAAAGTTGAGAAAACAATATTGCGTTCGAAAAATAAATTTTTTTTTCGTTACTGAATGTAATTGATTATGATCACATTAATTTGAAAAAATTACTATCAGCTACCATCGACTGACAATTATAACGACCATTCTTTGATCAATGATCAAAAATCAATGGAAAGAATTGTTGTAACCGACAAAATGTTATAATCAATTTTTTTTTTTACTTTAAAATACGTCTTTGATTAAGATATATTTTTTGTTTTAATTATTTCATCATTTCTTTTACCATTTTTGTTATTTGAAATAAATTTAATTAAAAAATTAATTCAAAAACTCACCTTTTATAAGTTTCACCACGTCTTCATGTGTCGAGTGCATTACGTCCTCTCCATTCACCTAAAATTAAAATACAAAATTAAAATACCATTTCGATATATATTTAAAAGTGTAAATATTTAATTCTTTCAATAAAATACATTTTTTTCCCCTAATAACATATTTAGAATTTGATTTTCATCTCCAGGTCAACTTTTTTAAATACAAGGACTCAAGATAAAGAAAGAATTTATAAATAAATATAAAAAAAAAAAAACAACACACATCAAAAGTAAAGTTGAAAAAAGTTGGATAAAATTGGAATTCAGAAAGGCAAAATGGCAATTAAAGAATAGCAATGAGTCATTGTCTATATTGTAAATATCTATACTAAATAAAACTCACTTTGATTATTTTGTCTCCAGCGTGAGCTCCGGCTCTGGCTGCAGCACCGCCTACAGTAAAATAAAGATGCATTAAAAATTGAAATAAATAAATATATATTTATCGAAAAACAAGTTTTCTAAGTTTCTAACACTCTCGCATAGAAACTTTGCAAAGAAATACACATATAAACTTTTTAAAACGGATCTAGCCTATTAATAATTTTCTTTAACAATATAACACTCTATCATTTGACACTACGTTTACGATTCAACTGATTTATCTTGATTGATAATGCTATATATATATATATGTTTGAGAATAAAACTTGATTAAAATCACTTATAAGATTCAGTTTATTTCAATTATGTCAAGTGTGATTTCTTTTTTTTAATTACATTTGACAGTAATGTCACAAGACTCACACTGTTAACAAGATCGAGGTTTCCTTTTAAATGGAAAACACACTACTTATATATAGCTCATTAAATTATCAACATTGAGGAAAATCTAAAATGACATCAGAGCGTTTGTTTTTTATTTGTTAATTTAATTGAAAGCAAAAATTGTTTAAATTATTATTATTTTTTTTTTTTTGAATAAAAAGTACAAAACTATTTCTCAAAACATTCAACAATTATTATACCTTTTATTATTAATTTAATTTATAAAATAAATTTTAATAATTACTGATAAATTTTTTTAAATTAAAAAATATAAATTAATTTTTTGATTAGTTAGGTAACAATTGAATTTTTATTTATACCTTTCTTGACTGATTGAATAAAGACGGGATTGTTTCCAGAGACTTTCATCCCATATCCAGCATCATCCTTATAGATGACGAGGATGGTGACGGGTATAAGTTCGCCAGGATTTCCTCCACCTGGACTAGCGACACCACCACCCCCACCGACACTGTGCCGAAAAGCCGCCGTTCCATTCATCCCTCCTGTGTTCCAGCTTCACCTCACCTCCGCATATGACACCAACAATCCGAAAGTCCTGTATTCCATATTAATTAAATATTATTAATAACAATGATTACATAAAATTAATCAATTTCAAATATTTTTTCACAAGCTGTGTATGAAAAAAAATTTTAATTAAAAAAAAAATAGTTCAGCCCTTTTTTTAAAATATTGTCAAAATATTAAATTTTAAAAATAATTAAAATTACGGAAGTAAATTATTTAAACTAATTACAATTTTACACAAAAAGGAAAAAATTTTCATTTTTTTTCATTGCACGATATTTAAAAATTATCTTCTAAAAAATATGAATAAATAAATAAAAAAAATTTATTATTTACTACTACTGAGTCATAATATAAAATTAGTCCTTTGCCAAAAAATTATTTAAATTCTTCCAAGTAATTGAAATCTCATGATTGTTCAAATTTATTGATATTTAAATATTGTCGGAAGTTGAATTCCATTAAATTTTAAGATTTCCAGGTGAAAATGTTCTATTTATTAATCAATATAAATAATTTCTCTCTTCACATATTCAACTGGTAAATCATATTCTAAAACTGAATTTATATATATATTTATTATAAGTGTTTAAATAAAGCGAAAATTTTTTTTCTCCTCCGCTAAATGTAATAATAATCAATTTTTTAAAAATATTTAATTACCGTTTTACTTTATAATAATAAAAGTAATCTTTAATAATAATGGAGCGCATAAAAATTTTAAAAAGACAATTTTAAAAATTCCATTTTAAATTTTTCATAAATTCTTAAATATTTCAAAATAATTCCAAAAAAAAATCCAGAATATATATATATATATATATTATTTTTTTTTCCATTTCGTCTGTATACTAAACTCGTTAAAGATAATAATCTTGAGAATTCATAGAGAAAAAAAAAATTTTCAAGGGATTCGGAGCAAGTTCGTCGTCAGAGATGAGATTTGATATTTTTGTGTGGAGGAGAGAAAAAAAAATATTTTAGCAAAACAAGAAGGCGGTTTTTATATAGTGACAATAGAAAGTGGTTCAGGGTATATAGTGGTTATTGCTGGCAGGTGTTTAGAGCGATAACTACTCGTCTGAAATTCCCTGCACTCACACACATGAACCAAAATGCAAATATCGTCATGGTGCCTCCTGGCAAAACCCTTGATCCTCCAGAATGGAACAGTGTGTGCCATTGTGAAACCGGAAGTCTGGTAAATTTAACGAACTGTGTAAAAGCAACTATCGTATACTCAAAAAGCTACTATCACTCATGTAATATCTCGAAAATCACTGAACTGCAGAAACTGTGCAGATTTAGAGTGAAGCAGATTACACTCTCTGGGTTAAATTAAGTTCCACAAGTGGAGTGCCAATTAGAGTATCAAATGAAAGATATATAGAATTTTAAATTCTTAACATATTATTAATAACAATATAAAATAGTTCACAATTTTTTTTTTCTCTCCCAAAAAAAAAATCTCTGATATTTTTTTTATCATTTAAAAAAAAAATTCATTTTTACATACAACGATAAAAATTATTCATATATATTTATGAATCCAATAATTTAAAAGGAATGTTTAGAACTAATCAAAACATTGTTCAATTGAAATGCTTAGAAAACAAAAATAAACATTATTTTCAGAAATAAAGTTCAGAATTATAGTTTACGTTGCAATAAATTTTGACTTTAATTTTCCAACCATTCCAAGTTAAAACGTAAATAATTTCGAAGTGATTTTTTTCATCTAAAATAATTGAAATTAGATTTTAATTCCAATTTAAAAAAAATTCTATTTTTACTTTAAATTTTCTTTATCTTTAAAAAAAAAAAAAATACAAAATAGTCATTCTTGATGTTTAAATAATAATTAAAAAAAAACTTTGTTTTTAAAAAATTGCAGTTAACTTTTTTTTTAAATAATAATTATTATCTTTTTTGTAATTAGTGTATAATTAAAACAAGCATTGGAAAATCTATTATTTTGCAATTACTATTATCTTTTTTTTTATCAACCATTAACTGAATCTTTTGTTGACTCAAATTGATTGTAATTTAATTTTTTGCTAATCCAAATAATTTATTTATCATATTTGATTTGCTTTGTAAATAAATATATAGAAATTAATTTTTAAAGTAAAATTTGAAGAATTTGAATATATATAGAAGATTAAGCTGTTGTTATTTTCTGTAACGAATTAAAAAAAAAAGTTGATTATTTTTGAAACAATATAAACTGCATAAAAACATACAATACGCGCATCTATTCATTTAAGATTTCAACACTTCATTTAATATTTGAAAAACTTTGACGTAAGTGACCATGACCATGTCTCTTATGTATATCCAACAATTGAAAATAATACTCGTCGATTCTCACACGATTTATGCAAATTGAATGACAGAATCTAAGCGATAAGTGTTTTTTTTTAAAACGATCATCATTGTATCATATTTATTTAAGTGAAAGCGTTTTCGTTTTATTTCAATTTTATTTGCAATATTATTTTCTTCATGTCTAATTCGTATTCATAAAACGGAAATTTATACAGTTTGAAAAACCTATTAGTTTTTCTCTTGAAAACAAAAAAAAAATTGTATATATCCAGTCTTTAAGATAATAGGTTTACTTAAAATTCGTGCATAATAATACGATCCTTATGATTATATTTTTAAATATGACTCAAAACTGACAAAATAATTATTAGTCAGAAATAGTCCTAAGGGTTAATAGAACCAATTCAAATATTTTGCCAAATTTAAGTAAAAAAAAAATAATGCAAAAATTATTTTAATTCAAAGAAAAAAATATCTAAAAATAAATAATGATAGAGATACATTAATTAGTGCTAATCTTAACTTAGTGACATGATGTTTGTAACTAAAGTATAAAAATGATAAATATTTATATTTTTTACGACCTTAAATTTATTTCATTTAATTAATAAATTATTAATATTTTCATTTTCTATTTCAATAAATAATTTATATTTTTTAAGGACATTCAGTAAAGTAAAATAAAAAAAAAAATAAATAATAATAGAAATGTTTCTTAATTTATATGAAATGATGGAGAAAAAGGAATGATTTCATTTCGCAAGACGGAAGAACCACGTCACATAGAAGTCATAAATTCCAAAGCATAAAAATTATATACATAAAAAGTAATTTGTAGGTTGACTTAATAAATCAAATGCATATATTAGAAACTAAATAAATCCAACGAACTAGTTTTGAATAAAAGAAATAATATAGTGAAATGACGATAGGAAAAGCGAGTGGTTTATCAGTGATTTACGAGTGATTTGAATGATTAGGTCAGAAGATTTAATCACTCCCAAGATTAAAACCATATGTAACGCTGTGTATTTATTCCTTTACAAGAGAGAAGTATCAACTACTCAAGCAGCTAAAAAGCATGTAATTAAATTCTAGTTCATTAAAAAGAAAAAGGATGATGTATATTGTTGTCTTTTTGCAAAATACTGTCAACAATATAAACAATCTAACCTCTAGAATTTTGAATATATTTTCAATTTTTTTCGATAATGCATTGAAAAAAAAAATGATAAGAGCATAATTTCTAGAAGAAATAAGCATACATTGAAAGCTAAAGACTAGGAATTCGTCTGAAGAATGGAGAAAATATTGCAGGGAGTTAGGAAGCATTTGACAGCAGCCGCAAAGGAGAGACGCTCGTTTTGTGACAGCGTGAGACAGCGAGAAGAGAGAGAGATTTCTCCAAATAAATGTAACAATAATAATACTAATTATATGAAATTAATCGATTAATTAGATTATCAAAATAAAGCTTGTTGAGGAGATGACAACAATCGTGACCTTAAAAAATTATTTCCTGCGATGTTGCATGAGCTCACACCACAAGACTTTTGACTTTCTGAACAGGGAGTATTGAGATCAGTGCATTTAGAAGTAACGCCTACCTTTCATTTAATCTATTGTTTTCGTACTCCGTCGACCACGTCAAGTTTTGTTGACCAAATTTGATGAATTGATCACAAAATAATCTCCAAACAGGCACTTTACAATAGTCACACGCGAATTTCACTACAATTGTCATAACAAAAGAACTCACATGAACATGGCTGGTGACGGATAATTACTGGGCCTCTCACACTTTCACGACACATAGCAACGAAACATGGTAGAAAATGGTTCAAAAAATTGCTCAATTTAACAATAATTATCATCCACTAATTAAATCACTTTTCACGCAAAAGTGAAACACTCAAATTCCTCTATAAAATGCACATTGACTTTGAAATAAAAATACACACCACTAACAAGTGTCAGCCATCTTGTACGGCTCTGGAAATACATAGCAAATAAGTGTTCCGAAAAACGTATCGTGTCTCAATGCGCATGCGTCAATTAGAAGACGCTCATTGGTTGAATAAGCCCGCATTTATTTAAAACGTATTTAATGTCAAATTTGTAGTGAGATTAACATTTTTTTTTATAATACATTTTTATAATTAGGAAATATAGAAATATTTAATTGGTAAACTTACAATCAATGGTAATTTTAAATGAAATTATGTTTAACGATGGATTTGTAAGTTATTTTAATTGTAATTTTCTTTTGTTACAATTGCGCATGCGAAAGACGCTACATGTTAATTGGCTGTTAGTGCCGCTTTTATTTAAAAAAAACATTGCTTTAAATATTTCTAGAAAATTGATTATTTAATAATTATTATCAGTTTTAATTAGGTGATTTTTTCGAGAATTATTTTTTATAATGACCAATATTAAAAATTTGATGGATTACGAGATTTATTTTTAACAGTGTGAAAGTAAAAAAAGAAAACACCATGATTGATAAAATAGAACGCTCAAAGTTGATAAAAAAGGATTCTATTATGACAATTTTTTTTTGAAATATTTAAATTTTAATTAAAATATAATTGAACATAAAGGTAAATTTTCTCAAAATTGTTTTTTCCAATCAAAAACCGGCTGAAAATACAAAATGAAATAAACGTAGATAGTTTTTAATATTTTTCTTGCATATTTGGAAGGGTTCGAGAAATAAATTATTTAAAATGCATGTATTTTGTAATTAAAATCGCTTTAATTAATTTCAAAATAATTAATAGTTTCATGAAAGTGTCGTGTAGAAAAATATTTACAATTATATAATTATTAGAAAATTACTTAGATTCTAAATATTTTTTTTAATATTCAACTTATATAATTCCCCAAACTTCTTCAAAGCCTGAACATAATTTAGCACACGTCAAAGCAGCAGATAGTGGATAATTACTTATGGAAAATGTATCTTCCATGTAGTCCGTTTTTACCTGTAATTAATTTAAAAAATTAATTTTCCAAAAAGAATATATTTTTTCTAAAAAAAAAAAAAATAGGCTCACTTGTCCATGTGCCATTGCTCCAACAATAATAGCAATTGGTTCATTGGAAGGAACCAAATCTCGTGGATTTTTAACTTCTTTTGCACTAAAGGACATGGCGATTTTTTTGCATCCAACAGGAAGATGATTTGTCACTGGATTTTTTATAACTTTTAATAATTTCATTGGACTGTCAGAAGAACGGACACAAAATTTGTGTAAAAGTTGTACTATAATCAAATTAATTAAAAATTAATAATTTATAAACTATATAATTAATCAAATAATTTCTTTGGAATTTCTAAGAAATAAAATAGAAAAATAATCTCACCCATGAGACCTGCAAATCGATTAAAAGTTCTAGGAATTCTCGTCTGAGGATTAACTTCGATTAATACATTTTTTTCTGTTTTAATATAGACTTGCAATAAACCAGCTCTATTGAGAGGACTGTCCATCAACATTAATAAACATTGATGTGTTATATCAGGTCTACTATTACCAGGTGGACGATTATCTTTTTTTAAAATATTCGCATGATCATCACAATTAAGAAGTTGAAAATTGTTGCCCACCTGTGAAAAAAATTAATTTATCATTTTTACCACAATTTCGTAAGAAAATGCAAATTATTTTCAAAAATTTCCCAAACATTTGGATTTATTAAATAGAAATAAAAAAAAAAAAACGAAATTACTTTAACTTACTTTGACAGATTCCAATTGGGCATTTTCTAAAATTACAATGAGACGTTTCTCCTGATTTTTTATGTGACGAACTTGAAGATGTTTTGGAGCAGGATCAAACTCATACTCATCATCCTTTTCATTATTTTTCCTCTTTTTACCCATAATTTTTTGAAATTATTTGATCACACAACAGAAAATGACACACCACGTGAAAAAAGTTAGGTTAGAATTAACGCCTTAACCAGGGTTGGGTAGGAAGAATTCAAAGTGGGTCAATTGTTTCCGAACTCTGAACTCCAAAACACGACAGAGAAAGTGTCAAAAAATTAATTTTCAAGTTTTATTTAAGCAAACAATTGTATTCAGAGAAATTATTATTTAAAAATGCCTCGAACTTGTTGTATTTGTGGATGTGTTACCAGCACAGAAAATCAACGTCGACTTTTTAAATTTCCAAACGATGAGGTAAGTTAAAAAATTCAGAGGTTAGATTAAAAATTTTGTTATTTTTATTGTAAACTAAAATTTTATAAACTGATTCTATAATATAATCTTCTAATTATTGTATTTAATTATTATATTTTTCTTCAATTTTTTTTATAATATCGCAGGAAACTAGAAATAAATGGTGGAATGCTATTGGAAATCACTTAAGAAAAGGAAAATGTAATCGAAGTAATTTATTTGTTTGTAATCAACATTTTGCAGAAAATTGTTTTCAACGTGAAGTAATTGAAGTATTAAGAGATGGATGTGAAGTAAGTTTGCCAAGAAAATGTGTCACTTTAAAAAAGGACAGTGTTCCGTCAATTTTTGAGGTGAGTGTTTACATATCTTCTATATATCGTCCAAAAATTATAACTGATTTTTTTTATGTGTAATATTTTCCAAAAGCAATTTTTCTGTATTAAATTTTGATATTATTATATATTATTAATTATTTATTGTTATATAAGAATGTTGGCAAATCAAACACGGAGAACAATGGAGAAAGTGCTCTTAATAATTTGGATCAAATTGCAACTATTGACATTAAACAGGAACCTACAGAAGAATTACTTGATATTGAAACTCATATTAAAATTGAAGATGTGAAAACTAACGAAGATGAAGAGACTAATTCATCAGGTACCATGGATTCACAATCAGCGCGTTGTCTTTATCATAAACGAGAATTATCTCCCACTTCGCAGAGAAGAGTAAATATTGCGAAACACGTTATGGGTCTTCAAGTATCGACACCAATTAAACAACCAATAAATACGTCGAAAATAATTTGCTTGGATCCAAATTTTAAACCATATACAAAATTAGATTTACTAAGTGATTGGAATTCAAGAGCTATTGATACTTTTCCCAAATATTGGGGAATGACTGAAGTAGACGATGGTATATTTTTTGGATATGTTGGAGATGTTCCTTATGAAGTTACAAGGGGAATATTAGTTAAAAATGATATGTCTGTCGAAGTAAGATTTAAATTATTATTACGATTATCCGAAAGATTAATGTAATTATTTTTTTTAATATTAATAGAAAACAAAACAAGAATGTTTTATTTTCTTTTCTTATAAAAATAATTCAATTTTAAGGTAAGAGCACGTAATCGTGTGTCAAAATTCCCAGTGATTGATAATGTTACATCTATAGAAATTTTACGCTCTGCGATGATACAAGTTGTGTGTTTAAAATTGTGCGATATGGCTGGACAAGAGGAATGTGAAAATCGTTTTTTTCTCCCTATTCCAAAGTCAAAGAGTAATAAATGTAAAGACTGTCAAATTCATAGTAGACGGGAAAAACATAATGTTAATCGTATGGAAAATCGTTTTAAAATCAAAGAAAGTCAAGCAATTACCACTAATACAGATCTAAAACAAAAATTAAGTCAATCTACAAAGACAGTGAGTATCAAAAATTTGATTTGATTTTTAATATAGTATTTTTTTTAAATATATAAAATTTTACAGATTGAGTCTATGCGAAAATGCATTTATAATTTAATTATACCTTCATTGCTAAATGAAGAATCAATGGAGGATGCAATAAAATATCTACCAGAAGAAATGCAAAATGATATTAAAACTAATTATATACGTAAAATAATTAAACTCGATAGTACGTAAGTGTTAAAAAAAATTTTTTTTATAAAAATTTAAAAAGCTTAAATATATATTTACTTCTCGAAAATTAAAGTACTACTTTTATCATTTTCCATTTTATGAAATTTTGAAAAGTAGAAATTTTACGAGAAATGTAAATATGTAGATATTTTGAAAAATAAAGAAAAATGTAAAAATTGTTATTTTTTCTTATCACTTAAGAAAATTAATAACATTTTTATTTTATTAATAATCAATATGAAAATTAAAAAAACGAATTAATAATAAAATAAATAATTAATTAATTAACGTATTATGTTAATTAATTAATTATTATTATTATAAATATGTTTATTATACGTTTAAATTGTTTATAAAAAATAAGTATAATAAATAAGTGAAATAGTAAGGTAAATAATTAAAAAAACGTAATATTTAATTTCTAATTAATTTATTACATTCTTGTGATTTCTAATTCGCCTATAATAAGATATTTAATAACAAAAAATTATAAGGCAGAATTATTGAATGGAAATAATATATATGTATTATATTGAAACAGAAAGAAAATTATTTCAAAAAAAGAAAATTTTACATTTTAGTATCATTTAAATATATCTGAATGAAATAAAAATGAATTTTGGAAAAAAAAATAATTTTTTTTTTCAATGAAAGTGACATATTTTCTATTTTAAATTATTAACATTCGCAAGATCCTTGTTTGCATGTGCATTGTCCTCCACTTTTGCATTGGCATTTTTCTGTAATAAAAAATATCGATAAGTTAATTACGATACAAAAATATAAAAGTATTTCTTTTTTAATTAAAAATTTTGTCAACAATAAAATATAATAATTTAACTAATATAGGCTAATTATTACTACATTATTTAATTTATTATAAATAATATTTATTTAATAATAAACAAAATAATAAACTATAGTATTTAGATATTTAGAAAGTAAGAAAATTTGTCGTTTTATGTGAAAACTGACTTTTGAAGCAAAGTGTAATTTCAAGAAATAATAATTGTCTTTTTAACTTTTTACCATCGAAAGATTCTATAAAAGCTTCTATGTATATATATATATATATATTCATGCTATGTATATGCAGAGAAATTATAACAACTTTGAATAATCGTATAGTGCGAGACGGGCGTTGACCGTGTGATGAGAAAAAAAAAATTTGCGCAGTGGTTCTCTAGAAGATTGTAAAATCATTTCACGAGAATTTCTATAAAATCATAATATTTACCTGCTATTGTCTCTCTCTATAGATATATATTTATTAAATAATCAATTGTAATGTTGTTTCACTCATTTTAAGAGAAAGAGATAATTTAATTTTAAACGTAAACTATTTTTCTTCAAAAACAAACGACAATGAAACTTGATAGCTGATGTTTACTAATTATGCTCATTATAATCAATTATTATTTTTTCTTTTAATAACAAATTGATTTTACAAAATTAAGCTTAAAAAAATCGCGAGGCAATGGCGGTTTAATTTTTAATTGAATAAACAAAAATTATATTCGATTTTTAGTAAAAAAAAAATCTTTTTTAATGTTTTAACTGTAATTTTTTAACAACAAATTTTCCTACTTTTTAATTTTCATAAAAATGATAAAAAAGATAACTTTCGTCACTATTTAACAAATTCCAGAAATTATTTATGTTTCAGGAAGTTGTTAAATTTATTGTTTTCTTATTACCTCCTTTTCCGGAGTCACAGCATTTGCAGTTATCGCCGCATTTGCAACCATCGCATTTGTCTGTGAAAGAGGCAAAAAAAAAAAATTATTAAATGAAAGAAAAATTGGTGAAACTAAAAATTAAAATAATTAAAATAATAAGAATAATATTTTGCAAAATTGAAAAGTAAAATGAACAAAAATTGAAAAATAAAAAAATATATGAAAAAACGAATTTTAATAAAAATTTATTGATTTTCAATTATTAAATTCCACGTATATTCAACTTTGCATTTAATGAAATGAATGATCCATGGAATTGCAAGACAGGTTTGAAAAAGAAATAAAAAAGAAAAGGAAAATATGTGAAGAATTTCTTTAAGGCTTGATCTTCCTTGAAAATTTTCTATATAAGGAATATACTTATATTACTGAGAAGTCATCCGATAAAATGAGAACCCTTTCAAGAAGGGAAAAACAAGAGCAAAAGATAATTAAATTTTTCTCGTCTACTTGCAAATTACAGAATATTATTATGAATATAACTGTATATTTAACTGATCATTCCAAAAGAATATAGTTTCATAAATATAATGAAAATTTAAATTAATTAATTAATTAAACGAAGATAAATAATTTTTATCAATTAATTAATTAATAATAAATATTAATTATTTATTAATTCTACACTATTATGTTTCAAAAAGAATTTTGATTTATTTTCATTATAATAATAAAAGGAAGAAATATATTATATTTCATTTGATGATTCATGAAAAACGTTTCTGATTACGAACAATTATATGGATCATTCTCATCAGTCGCGTAATATTATGCAACATCTTGACATAATTTTAAATTAAAAAAGGATTTATTTCATTAAGAAATATTGTATTCTACTTCCATTATAATATAGATATCAATATTTAAAATTGAATAATGAAACTAATTTTTAAAAATAGTTTTTTCATTCTTTCACAGAGGCGCTTCAATCAAAAATTTGAATCTCTCAAATATATAAAAAAAATCCAATTTATCACAAATAAAATCGAAAAGCAGATTAGAAAAAAATTTACGCGATTAAATAAATATTAATTAAACAAAATTACAGTAAAATAAGAATAAAAATTAGTATACATTGTGAATTGTAAAATTTGATTATTTTATGAAAATTAATTAAAAAACAAAATTTCTCTCTAATTTAACAAAAACCTGTTTCTAGGATACCAAACAAATTTGTTTTTTAACTCGTTCAATTTTACAAACAATTAGAAAATACAAAAAAATCAAGTAAATATTTTTTAAATAAATTAAAAATTGAATAATGATAATAAAAAAATTTACTTACCTTTGCATTTGGAATCACCGCAAGGAGAAGGCATCTTGATTGATTAAAAATGAATTATTTTCACTCTTGTTTATTACAAATTGTTCACACAAGCTTCTTGTTCGTAAATTGAAGATTGCTCTGAATTTATATTGATCTCCCCCTACTTTTTACCGATTTGAGCGACTCATGTCGTGTGCAACCGGCAACTTAAGTGCCATGCGCAACCAGCCTATCACATCACCGCGGGTTTGAATCGTTCCACAAAATCAGTACCGTAACCAATTTCAAAAAATTTCAATTTCATTTTTCTATTCACTTTTATAATTACACAGGATCAATTTCTCAAGGACAAAAAAAAACGTTCAACTGACAAAAACATTTTCTAATTTATATAAATAAAAAATGTTTTCTACTTCTCAAGAATCATTTATACCTGAAATTATTATTAAAAATTCTTTTTTAAATCTAATCTAAAATTATTTTTCTTCTAATTATGTTATTTTTTTAATTTATTTTTTATTTTATCAATGATTCAGAAAAAGCGGGAATTGTAGGGGAATTTTTTTTCGATACGAGAAATGTACGGGAATTTTATTTTATGTCTTCGCTTCACACCCTGTAGGTATTTAGCTAGCTATTTATTTATTTAATAAATGAAAAATATTTTCTTTAATTTTTTATATTCAAGTAAAAATTAATAATAAATAAATAGATAAAAAAGTAGATAATTTTATTTAAAAAAAAAAAAACGAGCAAATTATGCCTTGTTAGGAAAATTAAAATTCTAGTCAAAAATTATTTATAAAATTTACAAATTACTAAACAAAAAGAAAAAACAAAATGTAACCGGTAATCAAGAATAATGACAGGTCAAGCTAACAATTTTCACATTTCGTGCTCTGATTATTGCTAATTCTAACATTAATCACGTAATTTTAAATAGTAATTGTAACGAAAATTTGATAATGAATACAAAACATGAATAGAAAATTCTTTAATCAATGTCTCTAAAAGATAGTTATTCATATAGCTATACATTATTTATATACAATGTGAAAGTTTATTACTATTAATACAAATATTTGAAAAAATTTTAATAAATAGAAAATCATTAAATTGATTTTAAAACAAAATTTCAAATTTTTATAAAGTGTGAAAAAAAAGTTTTCTATTTACACTTTTTCTTTTACTTTTTTTAACTCTCGACAATAATGGAAAGCAAAAAAAAAAAACATTTTCCATTTTCAATTATTGTGATTCGCAGAAGTTTTTTTCTACAATGAAAATAATCTTTTCTCACAATATATAATAAGAGTAGAAAGTATAAGAAAAGTTTTAAAGAAATAAAATTTTTTTTTTTCTGTTCAACAATAGTAAAATAATAGTTAACCAATAATAATTTTTTTCTACTATTAGTAAAATATATATTTAATATATACTAATATTAATTAATTTTAATATTCTTAGGTAAATAATTGACAATGAAATTTATCGTCTTTAATTGTTTTTATTTTTTCAGATAAAAGTTACAAAAAATACAAAAAACACCAATAACTCCTTTTATATTGAGAATAAATGAATTTTACAAAGCATTATTTGAGGAGATAATATTCAGAATTTCCTTATCGTATTGATTTGTTAATTGAATTCAATTGTTCCACTTTATTGATAATGTATTTTCAGCCTTTTATAACACAGCATATTTCGCCTGTAAAAAAATACATTATATATAAAGAAAAAACACATGTAAAAATATATAAAAAATATATAATAATTATACAAATTTAATTTCTAATGACTCTTTTTTCATATATATTGAAAATCATGATTACTTAATTTTCTAGTGGAACTAACTTTTGACAATTACACGGTTAATGGATTATAAGAAAAATAATAACAAAAAAAAAGTATTTCGGTCATTAACAATTCTTGTGTTCCGGTAAATAACGTTGACATTGCACTAAATGCATGCTCCAAATATTCGTGACAAATCATTAAATCTCTTGCTTCTACTCACTTGACTAGAAACTGTATTTCTGTATTTTAATTTCATTACTTTTTTTGTAATCTTACATTAGTGGTTTCTTTTTTATTGAAAAAAAGATCTCACTATTTTCAAGCCTTAATTTCAAAAAAAAAAAAAAAAAACCATATATTTTTTTTATCTCTTGAAAAAAATATTTAAAAAAGTTGGAAATAAATTAAACAATTTTTCTCACCTCCACATTTAATTACACAGTATTTCCCTCCGGTACAAGGTTCTAATTGACAAAATAAATTTTATTATTACATAATTATTTAATTTAAAAAAAAATAATAATTTCACTTAAGTGCCGAATATTCTATATTTTTAATTTAATTTCTATTTATATAAATTAAAATCGATCAACAAAAACATACCTCTCAAGCAACAAGTGAGAACACTTTTTTTCTTTTCTGATTTATCTTCTATAAATAAAATTTCTCAATATAATTAAAGATTCTAATATTAATTAATTTAGAAAAAAATAATGAAAAATTATTATAATACCTTCGCAATATGTAACTTTACAATAATTGCCAATATCATCTATGGACTTTTCAACAGTAATTGAGCAACATCCACAATGAATTTCACATTTAGTGCCATTTTTTCCTATAAAAGAAAAAAATTTTTTATAAATATTTTTAAAAACATTTTTTATTTTTAAAATTAAAATTTAATTTAAAACAAGAAACATTATTTGAAAAATCAATATATAAAAATAATTATTTTTTTTTATTAAATTATGATAAAATTTTTCTAGCTACATTGCTTACCTTTACATTTAATCGTACTTCCTGTACCTTTGGTGCAACAATCAGCTGCATCTGTAAAAATTAAAATAAAATTAATAATTACGAATACAAGAAAAAATTATTATTGATCAATATATTTTTTTTTATATTTAAAAATGCAATTAATATAATTAAAAAAAATGACACTCACTTTTACAATTAATTACGCAAGTTGCACCATTCTCATCATAACCCTGGGCCTTATCTGATAAACAAGTTTTAAATAATAATTAATAAAACTATTTCCTTAAAAACAAAAATACAATATTTAATAAATATAACAAATATTGAATTCCAATTACACTTTTTATTAATTAATTAAATATTACTAATTATAGAAAAAAAAAATTATTATTAAAAAAATAATAAAAAAAATTAAAACTTTAAAGAAATGAAAGAAAAATATTTTTAAAAAATTAATCATATAAATAATTAAAAATGTTAAAAATAAAATTTTCTTTAATAAAAAATCTACCTCCCCAAACAATTGAACAACATTCTCCAGTTCCTGTGCAGCAAACTTGGTTTTTTTCTAAAAGAATATCAGTGTAACTTAATTATTGTTTATTTAAATACTACTAAATAATAATTAATTATTATAAATTATAATTATATTATTAATTAATATTAAAATAAAATTTTAAAAATAATTAAAAATATTATATTTTAAATACTTACTACTGTGGCTTCTCTCGCAACAAGGATTAGACATGTTGAATTTTTTTTTTTTTTGTCACTAATTTGCACTGATTATAAAGATTGAAAATCGCGACTGATGACCATCGTTCATCAGCTATCAATATTTATTCAAGTCTCATCTGCTTGATGTGTACACAAAAAACGTACCGAGTGCAACATAAATGCACACTGACCACATCCTCTAAGGTGTAAATAATCACATAACATATGCATCCATGTAATAATTATTTTATAACAGTAGCGTATTCATAATTAATATAATTTTTTTTTAAAGATTAAAAAGAATCTTTTGAAATTTCAAATAATATAATTAAAAATCCATTATTCAATGAATTTATTATAGTTTTATTTTATTTATTTTATATTTATTATATAGAAATAAAAAATAAATAATAATAATAAATTTATTAAATAATTTTCCAATAATCTATAATTTTTTAAAATATTTTTAAAAATATTTTTTAAAAACAATTTAAAAAATAATATATAACAAATAATAAATAATCAAAATAAAATTCTGTATATTAAAAATATGATTTTTCATAAAAAAAATTTGTTTATTTAATTTCCTATTTATCAAGACAATTATTTATGTAATTTTGTACTTGGAAAATTTTTTTCTAATTTGAGAATATAAAAATTTGAATGCTAAATATTAGTAGCAGGGTGATTTTATAACAAATTACGAACCTGAGTAAAAAACAATTGCGCACAGCTCGTTTTTACCATTGATGATAATTGATAACAAAAAGTGACGTACATTAACAATATATAGACAAATTGCACACGGTACTTGAAATTAACATACAACAAAAAAAGTAGGAGTAACAAGACATTCAGTTAGTTCCCAGCATCCTTATTCTGATATAAAATTCGATTTAATCTTTTTTAATGTTTAATAATAATAAATTGTTTTTAAATAATTAATCACGGAATAAATTTACTTTCTTAAATTCTCATTCTAAAAAGGTATTATAGTTTTCTGCACTAATTAAATTTTATTAATTTTAATCAACCTAAACTCCTTAGATTTAATTTAAATTAATCATTTAATTTTTCTTATTTTTAATTAGCTAATTTCAAATATATTAATATATCATTCTCTAATGTCTATTAAAAAAATTAAATTCATTCAAATTTCGCGCCATTCCCACCATTGGAGTTTGCACATACACATTGTTACATTATGTTACACGATTTACGAAAATTACATCAAACTACACAACCCTGGGAATGAAGACAATCAACGTTTGCAAAGATGGCGAATCCGGGTTGTTCCGCGTTTTCTAATGACGGTCAATATTTAGCAAATTGCGGTATTGATGGTAAATTAAAAATTTGGGAGACTGCAACAAATCGTCTTAAAATAGATTATGTCCCTAATTATCATTTAAAATCACCATGCAGTGTAATAAAATGGATAACTGTGAGCCTACAATCGTCCAATACAACGGTAACCATGTGCTTTTTATTTTTCTCTAAATTTCAATTTTGCCTGATAGTTCATCATTATCATGATAAATAATTATAATTATAAAATGTTAACACGACACATTATTTTCTCGTCTTTTATTATAATGGGTTTTATTAATTTTTTTAACACATTTGCATTATTGTGAATCAAGTGAAAAGTGAGGTTAGGTAACTGTAATGCGTTTTAGAAAATTTCAAAAAATTGAGTAATATTTTTGTACTTGTTTTTTTTTTGAATTTATTATAAATATATTATTTACTTATTTTGTTTATTTAAATTTTTTAGATTTTAAAATAATAAAACATTTTCAAAATGCGTTTTATTAATTTTTTAAATAATCTATCATTTAGTGCAATAAATAAATAATTGTTTAAAGTCCTTGATTGACTTATTAAATTTCGATTTAAGAAATAAATATTGTATTTAAAGTATAGTTATAAAAAGTAATTTTAAATAAATAAAATTTTTGCAAATATTTAGCAGTCACCATGGAGAAAGCGAAAGAGGAAATCAATGGAAGACGAGATAAATCAAAAGGAAGTTATTGCAATGGGATCGACAAGTGGCCATATAACAATATTTGACATAGCATCATCAACAGTCAGTAATCAATTACAAAATGGACATACAACGTCAATTTCAGCAATTGCTTGGGAAGCGTCAACGGGTCTTTTTACAGCAGCTGAGGATCATCAAATTATTCATTGGAATATTCAAGAAAATGGTATCAAATGTAAATGGAAATCAGGTAAAGGAAAAGTAACAGCAATTGCAGTTGTTCCCGATGGAAATTCTCTTCTCACCGCAGAGAGATTAATCACATGGTGGGATCTTAAAACAAAAAATATAATAGGAACATTCACTGGTCATGTTAATCAAATTAATTCCTTGAATATCGTCAAAATAGACGACGATACTAATTATCTTATTAGTGGTGCTACTGGAGACTCCTATCTCAGTGTTTGGTCTCTCAATGAAGTGAGTTTTCACCTATTGCTGATAAATAAAATTTTGTATAACAATATTTTTCAAAAAAAAATTTTTTAAAAATGTAAATAAAAATTATTGCAGGCGAAAAAGGGAAAAACATCGGCAGCAACATTTACGATGCAGGACGAAGCAATGTCAATTTCAGTGAGAGTAATGGATGATTCTCAAGTGATGGTCCTCGCGGTAACAAGAAGCGGTCAAGCTCATCTTTATAAATATCAACCAAATGGAACAACACCGAAACCCATTAAACCCTCGTTAAATATTTTCGTTACATCTGACTCGAGTCAAAAAGAACAAAATATGCAACAAATTCCCATTTTAAAAGGACAATTAACAGAAGATACAAAATGTCTTTTGGCGTATGGTTCATTTTTAAATATCAATTTTGAAAAAGTAGTGCCCGATTTTTCAGAAAAAGTCATGTATTTAGAGAGGATTGACTACAAAAAACAAAGAGAAAAGAAAGATGAGGCCGTTTCAAAAGTTAAAGCTACGGATACTGAAGGCGAAGTGCAATATCTTGTGCCAGGTATTACTTTATTAATTGAAAAAAATACACTCTAATTGTGTTTCTCACATTTTTTTGTTTTGTAAATTTTTATTTTATTTATAATAGTTTTGTTCATTGTTGAGAAAAATTAATTTTTTGAATTTTTAAACAGGAGCAACAGGTAGTGCGCAAAAAAGATCGGGACGTTCTGGAGCGGGCTCACAGATACCATTGAAAAATCGATTGGAAAATCTCAGTTTGAATACTGAGGCGAGTACGCCCGGAAAAACACCAACTAAAGGTGACAATATGGTTCAGCTACTTATGCAAGGTTTACAAAGTAAAGAGAGAGATATTTTAAATAATGTTCTCTTCACTAAGAAAGAAAGTGTAATTAAAAATACTGTTGCCAAATTGCCAGTTCAGGCAATTATTCCCTTACTCAAGGAATTAACAGTCATGTTACAAGGAAAAACATACTCGTAAGTGTTTTTTTAAAACAAAATTATTACTTATTAATTATTATAAAGTTTAGCTATAAAATGGTGTTTTAATGAATATTTTCAAATTTCCAGGAGTAAAATTGCGGTTACGTGGTTGAAAGCTTTAATAGCAACTCACGCCGCACAACTTTTATCGCATCCAGATGTTGGAGAAGAATTAAGTCCTATTTTAGGTATTGTAGATGCTAAATTAACACTTTTAACCGAATTGTCGAGGTTAAGAGGACGTGTTTCTCTAATAACGGGACAAATTGCGAACATCAATGAAAAAGAAGAGAGGGACCCTACAGAAGAAAGTCTTCTCGTCTATCAAGATCGAGGTAATTAATTTTTTCAGTTTAAACAAATTAAAAAATTATATATAACTATTAACGTAAAGCGAATTATAACTAATTGAATATTTTTTATATTTACAGATTCGTCAGACGAAAGTACAGACATGAACGAAGTTGAATTAGAGAGTGTTTCAGATGAAAATTGGGAGGAAATATCGGATCAAGAACAACAAGACGAAATTGAAAATTGTAAATCAGATGACGACGCTTCAATTTGTAGTTAAAATATATATATAAAAAAAAAGAAAAATATCAATTTAAAAAGTAAGATTTTTTCAGCTACTTGTAAATAATAATACAAGTCAAGAAAAGCTTGAATTTCATAAAACACTCGATTTTATTAAAACTCAAACAATACGTGTCTTCCAGTAATTTTTCTGGTAACTTAAAACTGAAAATAATCTTAATAATTCAAAAATCTTTTTTGAATAACTATATTATTTTTTTTAATTCCATCTGTGAAATATAAAATAAAAATTCGTGCCTACATTGATCTTTCTGTAAAAAAAAATACCTCTCTGTACATTGAATGGTCTCAAAGTCGATTTTTAAGATTGTAAACTTTTCTTACTTGAATACATTACGTTTAAAACAGAAAATTTCTATTTTATTAGAACCTTTTGTATCGTTAACACAAGAATTAGAATAAAATTACTTTAAATTATAAAAATATTTCAATAAAAATTATATTCAACTTGCAATCTTTCTGATTTCTGAAGATACATAATGCTAAAGGTCAATTTTATCTTATTTCACAAAAAATGAGAATACTCTCTGAAATTGAAAATATTTTTCAACAAATTTTTTAACAAAAAAACAAATATGATAAAAAAATATTTTTAAATTATAGTTATTGTCCTATAAATAGTTTGATCTAAATTTAAGTGAATAATTTAATTTTATTTGCTTTTTTTGTTTTTATTTCTTACTTCAGTAATTATTTTTAGCAATTAAATCAAAATTCAGATTCATAAGTTTTTTTAAAAAAGGAAGATACTTCTACTGAAACTTATCAAGTAAAAAATGTACAATTAATAATAATTGTAGACAAACTGTTTAAAAAAATGTCCTTAAATTTGAAAATTCGAAACTATAAATTAAATGCGAATTTTAATTTGTAAATAATTAAATAATTGAAAACGAAAAATAGAAGAAGTAAATTCATATCAAAATGAACGAAAGCTAATTCGTTTAGATTCGAAAAATGTTTGTTAATTATAATATTTTCTAAATTAAATTTAAAAAAAGGAGCTTATCAAGAAAGCACGACACACCTCGAAAATAATCATATTTTTTCTAAAGAGATGCTTACTCTGTTGCATATCTCTATTTTCTTTAATGCTACATACTAATTAGATAGCGGTAATTAACAGTTAATTATCTTAACTGTAAGAAACAGCTCAGCAATAATAAAGCTAATCGCAAATTATAATGTACGATTAGTTTTATGGAAAAAGACAAAAATTTAATTTTAATACAATGCCAATTAGGAATTTACTATTATTAATGCTAATAATTACATATAGAAAAAATTTTTTTTAATAAAAATTAATCATTTTTTTATAAATTAGAAAGCAATATGATATTTAAGGGCGATTTTCGAATATTTTTGCAATTATTTGACAAAGAAAGAATTCAGAAAATGGAGTTTGTTTTAATATTTTGATAAGCAATTATTAAAGAAAATGATTAATTAATAAATAATTTATTTATTAATTTATTAATCTATAATTATTGAAAAAAATAATTGATTCTACATTCTTGGTTACCGCAGAATGGTTCAAATAATTAATTTTCTGTTCATAATTTTAATTAACTTGTAATTTACAAAAGATAAAAAATCATTTTAGCCTATTACAAATAATAAATTAACTTTTGACGAAAAATATTTAGTTATGTAACATTGGATAAAAATCAAAAATGTTCATTAATATGTATGCCTACAATTAATTTTTAAACAGTGTAATTTTTTACAAATTTAAAATTAATAATTTTGAGAATTAATTCAAATGTACAAAACGAAATTATCAACATAGTTTATCAAAAAATAAAATTTATTTTCAAAATACTTAATAATTATTATTGATATATAGTTTATTTTTATTATAATTATGAAATTATAAATTAATTATAAATATTAATAAAATTAATGTTTGAATAATTAGCCATAATTTATGTTATTTTAAAATATTTTTAACTCTCAAGTGACAGAAAATTTTATATAATTCAAACAACAAATTTTATTATTTCTTCGTCTTTTGTTTTTTAAAAAAACGTTCTCTTAATAAAAAATTCTTTTCTCTTTAGTACAGTGCAAAAAAAAAAAAAATGCCAATTAATTGGAAATCACAGTCAAGAAAAGCAATAATGAACAGAAAATTTCTAATTTGAATTATTCTGTGGAACATACCAAACATCCTCTCTTACAGGAATATGCAATTTATGAACAAGGTGAACACTGTGTTTGGAAGAATTAATAATTTGGTATTAATTATTTTTTTGCATAAAATTGACATATGTGCTGCAGTATCGAGATTTTTTTTTTTTTTTTTGCACGGAGAGGTGGTGATTTGAAAATCAGGCAACTGCTGATTTTTTTAATCTACAACAGGTCACAGGTTAACGAGATTCGAGTGAAATTTGACGGTATAAAAGCCGTGATCAATGGTTCAAACAGCATCTTCCTGCCAACCGCTGGCAGAAGTGTAACTATTTACCAAAGGGTGCATAGTTCAACCAAAATGTTGCGGCTTTCATTGGTATTGGTACTTTCGGCTGTATGCCTTTCCCAAGGCTACCAAGGCTACAAAAATGTTCGCACCGCGGACATGGACTTCCTTCATAAGCAGAAGAAACTCTTCGAACTTATGTTCTACGTTGATCAACAAGCTTTAACTGATGCCGAATACTTTGAAATTGGTCGCAACTATGACATCGGAAGCAACATGGAATACTACACTGACAAGGTAAATTATAACAATTTTTTTTCTTCAAAAATCTACATCCATTGATGAATTAATAATTTAAGAAACTTAAATCTGTTAATAATGAATTTTTTATGAACAAAACAGTTGAAAATCTTTAGAAGCCCTAGAACAATGTTCATTTGGAAATATTTTATTCTCTTTTACAGACTGTTGTACAAGACTTTCTGTACCGATACAAGGAGAAGAAATTCGAACGCGGAGTTTTGTTCTCATACTACAACATTGAAATGATGGAGGACATGATGTCACTTTATCGTCTCTTCTACACCGCCAAGGACTTCCAAACCTTCTACAAGACCGCATGTTGGGCACGTCTTTATGTCAACAAATACATGTTCGTCAATGCATACTACACTGCCGTCATCTACAGAAGTGATTGCCGATATGTTCGTCTTCCAGCTCCTTATGAAGTCTTCCCATACCTCTACTTCGACTCCAGAATCATCCAAGAGGCACAGAAAGTCAAAATGAGCCGTGGTACTATTTATTTTCCCAAACCAAATCCAATTTTCCAAAAACAAAAAAATTAACATCTATAAAAATTAATTCCAGGCGGAAACTACAAGAACTACGACATTGGAATGAAACGTGGCTCATCTGATACATACATGATCTACTCCAACTACACCGGATCTTGCAAAGAATGCTACTATCCAGAATACAGAATGTCCTACTTCTTCGATGATATCGGTCTTAACAGTTATTACTATTATTTCCGTATGGTCTTCCCATTCTGGGTCAACACTAAATACTATGAAGTCCCCAAACAATTCCGTGGTGAATTCTACTACTTCTTCCACAAACAACTCATGGCTCGTTATTACTTGGAACGTCTCTCCAACGACTTAGGAAGAATGAAGCCATTCGACTGGTACAAGGGTAAATTCCCAGGTTTCTACTCCAACTTGATGTATCCCAACGGTGTTGCTGTTCCCAAACGTGACGAATGGTACAACGTCCCACCATACAAACTAGACTACTTGAAGGTATAATTCTCATCAACAAATACCAAAAAATTGTCAATTATTTACTATATTAACTATTTCTCTTTTCTAGCAAATCGACTTGAAAGAAAACCGCATCTATGAAGCTATCGACTATGGATTCGTTGTTGACGAGACTGGCAAACAATACAACATCTACACCCCAGAGGGTTTGAACATCCTTGGAAACATGATTGAAGGAAACTTTGATTCATTCAACTACAAATATTACGGATCATACGAATACTTGATCAGAAACTTGTTCGACTACAACACCAAATACACTTGCAAACGTGACTATATCCCAAGCTCCCTCATGACATTCAGTACCAGCATGAGAGATCCAATGTTCTACAAACTCTACGACAGAATCCTCTACTTCTTCCAACGGTAAGAATTTTTCTGATTCTGAAAATACATTCCGCATATCGGCGTATAAAAATCTCCCGAGATAAAAATGGGGTATCAAAAGTTATACCAGTTTGTCTAGCCATGAAACGAAGAAATTGAACACGTTCAAATATCAGTTACTAGGTAGCTTTGATAAGGTTTTCACAATACAGAGACAAATTCAATTATTGGCCTAACAAGAGCAAAGTATTTCGGAAACATTTTGCATTTCTAGTAACAATTACATTTCAAAATTTAATTCTACTTTTTCAAATCTGTTAAACAGCTACAAGGAGAACTTGAAACACTACTCCTACAATGAATTGTACTATCCTGGTGTCAAGATTGAGAGCTTCCACGTTGACAAACTAACCACTTTCTTCGATTATTACGATGCCACCATAAATAATGCCGTTGCTGTTGAGAACTTCAAAGAAGGATATGCCATCAACATGAAGGCCAGACAACTCCGTCTTAACTACAAACCATTCACCTACCGTTTCGGAATCAACAGCGACAAAGACACCAAAGTGATGGTCAAGATCTTCCTTGGACCAGCTTACTTCAGCGAGAAATACGACGAATACACCTACTTCCGAAGAAATTACATGAACTTCTTCGAACTCGACAGATTCGAATACCACCGTAAGTATTACTTCCAAAACATCTTCTAACAATTTTCTGAACTCCAAACAATTTCTCAGATCTTTTCTAACAATTTCCTGATCTTTTCCTTTTTAGTCAAGACCGGAATGAACAACGTTGAACGCAAGAGCACCGAATCCACCTTCACTGCTGACGACTACACAAGCTTCGAGACCTACTACAGAAAAATTGTCAAGGCCGCCGAAGGCAATGAACCATTCACCTACAGCGAGAAATTATTCGGATTCCCAGACCGTCTTCTCTTGCCAAAGGGTAAGAGGGAGGGTATGCCATACAGACTCTTCTGCTACGTCTATCCATTCGAGGAAGGCAAAGAATACGAATTCCCCATCTTCGGCAAATTCTACTACGATGGCAAGGCATTTGGTTATCCATTGGACAGACCAGTGAAACCATGGTTCTTCTCCATGCCAAACGCTTACTTCAAGGACGTCATGATCTACCACTCGAAAGAGATGAGCGAATACTATTAACTTTTTCAGACCTGACGAAAGAAATAGGTCCCAATGAAATAGAATCTCCAGCACATCATCAATCAATACTTTCTTTTGCAATTATTTCATTGTTACCAATCATTATTTTCACTAATTTGAAAATAAAATTATTATTTTCAAACATCCAGTAGAAAAGTGTAATAGTTTTAAATTATGTAAAATAATATAGGAAAAAATATTAAAGTGTAGAGTCAATAGATAAATAGGAGATTCAATGGTCTTGGTTGACTTGTTTCATGACTGACAATCATGGACTGAAATTGTTAAGTTAAGCAAATGGCTCATCGACTTAAAAAAAAGAGCTTTTCACTTGGTTTATGAACCAGTGTTAAGATTGTTATGTAAAAATAGTGAATTTTCACTAATAAATAAATTTTTGAACTAATTTACATTATTCTATTATTAATTCACCTTCCTCAACAAAAACTGATATCAATTATTTATTAAATAATTAATATTGATAATTAATAATTAATAAATATTCATTAATTCATAAAAATCGTAATAATTACTAATTATTACAATTATTATTATCACTATTTATTAGCGATTGATTTAAAAAAAATAATTTATAAAAATTTTAATTATTTATTTATTAAAAAAAATAATATTAAAAATCTATTATAATTAATGCAGTTAAAATAATATTTATGATAACAATAATAGTAAAAATAAGTATTACTTTCACTGTTACTAGTAAATATAATTAAAAAATTAAATTGTTATTAATTCTTCGTTTATTTTTGAGTTTAAAAATTAACTATAGCTAAATAGAAAAAAAATTACATTAATTTTTCAAAACCATAATTAAATAGATAAAAATTTTATTATTTAATAATTTATAAAGAATAAAATTATATTTAAAACAAAAATTTTTTAATTAAATTAATTAATAATTAAAATTTTTTATTTAAAAAACATAGATATTTTTTTTTATTACCAGAGAAATGTTTAAATTTGTTTTTATTTCTATTTTATATTTAATATTTTAGTTTTACAAATATTTAATTAAAAATTATATAAAATTAAAAAAAAAAAAATGAAATAAAATATATGCTTAATGTTAGAAAATAATGCTTAATGTTAGAAAAAATAAGAATTCATAATAAAAATAATTTTATAATTTAATTATTTTGTTAAACTTATCTACAATTTATGATTATTTATTTAATTTATTTATTTTATTATTATTATTATTAATTTAATTTATTTAAATTTATGATTATGATTGAAAGAACGGATAATTTGCATCAAAATTTGTTTTTTCTTCAATGTGATAAACAATTAATTTTCATCTACATTGTAATTCAATTATACGCCATATTGTGAATTAAATTAAATTACACTATAGTAAAAATAGCTTACTATCAACAAAAAAAAAAAAAAATTATTGATAAAATCAAGTTTGTTTTTGCTTGAAAAGAAAATATTTTTTAAAAATTCATCATAATCTAAAATACTTGATATTTTGGTAATTATATATACATATATGAATAATAATGCAAAGATAATAAACACTGACATATCAATATTATAAAGACAGTGCAAATAAACAATACTTTTTGTTAGAAATGTATAAAATTTTTTTTGAAAATTATTGCTTCATACAATAAAATGAAATACGAATATATCAAAATTAAATAAAAGAACTTTTGATGCAAAATTAATATATAATAAAACAATAAGAAACACTGCAATAAAATTATAATAAAGATATTGGAAAATTTTGACAAGACGATCCGGATTAAAGGGCAAACAATTATCAAATGCACACTTCAAAAATGAAGTTTCATCGATATTGAAGAATTATTATAATTACGAGTAAGGCTTGCGCAATTAAATCAATAAATATTATTATCTTCAAAAAGAAGACACCCGCTCAACATCATTATAATCACGAAAAAAAATAATAAAGGTTACTAAGAGTACGCCCTTATCAGACATGATTAGCAACATCATCAAGTGATATTGCCAAAAATCGAAGACAGATCTTCTTTATTTCTAATACCATTATAAACAAAAAACAAAGAATTGTTATGTTTCGATGATGACGATTTTGATTTTTCGCGGTAAAATTAATTGAAATGGATGAAAAACTGAACTCTCACAATTATTTTTTTCAATCACTAGATGTCTATTCTTCGGAATTAGTTTGATCGGAAAATTTAGGGTAGATAAAATTTGGTTAAGGAATCGGAAAAAAAGTTAGTCAAACTCCATATTTTAGAATCTTTAAATAAAATAACAATTTAGACTCTAAAAATGTCTTATATTATAAGTGTGAACAAATTAATTTTTAACATTTTCAATCATTGAAATATTGCATTTGCAATTATTTGTAATAATAAATAAATTTAATAATAATTTAAATCAAAAAAATGCCTTTTTCTATAGAAATCATACATTAAAATTTTTGAATAAAGATTTGCGAATCTGATGATGCAGTTGCATTAACAAGAATTGAATCATTAAACTTGCACAATAGGACCAGTAAAGATTATCTACAACGAAAACACCCAAAAGTCAAAGGTTCTCTAGATAAAATTTCGTATATATAAAGCACTACCGCATTTCACAAACTAGTCTTGAACTGAAATAGAACCATGGAAAGACAATTGATTGCTGCTTTTTTAGCAGCAATAATTTTAAGTTTACAAGTCGCGGCTTATACAGATAAAACCTTCACCGCTGACAACACATTTCTTCAAAAACAAAAGAATCTTTTTGAACTTTTCTGGCATGCAGATCAACCTACGATTTATCATCCAGAACTCTATCAAATTTCCAAATCATGGAATATAATCGACCATGTAGATGACTATACAAATAAGGTACAAATTGACCTCTAAATTTTTTTAAAAAAATTACCACAAGAACAAAACAAAGTAACAAATCTATTATTATTTCAGGAAGTTGTTCATGAATTTTTAAGATTATGGAAGTTGGGTATGACACCTCGAGGAGAAGTATTTTCACCTTGGTATCCTGATATTCAAAAAGAAATAGTTGCACTTTATGACTTATTCTTTTTCGCAAAGGACTATGACACTTTCTACAATACGGCTGTTTGGGCAAGATTTAACGTTAACGAACATATGTTTAATTACATGTTGGCTCTGGCGATTATCCATCGTCCCGACACAAAACACATTCGTTTACCTAATCTTTATGAAATTATACCACACTATTTCTTCAATGAAGATGTCATCGAACGAGCTCAACGTATCAAAATGGGTGATGTAACAGCAGCCAAGAAGGCAGTAACTGGAAATGAGCCCTACATTCTCCAAGCAAATTATTCCGGCTGGTATTTAGCACATGATCATGATACAGAGTGGAAATTAAACTATTTCACAGAAGATGTTGGCATGAACACTTACTACTTCTATCAAAATGCAATGTTCCCTTACTGGTTGAGCAGTGAAAAATACAATTTATTGAAAGGTGTTCGAGGACAAATGTACTATTTCAGTCACAAGCATCTGTTGGCTCGTTACTATCTTGAAAGACTCTCTAACGATTTGGGTGAATTAGAATGGCTCGATTGGGATAAACCCATTGTTACCGGTTACTATCCAACATTGGTTCATCCAACAGGTCTTCCATTCCCACAAAGGCCCACATGGTCCTATGTTCCAGTTCATAAATACGAACAAGTCGAGGTTAGTTACACTAATACTTAAATGACAAATTTTTAAAAATCAAACAGTTTGTAAAATATTTCTAATATTTAGAGAATCCATCATCTTGAATCGAGAATAATGATGTCAATTGACAATGGAAGAATAGAAAAGCATGATAACAAACCTTACGAACTTTATGAAAACACATTGGAAGACATGAATCACTTAGGAAACATCATTCAAGGAAATAGAGATTCCCTCTGCCGTAGGTACTACGATTCAGTTGACAAATATGCAAGAAATATTCTTGGATTTGGCCACGAGAGATCAACTAAATATCAACCAATTGTCGGTTCCCTTGACATGAGTCTCACTAGCATGAGAGATCCAGGATTCTACCGAATGTACAAAAAGATTCTCAATTTCTTTATTAGGTTTGTGATATTCCATATAAATATTTCATATTCCATGTTTTTCGAAACAATTCGATAACTATCGCATTTCAGATACAAGAGCAATTTGCCAACGTACACACACGAGGAATTAGTCTTTCCTGGAGTGAAAATTGAATCTGTAGCAGTTGATAAGTTAGTCACTTACTTTGACAACTTTGAATCAATGATAAATAATGCAGTTGCTGTCAAGAGTCATAAAGAGGCACAATCCATTGTCATCAAAGCTCGTCAACAGCGTCTTAATCATAAACCCTTCACTTATCATTTAACAGTTAACAGCGATAAGGCAACCAAGGCTTGGATACACATCTACCTTGGACCTAAATACGATGTTCATGGACACGAAATTGAAATGATCGATAATTGGATGAATTTCTTCGAAATGGACTACTGGGTAGCAGACCGTAAGTATAATACTAATTCCATATGGATAGTGGATTAAATAATAATTTTAAAACTATATTTATAAATTTATCTTCAGTGAAATCTGGAATGAACAAAATTGAGCGTAGCAGTCATGAATCAATATTTGTTGTTCCTGACACATCATCAAGCATTGATTTCTATAAAATGATCACCAAGGCTCTTGAAGGAGGAGAGAGCTACAAGTATTCTGGCCAGATGTATGGAATTCCAGATCGTATGATGTTGCCAAAGGGTAAACCCGAAGGAATGCCACTTAAATTGTTCGTATATGTCAGTCCCTATGTAGAAGAGCAGACAATGACTGTGGAATTCCCTGTATTTGGAACAAAACATTTTGAGAAGAAACCTATTGGATTCCCCTTGGATAGGTCAATGTATCACTATCATAAGACTGTACCCAATATGTATTGGAAGGACGTTACTATTTTTCACAAGAACGTTGAAGAGCTTAACGTAACAGTTTGAAATTAGAATATATATTTAAATTAGACAGTATTGTCTCAACGCTGTACAGATTTTCACGTTATATAAGAATTTTTTTTTTCATTAATAAATAGAAATTTATTTTGTCAAGTTTTAAGGAAATTTTATTATCCAACTATATGGCTGTATAGTTTAGTGGATAGAATCACTATATTTATTAGCTTTAATAATTAATTATTTCATGCTAGATGCATTTTGGTTAAAAAATTGCTAGTTATTTTAACAAGAAGAAATAGTTAATAACACTACCCAGTTCTAGTTGAATAATTCTGGTTAATTACTGATAAGATCAACTAGAATATAAATAACCAAACAATTTAGAAAAATTCTGAAGAATTTCTAGTTAAATTAATCAGAAATGTAACCAGATTTTTTAATAAGTAGTACTAATGATATATTTAAAATTTTATTATATGGTTATACTAACCAGAATTCTAGTTATTCTAAGCAGACATTTTTTTCAGTGTAATGAATCACATTAATCATTGAAATTAGTGGCTACAGATTGCGACTATTACTCAAAATAATTTTCAAAATGATTTGAATATAATATAAGTATAACATCCTGGTGAAGATAATATAATTTTTTTTTTACTAACCTATGATCGTCAAAGGACAAAAAAATTTATCAGTTGCATGAACAAGAAGTGAATCACCAAACTTGCGCAATAGGACCAAAAGATTATCTACCACAAAAATATACAAGGGTCAAAGGTTCTCTACATAAAACTTCGTATATATAAAGCACTACCGCCTTTCACAAACTAGTCTTTGAATTGAAATAGAACCATGGAAAGACAATTGATTGCTGCTTTTTTGGCAGCAATAATTTTAAATTTACAAGTTGCGGCCTACACAGAACCAATATTACAAGCTGATAAAGATTTTGCACAAAAACAAAAAGAACTCTATCATCTTTTTTGGCATCTAGATCAACCTACAATTCATTCTCCAGAATTGTATGAAATTGCTAAGTCATGGAATATTGCCGATCACATTGACGATTATACAGACAAGGTATTTATTTAAAATCAATTTGTTGAGAGATTTTAATGAAATTTTGTCACGTTTCTTATGCTTTAATTAAAGTCTTTCTTGTAAATTTCTGAGTTTTATATTTTTGTTTGTAATTAACAAAAGATATTCCATACTTTAAAATATAAATTAAGCTTTTTTTAAAAATAGTTAATCTGTAAGAGATTTTTGAAAATATCTAAATTTGTAATTTAATAAAGTTCTGTGGATATTTCTGAAAAAAATATTATATATCAATTTTGAAGCTGTGAACTCTTATCTGTAACGCTTATCATTTTAGGAAGTGGCAAACAAATTCTTGGGACTTTGGAAGAATGGAATGTTACCACGTGGGATGTTATTCCACGTTTATTCTAATCTCCAGACACAAATGATTAGCCTTTTTGATTTGTTATACTTTGCAAAGGACTATGAAACTTTTTATAAAACTGCAGTTTGGGCTCGATTTAACGTTAACGAACAAATGTATCAGTATTGTCTATTTTTAGCTATTCTCCATCGATCAGATACAAAACACATCAATTTACCATATCTTTACGAACTAACACCCCATTATTTTTTCAATGATGATGTCATATTTAAGGCCCAACGCATTCAAATGGGAGACGTTGGTGAGAATTAATTTTAAATTACAATTTCGAGATAAAATTCTTTATACATTTCTTTATAATATATTTTTTTAATATTGGATTTTAATTAGAAAATGAGAACAAAAATTCCTATACGATAAATGCAAACTACACTGGATGGTACATAACCCAAAAGCATGATATGGAATGGAAATTAAATCATTTTACGGAAGACATTGGAATGAATACATTCTATGCTTATATTACTGCTATTTTTCCTGGTTGGATGGAGAGTGAAAAATACAAATTGATGAAAGACGTTCGTGGAGAATCGTATTATTTTTTGCATAAGCAAATTCTAGCACGCTATTATATGGAGAGATTATCACATGACTTGGGCCAAGTGGAATATATTGACTGGGATAAACCAATTGTTACTGGTTACTATCCAAGTATGATACATCCTACAGGACTTCCTTTCCCTCAAAGACCATCTTGGTCGGATGTTCCACTTTATAAATATAAAAACGTCGAGGTTAGTACAAATAGTAACTATACTGTTATCAATAATGAATACTATTATAAATATTTTACAATATTCAGAGAATCAACAACATAGAATCTCGCATAAGCATAGCGATCGACAGCGGAAAAGTAATGACACAAGACAAAAGTAATTATTACGAATTCTACAAAGATTACATGAAAGACATGAATTACTTGGGAAATATGATTCAAGGAAATATGGATTCATCCTTTTTAAGATTCTACGATTCACTGGATGGACTTTCAAGAAATATTCTTGGATATGGACAAAATCCGTCATCAAAATATCAAGGAATTCTTAGTGTCCTGGATATGAGTGTCACTAATATGAGAGATCCAGGATTTTATCGGATGTACAAGAAGATTGTTGATTTCTTTTTAAAGTAAGTGTTTGTTTTCAATAAATGTAAACTTTATTCTATTCTATTGATTGATAATAATTTTTAAATCTGTGAATAATCTTCTTTCAGATATAAATCAAATCTTCCACTATATACTCAAGAGGAATTAGAATTTCCTGGAGTGAAAATTGATTCAGTTGTTGTTGATAAATTAGTCACATATTTTGATATATTTGAATCAATTATAAATAATGGTGTTGCTATTCGTAATGAAAAGGAAGCAAAATCAGTTTTAATTAAAGCTCGTCAGCAACGACTTAATCACAAACCTTATACTTATAATATAACAATAAACAGTGAAAAAGATACAAAGGGTTGGATACGAATTTTCCTTGGACCAAAGTATGATGTTCATGGACATGAAATTGATATGATAGACAATTGGATGAATTTCTTTGAAATGGACAAATGGGTTGTTGATTGTAAGTCAAATTTTTTTGTAGATATTAAGAAATAATTAATTTCTTTAATGAAATAAATAATAAATGTCATCATTTTTCAAATTGCAGTAAAATCAGGGACAAATGAAATTAAACGAAGTAGTCATGAATCATTCTACGTAACTCCTGATGGAATACCAACTACTGAATTTCTTAAAAAGGTTCAACATACCATTGACACAGGAGAGGGATACAAATATTCATCTCAAATGTACGGATTTCCTGATCGTATGATGCTACCAAAAGGAAAATCAGAGGGAATGATTTTCAAACTTTTTGTTTATATTAGCCCCTATAATGAATATATGTCGGCGGACGTAGATATTCCTGTTTATGGCAAAAAACATTTTGAATTTAAACCTATGGGTTTCCCCATGGATAGACCAATGTATTATTATGATAATACTATGCCTAATATGTATTGGAAGGATGTTCCTATCTTTCATAAAAAGGTTTAAAATTCAAAAGTGATTCAATTTGTAAATTAATTTTACTAACATAACATTGAATGTGTGTATATTTTAAAGAGTATTATTATAAATACAACAGATTTTTAGATTTATAAACGTGGCTATAGTATTCGTAAATTTAATTGTCTTTTACTTCAAAGAGAGATTAATTAATTGCTTACAAACTCATTTTATCTATATCTAATGTCATTTTTAAAAATAAACAAAAAGTATACTGAAAATGATGTCTCATCTATGAATATTTATCCCTTATTTGATGATTATTTTCCGAATGAAAAAAAAACTTTATAATAATTACTGTATTTTCTTTATGTAATATTCAGATCTGAATTTCAAAAAAATCAAAAAAAAAATTTGTAATCAATTTTATAACAAATTTTTAAATAAAATTACTTTTTCTCAACTAACACGATATTTCAATATAAGTTACAACGATAACAAACATGAAAATGCGAAATTTTATCTTTTTAAACATTTTTAAGACTCATAAATGCCTCTAAAGAGGATATTGACCTATGATGTTATTTACTTTAATGAATTTCATTTATCATAACATTATAGCATTATAATAACAGAAAATTCGTTGACAGATAACAAATGGTTAAAGTTCAAATCATAATTCGCTTTTCTAATAAAATTGTTTCTATAAACTGTCATTTTTACAACGAAATAGATAGAAATAAATCCTTGTTCTTAACAATTTACGATGTCAATTAATTTTATCATGAACAAATAAATGACTATATAGGTAATTCATCATTTTCTCCATAATTAATAGAGAATTAAAAAAAAATTAATTTTAAAAATTTTATTTAAATATATTTCAAAATTTTTTAATTCTTTAATATTAACTATTTAATTTTTTATATTTTAAATGTTTTCAAATTCTAGAAAAACATACAAAAATTATGTTTTTAATTTTTAAATTATTATTTTTTGACAATATATGATATCGAGTCAAATTAATCAACTTATCCTTGACTTTTCTTTCGCTTGTTGTTATTGAAAACAACATGATTGTACACACAAATAGTATTAATTTATCTAATTAAACATATGCCTTGTCCATTCATCAAGATCACCAGCACAAAATATTCATTTAATTCATCCATCAGGAATATGAATTTAATATTTATTTTTAACATTTATTTCATTAAAGAAATCAAAAACTGATTTGTATTTATCACTCAATTAAAAACGCCGATTTACCATAATCTTTAAATACGAAAAATACCACAATTATAATACTTTTATTAAGAAACAGAATGTTTTCATACTTAATTTTTTGTAGATAATAACAGCTTTTAGTACAATCAAGCAGTAATAAAAAAGTCTTTTATAAATCAAAGTAGAATATTGAAGAATTAGAAAATTAGTTTTTAGAAAATTTGGCTATATGTCAACAGATTTTTAATCAAAAGATATTTATATATCGACAGCTCATGAAAACAATATGCAAGGGTCACCGTTTTGACTTATAGCGAAAAGATTAAAGAAACAAAGCTTGGTATAAAAGTCCAAGCGGTGGATCGCAAGACAGTCATTATACTCGACAGAGAGCACATCATAAGAGTTATTGATTTAATTTAAAAAAAACAAAAGCAAAAAAAAAAACCGCGTGCCATAATGGCCAGACTCTTAGTGTTTCTGGCCATCTTGGCGTGTTTTAGCCAAACGATATGTGCCGAATATTTCACCGAATTCACAGCCGACAAGGACTATCTTCTAAAGCAAAAACGTATATACAATATTGTTTATCATCTCTCACAACCGGAAATAATCAATCCTGATCTCTACAAAGAAGGCCAAGCATGGGACATAAAAGCCAACATGGATTCGTACACCAACAGTGTAATTATTCATAAATGTGAATTTCAAAATCAATTGTCAAAATTAAAATCAATTTTTAAATAAATATTTTGGTTTTTAAATACACACATACATATATATATAACAATTTTTTGTCAAAAATTGTTCACAGACTGCAGTGATGGAATTCCTACGTCATTGGGAAAATGGAATGTTACCGCGAGGAGCACTTTATTCTATGTTCTATCCAGAACTTTTACATGAAACAAAAGCCCTATTTCGAATTTTCTGGTATGCAAAGGATTTTGAGACATTCTATAAAACTGCCCTTTGGGCTAGAGCTCATATTAACGAGGGTATGTTTTACACTGCTTTTGCTCAAGCTGTCATCAGACGTCCAGACACCAAGTACATAAGGCTACCAGCGCCTTATGAAATCTATCCATACTCCTTTTTCAATTCAGAAGTCCTAGAGAAGGCTCATCATCCAAAGCGATTCGGAAAAATGGGTAGGTCCAGTAAAATAAATTTTAATGAGAAATCTTTAACTAAACATTTCTTTTGTCTTACTTTCAGAATCGAAAGGTGATTTAGAAACGTACTACATATCTGCAAATTATTCTGGTTGGTATTTGAATCTTGATTCCGATGAGGAACACAAACTCTCATACTTCACTGAGGATATTGGTCTCAATACCTATTACATGTACTACAGATTTGAATATCCATTTTGGTTAAATAGTGATGAGTTTGATTTAACAAAAGGATATCGAGGCGAAGAATATCTTTATGGACATAAACAACTTTGGAATCGATATTTCTTAGAACGTTTATCAAATGATTTAGGATACGTTGAAGATTTCGATTGGGATAGAGAATTCCACACAGGCTATTTCCCAACAATGACCTTCCACAACAGCTTCCCATATCCTCAAAGATCTCATTGGGCCCGCTTTCCTGAACACAAGTACAAGTACATTCAGGTATTTTTCATTTACTTATTTTACAATACCATTTGTCAAAAATGGATAATAATTCCAATCATTTAATTCCCATAGCACATCAAAGATTACGAATTTCGCATATCAGCCGCAATTGATTCTGGTTTTATTCTAAAAGAAGATGGAAAATGGGTGAATATTTACACTCCCGAAGGTTTCAGTTATTTAGGAAACATCATTGAGGGTAACAAAGATTCCTTAAATCTTCCATTTTACGGGAGCTTCGATTTTTATGCAAGAAAAATATTAGGATTCAATCTCGAACCAAATAATCCTTATCAAATTATTCCAAGTGCTTTAGAATACTACGATACAAGTATGAGGGATCCTGCTTTCTACAGATTGTACAAAAGAATCTTTAACTATTGGTGCAGGTTAGTACATTCATTAAAAGAAAACTATGAAAAAATATTTATAAAAAATCTATTTAATAGATACAAGAACCATATGAAGAACTACAAGAAGGAAGAGGTAGTTTATCCAGAATTTAAAATTGAATCGGTAGTCATTGACAAACTTCAAACATACTTTGATCAATACGAAACGCCTATTGGTGCTGGATTGAGTGTTGAGAGCGAAAAAGAAGCAGAATCCACGCAAATTAAAGTTCGCCAATATCGTCTTAATCATAAACCCTTTAAATTTCATTTTACGGTTAATTCCGAAAAATCAACTAAAGCTGTAATGAGAATTTTCCTTGGACCAAAATACGATGCACATCATAAACTTTACGACTTCCGAGATAGTTATAAATATTTCTATGAAATCGATCAGTGGATATTAGACCGTAAGTATATCAAATTACAGATAATAACTATTAAGAAATTATCAATTAGAAATAGATTACAGAAATTTAATGACATGTTTCTTTTTACAGTGAACGCGGGTATGAACAAGATAGAACGTTCAAGTCAAGACTTTTTCTTTAGTATTCCTGACTTGGAACCAAGTGACATCTTCTATAAGAGATTAACAAAGGCCATTGAAGGTGAACCCTTCAAGTATCAAGGACGTCTCTATGGGTTCCCAGATAGGCTTTTATTGCCAAAGGGTAAACGAGAAGGAATGCCATTCCAATTCTTCATTTATATTTGTCCTCTGACAAGTGAAGCAATGAAGTATTCATCAAGAATATTTGGCGATTATTACATGGAATCTAAACCCTTTGGTTTCCCTCTAGACAGGCCAATTTATGAATTTAAATTCGATGGACCTAACATGTTCTTCAAAGATGTTAACATATTCCATAAAGACGAGTATGAACTAAACATCACTCACTAGTTACTTTTTAATGCTTAATTCACAATTATCTATACTTTCCATTCTCTCTTTTCTTATACATCTCTCTCCATTCAAAATTGTATTGATTATCATATACTAATAAAAAAAAACCTCTCTAATAAGCGAAAAATTATCATTAGTGAGTTGAATAAATTTTAATGTAGACTATAATGTAGATTTATAGAAAATAAAATGATTAGCTTAAGAAATTAATTTTTCTTTTTCCTAAATTCTCAATTTTCTAAACAATATAATCTTCCTGTCAATTTTTAAGAAATCAGGTCAAATTATAATTAGAGTACAATGGAAACTATAACAAACATAAACTGAATATAAAAGAAACTTCAAGAAACAATGAGAATTCGTAAAAATAATAGTAATGATCATTGGGCAAAAAAAAAAGTGGAATTCAAAAAACAAAATTAGGTCAACACCGTAATAAAAATTTTTATCTTAAATTAATAATATTCGAGTGTTTAGAATAAATTATTAAAATTTAATGTTTTTAAACACAGTTTCGTATTAATTGTGACTAAATTCTAAATTTTTAATCGATTTATAATTAATTTCCACTGCAATGGATAATTTGATTTTCAGTATGACTTCAACTATACATAATCTTGATTATAGACTACAATTAATCTGTGGCATAATAATATGAAATGTAATCAAGTTTCATAATCTACTTTCTTAGCACATGAAAGGAAGCGCCTAGTAAAGAAAATATCTGCTCAGGTGTGGTATGAGGATAACTGTATTCAATACATATAAATAAAACTTAAATCATTTTTGCACGCAAAGGATAGTTGATGTAATCTTCAACTAAGCTTTTTGCTGATTATACAATAATGTCAATGTTTATACATACATTTTATGTATGCAATAACTTATTATTATTTATATTGACAGAAAAATAACTGTTATAAATTATATGAAAAACATTGTAATTAAAAATCTTTTACATAAGAACGAGAAAGAGAGAGAGAGAAAGATGAAAATTGAAATTCTTGTCATTTCTAAATCAAATTTACCGATATTTTATAAGCAAATTAAAAATTTTATCTTTCGTTAGGTCACATTCTGATTTGTTTCCAGTATTTCCTGTCACGTAAATTCATACCGTTATGTGTAACTCTATACGCCTACATCTATATACACCTCAACTGTGCGTGAATAATCAGCATACTTGATTTAAGAATTCATATTTGCTACAACAACTTCCTAGATACTGTTACATATTTTGCTGTTTATTTTCTTTTAAAAACTATTAATTCAGTCGATAATTCATAAAACGATTCAAATTTCTAACATTTATCTAAACATCATGTCCACTAAAAATGATCAATATTATTTCAATTCTATTGTTTCCTTGATTCTAAAATTTTTTTTAACTAAATAAAACAACAAACTATCTCTGTATAGATTGTTCTATACACTTATGGTTTATTCTCGGAAAAGAAATTTGATTCAATGAAATGAGGTCGATGTTGTTTGTTAATTACTTTAAAGAAACATTTCCTTCATTTAAGAAGATTTTTTGCGTTTCTAAGAAATTAAATTTAAAATTTCAGTTGAAATTTGGAAAAATACAAGAAAAATTATTCTTTAAACGTAGTAATAAATATTTTTAATAAATTTACGACTCACCGATCGATGAATCCCACGTTGTCCTTTGCTGAACATTATGGACAATTTCCGAATAATTGGAGACTGCATTTTTGTTCACTATTCTTCAGATTGTTATTTGGAGAAAAAGAACTGAAAAAGAAAAAAATTTAATTATTTGCTAAAAAAATATAGAAAAATTAAATAATTATTAAATTAAATATAAGAATATTCTCTAAATTTCATTATATTCCTAATTTTTTTAGATATTCTTTAAATGGAATATTCCGCATTCATATAGTGGTGGGGCAAAAACTAAAGAAGAACAATCTGAAAATCTATAGTCATATTCAGTGACTTGAAATAGATCATTGATTTGCTATAATAGAAATACGCGGATTAAGTGCATTGAACCGGTTTTAGCTTTTATCTTTCCTAGATTCAATATACAGTCAGGACAACTAAGTCTACCTCAAAGGTAACGGGAATTGAAGTAAGTGGCCCTCGTTGCCAAGTACAATATCAGATCATCGTATATACCTATATATCTATATGTAATAGGCCATTCGCAGTGTGACGTAAATGACTGCGTTCATTGCAAACATTCAAGTCTCCCATCAGGAATGCAAGGGGGATTCTTTGAGTTGGTCAAGGTCACGCGCCCATAAAAAGATGTGTTTCCATCTGATTCCTTCAGTGCGCGAGGAAAGGGGGCAAAGGAATATGTGGAACATTGAACCATGGAAAACATAACCGTGAAGCGGGTGAAGGTAGATGCCGCATTCGAAGTATGCGTCTCTGAGGTTCGAGGACTTCAGTTTTACTATGACCGTCGTCGAGGTCACGAGAAACTCTCATTATTAATATCATTTAAAAAAAAAAAAAATTATAAAGTTCCTTAACAAAGTTTTACAATATAAATTTCGATATCTAAACATCAATCATGGAATTTCGAACCTTCATTGTAAGTTTTTTTGTTTGTTTTATTTTCACAAGTGCAGTGTGCAAATTATTTATTTGTATTCAAAAACTCTAAAAAAGGACATTTTTCAACACTAAATATTTAAAATTTCATTCTATTTATTTAGCTGCATTTATTTTTATTAACTTGACAAATAAACAAATTCACCATAAATCATGAAATTTCTTTTAAAAATTATTCTATATTTATATTTAATATTATATTGAATAAATATTCATTGCTAAATTACCTTCTTAGTTAGTAATTAATTTATTGTTTATTTAATTATAATTTAATAAATACTAATTTATTTAATTTCAATTAACACATTAACTATATTAATAGAAAAATAATTTTTAAAAAAATATTTGAAAATTAATATTTTTACGTTGAAAATTTCAAGAACATTAAAACAGTAAAATTACACATAATAATGAGTACTGTTATATTCTAAAAAGAATATTTCTCTAGAGTATAAGGAAATTTTTTTTTTTTTTTTTGCTACTTTTCCTCTATAGACAAAATAATAATATCCAAATTTAGAAAGTACACTAAAATAATAATTATATCCCTAAAGTGTTTTTTTTTTAAATTTAGATAAAAAGTTAGAGAAAAAAAAATTAAAATTTTTTATACTCGGAGTATATATATATTATTTACACCTATTTTTTCACTGTTATTATTATTAATTTTTATAGATAATAATTTACTAATTAATTACTAATTACTAATTTCTTTTTAAGAAAAAAATTATTAACTACACGGAAAAAAAAGAATTGCTTACAGATGCTAACTGATATTTGCTATCGGATCTATCAAAATTAGTAACCACAGCTAAATTTTTTGCTATGACAACGAAAAAGTTTGCTGTGATAAACAATATTAGTCTTAATTTTTTAAAATTTACTGTTACAGTAAACTTTTTTTGACCCCACAGCAAATTTGTTCGCTGTCCCTATATTAGCTAACGTAATTTGTTGTCACAGCAAATAGTTCGCTGCTACAGCAAAATTTTTCTATGCGTGGAAATTAAAAAATTAAAACGGGTTCTGTATTCATTACACGGACGTAGAATTTTAATTGTGACAACGTTTTTTCTTAATTAATTAAAATATATTTTTTATAAGATTTTTATTTAGTATTTATTTTGTACTTAAACACAATGAAAAAAATGTATTTGATTCAAATACTTGATTACTTCGGAGTAAGACGTTGTCACGTCAAAAAATACAACTAAATTTTTTTGTAATAAAATTTTTCCAATAAATTAAAATATTTACCTTAATAGCGAATTTTCATCTTCAAGGAGATTGTTTCAAACTAAATAGCCCTCGGAGATCCCTACTTTCAAGTTAAATTTCCATTTAGAAAATGTGACAAATAACCGTAAAAATATACCGAGTTTTAAAAAGTCTGTGTGAATTCCGTCTCCTTCTCTTTTTTATTTTTGCCCTTATATTTGAAGTACATAACACTACAAGCCATCGAGGATAGAATCTGTAAAAATTAAAATACTATTAGCGCTGTATTAACTGATTAATCAAAATTAATTGAATTACATAATAGACATAAATAAAAATATGAACTCCTCTCAATATTACAATCTAATAGTGATTTTGAAAAAAAAAAATTAAAACACAAATTTTTCAAAAATTCAAAAATTGTTTTTTCTAAAATAAAGTGTGACATGAATAAATTTGATTAAAGATTAAAAAAAAGGAGAAATAAAATTGTCAAAAGCACATGGGTATGTATATATACATATTATAAGAACCAGTTTTAAGAAGGTGGCGCCTTTATAACTTGCCGTAACTGTAATGGCATAGTATTACGCGTATGTCATCTTACCGGCTTTCCTGATACATACTAGAATCATCTACAATCAAAGTGGGTTAACATCCTAACATCCGTGTTTTCACGAAGGCATTCGAATTTATCTATATACGTGTACTAGAACAGCGACCGGACTTTGTTGACTTTTATTCGCGCATTTAAAAAAAAGAAAATTATATATGTATATATAATACAGAAGTATTTAAGGAAGGGCAATGTACCGTGCAATATATTTTACATGACAGAAAAAGCACGTGGTTATAAACCATTACATAAATACGGAAACAGGAGAAAGCAACGTTTTACTTTTGAGCTACTACATCCGATATTATAACTCCCATATAATATATACTTTCATTCTTATCAAATTATTTTAATTTTCATGATGTAACTTTCCTCTCACAATAGAAAATTTCTTAAAGTGCGTCTATTGTTTCCTTTCATTTTTATTTCTTTTTTTTTGCTTCTTATAGCAAATAAAAAAAAATATTACAATTTTCAACAGTTTCTAAATAATTATAATTTTAATATTTTCCAAATAATTATAATTTACAGATTTTAAATTTTAAAAAAGAATTATAAAAGCCAAATAAATATTTGGTTTAAATAAAAATTCGATTTGTGCTAAATAAGATTTTTTATTTCAAACAAATTAGAAAAAAAAAGATTTTAAGGTCTGCAAAACATTCGAATGCAGCAATGTTTATTAATAGCTTGAGGACCGGGTACCGTTAAGGACGAACATACCTTTGTAAGGTATATATATATATATATATATATATATATATATATATATATATATATATATATATATATAAATATATACTGCCTTAGTAACGGGGTTACAAATCATATATATTTATGTATGTGTGTTTTTTGTCACACGTGACAAATTACCGTTACCGAAAAAAAAAATTATTCCTCAAAACAAAATTGTTGTTTAATTTTTTTAAATTATAGTTTGCTAGTAAATTAATTAATTAATTTTTTATTTCAGATGATAGTCCTTTGTGGCTTTACATATGGAGCTGAAAATGGAGAAAAGGAAAAAAATTCAAAATCACCTGCACTAAACACAATTGTTCAAGAAGATGAACCACCGGAAGGTTACTATGCATTTGTCGAATCACCAAATGCGGAACCACCAAAAGTTAAACCACCACCATATATTGACAGTGATAAGGAATGTCATGGTAAATTATCAATTATTACAAAAAGCTATCGAATGATTTTTCAATATTATGATTATGTAATCAAAATTAATGTAAATCAATTGAAAATTATTAAAAATCCACAGACACGGGAAAGCAGGGAAAAGGATATGTATCAATTCACAATATTTGTGGAGACCTCAATAAAGGATATATTCCACGAAATCCTATGAAACAAAGTTTTAAAGGATCATCGTATCCCTTGTGAGTTGAAAAACATTTTTTTCCCTCATAAAATAATTCTATTTAATAATGTAATTAAAAAAATTCTCTTTTCCCCCCACAGTGAATTAATACGTAATCATACATTAAAATTTTTGAGTAAAGCCCTCCCAATACTCAAAGCCGATGATTCACTACCAAAAGTGGCTAAGGTTCAACCTTACTCACAAAATTCGTAAGTAGAAATTATTAAAAGGCGAATGAAAAAAAAGAAATATTAAATTAGAATTATAAATTTTTTTACTTTAGAGTTGATACAAATGAGAAAAGAAGTAGAAGTAAACGAGCCGCTAATTCAGAAACGAAAGTAGAAAATCGTACCGGAAGGAAACTATGTGAAAATCAAAGTGGAGTGTAAGTTACTTTTCACTTTATTAGAATCTCAATTGAAAAATTAATTTCAATTTAATATGTATTAAAAATAATTTTTTCAATTTAGAATGTGTATGTTATACAAAGCAATTCAGGGAGAATCATTGACACCTGCTGCTGCCGAAAGAAGAGATGAAATACCACCAACTGAATATTATCAAAGAGAACGACCTGCACCTCAAGAAAAACCTGAATACACAGGTCCACCAACGCCATGTCCTGCAAAAGTTGAATACGCAACACCTGTTTTTGCCAAAAATTATCAAGGAGTCTGGCGTTATGTTGTACAAATTCCCTATGAAGGCTACTTCACTCAAACAATTGAAGTTACTCGATGCATGTAAATATTTAATTTAATTAAATTCAATAAATTTTGTTAATTTAAATTTTTCATCAAATTCAAATATTAATATTCAATAAATTTTCAAAGGCAATCGCGATGTCACTATTTGGATGGTGGATGTCTATCGTCACCAAGATGGACAAGTTTACTTGTGGCGGAAATTTTTTATCCTGATACATTTTTAGAAGAAAATCAAAATAATCGATTACCTGGACCAAGAGATCCAGTTACTGGTTCTCCACCTCCAGTTTATGATTTTCAAAATTATCAACAATATTTGCAAAAACGAGCTGGAGAAAATGAAGGTCGCAGTAGTTCAGGATCTCAGCCACATCATTGCGATGGAGTCGATGATATGGGATGCTTCCAGGTATTTGATAATTTTATAAAATATTATTTTAATAATCATTAATAATTTCATTCAAATTAAATCAATTTCAGTGAAATTCATAAAAACGTAAAATATTTAAAAATAATTATAAATTTTAGGTTCGACTTTACTACGATTGGTTCCTGGTACCTGGAAGTTGTAAATGTTGGCGTCCTGACTATTTTAATCGTTACGTTCGTCGAAGTAGTCAAAATACTGAATTGTAAAAAAAAATTATTCATATAATTTTAATCCATTGCAGTCATCATTCTCATAAAAACATTCATCCAACATTGTCAAAAGACTTCGAAAATTGACAAATTTTTTTTATCTACTTTTTTTTCTAATTATACACAAAAACTATATATTATTTGTAACGATAATAATATTTTGTATATTAAATTATGCAAGTGATTTTATACGACGATAATTTCAATAATTTTTCTTTTTTTCACACAATATTTCGACTGACTGATAAAGGCATTATAGAAAAAAAAAAAAATCTAGATATTTTTTTAGAATTAATAAGTTGCAATAATGTCATTTTCGAAGAAAATTGTCACATCTTCATTTTATATTGTAAATATATTTTTTTTACGTAATTTTCAATGATCGATAATTGAAAATTAATATTTGTTATACACCCGTCTAATATTATATTCTTAAGTATAGTTTGTGGATTATTATTAGACTTAAATGTATATAAATGAAATATTCAAGTTTTTTTTTTTGTAATAAATTATAAATTTTAAGATAAAACATTTATTCGAAATTATTTTTTTCTCCGACTTTAATTTTAATACTCTTTTAAACAATGTGATTTTTTTTTTCTTATTAAGAATTGTTTTTAATATAATTTTAGATTGGTTTTAAAGTTAAAAACTATATTATTGAAAAATTCAAATTATTTAAAAGCTCTTTAAAGCACTAAAAAGAAATTAAAATCGAAAATATAATAATAATAAAGATGAAAAGAACTTGCCGATGACGAATTCTGACGTTGCATTAAGGAGTTGAGAAAGACAGCCTCCTTTTAAATTAATCAATTTTTGAATTCAGTTTCTTCAATTGATTTCTTGAAGATCCTTTTTCTTATTCTAGAACCTTTTTTCCGATCACCAATTCTACACAGACAAAATTTATTTAAAAAAATAATTAAAAATAATTATGATTAAAAAAATAATATCCTAAATAATCGAAGTTAACCTAAAAAATTGTTTTTCTGGAATTTACCGAGAAAAACGTTATTTTCTTCAAGAATTTCGGAAACAAAAAAAATATGAATTTTACTTTCATTTATAGTGTATTTAACTTACCTGTCTGCTGTCAGCAAATTATCTCCATCCGCAAAAGATCCAATTTGAGCCTCTTTTAATTTGGAAAATTTTTACCAAATATTTGACACGATTTTACTGTTCCAAATTATCTTCTTAGAATTGTGCTTGTTTTTAATATGATCTAAATCCAAATATCCGCCAAAAAAGAAAGAGCTGAAACAATAAAAATGATATAATTATAGACATGTAAATAATTATTAACAGAAAAATTCAGATGTCGACCCACACATCGAAAACGATATTTTTTGACGAATTTTTAACACTTAAGATAAAGACAAATCAAATTATGTATATATTACCTACTTTTAACAATAATTTTCTTTGGTTTAGATTCTATAAGCAAATTAGCCCTCGATTCTCGAATATAGGTTATGATCCGATTGTCGAATTTTTCTTTTTTTGTGCTACCAATTAAAAGCAAGGTAATAAATAGTAAAAGCACTTTTCACTTTTAAAAACTTAATAATTTTGTTCTTATTGTCATATGACATCGACAAATTGTTTGTAAAGCGACAAAATTGTATAAACAAAGAAAAACTTTCGCGACAAAAGCACCCTGATTAGCCATCGACGCCATTTTGAAAAATTTTTTGCATTGTATACATACATATATATACAATACATACACCTCAAACTCAATACTGTAATTAAATATTAGAAAAATTATAATATTCTATGCTACTTTAAAGAAAAAAGTGAAAATTCTAAAAATACGTACAATTTAGACTAAATTAAAATCGACAAGATAATAAGAGTACAACATTAGTATTACAATTTTTCAACAAACGACTTATGTGGGACACTTATTTTAAGTTGTGTAACATTTCGGATGAACATTTTTAATAAGAAATATGAAAAATTTACCTTTTTTTTGCAGAAAAAACACAGTGTACAAATGCAACGTCAAGAGATGCGGAAATCACAAAAGAATGAACGGCACTAGAGATAGGAATATGTATACTACGCTCTGATTGGCTTAGAAAAGAAATGGAACTGGAATGTAACTTCAATTTTGATTGGATGAAATATTCCGCCAGTTTCGATTTTAAATTTTTAAATTTTTAAAAATTGAAACTACAATTATTCACATAATATTTAAATCACACATTAATACATGATTATATGTATTATTATTATTTATAATTATTAATATAATTATTTATTACTATTATTATTTTCTAAATACTACATTGTTCAGAGTAATTAAAAAGTTAAATTAAAAAAATATAATCCTACATTTCTGTCAATACGAATGAGAATTAATTTAGAATTAAAAAATATATAGTTATTAAAGAAATGAAAAATTTGAAAAACTAGAATATTATATTCAATTTGTTACCCTCACTGTAGCTTTTTACCGACTGTGAACATTAACGTAATTATTTTTTACCTTCAGACTTGCATTATTATTTATTTATTTTTTTACAAATTTTTAAATAATTTTACATATATTGCTTTTTCTTAATGTATAGAAATTGTATTTTATTCACTTTTAAAATAAACAAAATTTTAATTCATATCCACTGTTAGTAAGCAAGAGCAAGATTAACGAATTACCAACAGTTGCTTAACAACATTTTGTAGAAGGTTCGAAATTTCACCAAAAGGCGGGAACATTAATGTTGAATTCGTACTGTTTATAATTATTTATTTAAAAATTAAAATATATTTTATTCTTATTATTATATTATTGTTATTATAAATTAAAATTATTTATTATTTATTTTATATAATAACTAATAAATTAAAAAAAAAATTTGCTCGTTGATTTAAATTTTATATTATTAATAAAAAATTAATAAAATGTAAATTTTACTTTATATAAAAAATATTAATTTTATTAATATTTATTTATTTTATTATTATTAATGTATTCAACTGTAAGATAATGATTCTACAAAAAATTGTTCGTGGAGAAATATAATTTTTTCCTTTTTTTTTTTTTATTGAAATTAATTTATATCAAAACGTTAATTTAACGTTTAATTAAAATTTGAAAATTTTTAAATTGAAGCAATCTTACAAAGTCACTGTCAGTGAGCTTGAAATATATATATATGTTCCAAACAACTGCCAGAGAGTCCAGAAACTAGATCTTGATAAAAATATCTTTTCCTTTAGTTTCGATGCTCACTATCGCAAGTTAAGGCCGTTTACACAAATCGGATCTTTATACTTTGTAACTATTCCACTTTTTGTTTGAAAAGAAGTTTTCTACTTTCTTCACAAAAAAAAAACTTCAATTATCTAATAATTCCATATTTTATCTTTCACATGAATTATTCTTCTATATATTATACAAAGATTCATTTTTTATAAAAATAAAAAAATAAAACTGGAGACTTTTTCAACTTTTCCTATATAAAATAGATATATGAAGAAATATAAATTTAAAAAAATTTATAATCATTATAATTAAATTATTAATTATAATTTATTTATTAAATAATAAATAAATATTAAATTTTTGTATTTAATTTGAAAAATTTGAAAATTTTTATATATTTACACTAATACAAAAGTCATTATCTAGATTTGTTTACGTGATGAAAGATTATATTTAGATTGAAGATATTTTAGTAGTTCAAAGTAGATTCAGGGAACGTTAAAAAAGTTGAAGATATTTTTAGCTACTATTTTCTAATATTCAACAGTATGGTGCAGTATGAATATATTTTCATCGGACAAAAAAATAATTTTGGAAAAATGAAAATTCAAAGAATTCTTTTTTTTTAATAACAAAAAAAAATTAAAAGGTATTAAAATAAGCTGCAACGCTTATTTTAATTAATTTTATTTTTTACGAACAAAAATTGAAGAAAGAAAAACGAACAAGAAGTTCTTTTTTTTATTAACAAAAAAGAAATTCTTTTGAAATAAAATTTTTTGTGTCAAATGAATATAAAAAAAAATGAATTTTTTTTTAAATAAGAAATTTGCCAACTTGAAGATATAAAATGAAAATATAAAAAAATGAAGAAATTTATTTTATTTAAAATAATTAAAAAATTTTAAAAATAAAACATTTGTTTTTCAATTTAAATTATATAAATTTTCTAATTAACTTATTTTTTATTTTTAATTAATTTATTTTTGTTTACTATTTAATTTATCAATTATTATTAAAATAATTTGCTCGTTATATCGTTGTAAATGATATTCAAACTCTCAAACTATAAAAAGAAATTGAAAATATATATATTTACAAAAAAAAGTCGTTTCAAATTTTCGTCATCATTTTAAACATTTTCTTGTGATTTTTAAGCTCTTTCTCTCTCTCTCTCTCTCTCTTTCTCTATAAGAGAGCGCCGTCGGCTCCGTTTACAGTTTAAGATTATTTTTGGCCCCACAGCAGCTAGGAGCTCGCCTAAAAATGTATTAACCAATCAAAATCACGTAATTCTTGTCACGTGATTTTTCCCCGAAGAAGTCGTCGAGGAAGACGAAGAGAAATCTTCTACAACGGCACAGTCAGCTGCCGAAGGTCTTGTTGACTAGTCACTACGTCCCATTCTTCTCAAGGTAAGAACATCATCATCATCATCATCATCATCAAACAGTGGATTTTCAAGAAAAATTTGAGAGACAAAAAAATGGGTCAAAAAATCATCAAATTTTGAAAAAAAATGAAATCAAAAGTTTGAAAGTTATTGAAGATGAAGAGTTCAATCAACTGAAGAAAGGTTTTTTTTTTAGTGGTTCTCGAGTGTCAGTGACCAGTGTTTCATTCATAGTGAACCGAAGTATGAATTTTTTTTTTTTTTTATTTCTGAAATATAATGATGACAGTGCGAGGCAAAGATTCTTTGTATTGTGTAAAAGAAAACGAGAGAGAAAGAGAGAGAAAAAAAGAAAAAGAATAAAAACCAGGTCGGTGTAAAGAAACTGAGAGAAGGTTTTAACCTGCTTTTTCGTTTTAACCCCATCATCATTCTGCGACACGTACGATGTGTGCAGGTGCATCGTGCAAAGTTAATACCTTCCCTGGAGTGGTATAACACCTGAGCGAGATACGGAAAAGCGAAAATCGTCACTGTGTCTTTCATCCCCTTGTGCCTTTTTGGACTTTGTTTTACAAAAAAGAGGGAGTGAGTCTCAAAAAAAAAAAAAATCTCTTCGTTTCTCTCTAAACAGTATACGGATTCAGATTTATCTCGCAGCAAAGAGAAAATAATTCTGATTACATTACCGCATGAAAGTCAGGGAAATATGTTTGTCCGACATTTTTTTAATTTTCTTTTTATTTCATACTTTTCTTTTTATTGTTAGAATCATAAATTCTAACAGTGAATTTAGGTAAAAAAAAATAGGAATTAAAAAAAATTAAAAACCAGTTAATATTTTCAAATATTTCTCATTTTTTTTTCAAATATCAAATATTTCGTTAACATAAAATCAGTAAAAAATAGTTATTAGAAATTAGAAAAAACTAGCCCCTTAAAAAATATAATTTTGAGAATTTTTTTGCTCTCTAAAAATGTGAATTTAATAAAAATTGAAACACTATTTTATATTATTATTAAAAAATTCTCACTAAGTAAAGTAATTTTTTCCTCAAACTTCAGTAAAAAAAAAAATAAGTAATTTAGTATACTCAAACAAAAAAAAAGAAAGTTTTCACTAAAATAGCAAAAGTTACTAATTAAATCTGTTAAAACTTTTATACTATTCTAGTGAACATTTTTCTTGTTCCAATTAATTTTTGTTTTTAGAAAATTATAATATTTTACTAAAAAAAAATTAAGTGAACATTTTTACTGAATTTTTGATAATTTCAAATATTTTTAAAAATATTTATTTCTAAAAAAATTTTAATTTATTTCTCTTTTTTTTAAATACATTTTTTTTTTATTTATTTTCAATCTTATACTTTAAATATTTTATATAAATAATATATTAGTGTTTTTTTATATCTTTTTTTTTAATACATTTAGTTTTGAATTTTCAAATGAATTTTATTAATTAAAAATAAATTTGTTTTACAATTTTTTGTGAAAAAAATTTTCAAGCACATGGCAAAGGGGAATAAAAAATATCACGTTTTTTTCACTTCCTCTTTTATATTTATTAGAGATTATATATATATATATATATTCTTTCGAAAGGTAAATCGATCAATTTTAGATAAAACAGAAATTTTGAAATTCGAATTTATATTTCCATTTCATGAACGAATATTTAATAAATTGATACGATATACATACATCAAATTGTCAAACACTTTTAATCTTCAATTATTAAATAAATATATGTTTGATCGAATATTGTATTTATTTTGAAAATATGAATTTTACGATAAATTTATTTATTTTTTGCTTTATTTTCAAAAAATTATAATTTTATTATTGAAATAGTTGGAAAAACAAAAAATAACAAAATCATCAATTAAACATGGAAAAGTTAATTTTAAATCGTCACATCAATATTTCCTTGACATATTTCACTAATGGATATATCTAAAAATAAAAATTACTTCAATTAATATTTTCACAGTTTGTGAAATATTTTTTTACTAACAAAATTTAGTTGGGGGAAAATAATAATTTAATAAAATTAATGTTATTTTTTGTTTTATACAGAAAGAAAAATTTATTTATTTTTAAATTTATTTACAAATAATTGGAATATTACTACTAATAAAATATTAGTAGGCAAATTAATTATTCAAATAAAAATTTCTTTGGTTCAAATAAATATTTATTTGAATAATTAATTTGCCTACTAATATTTTATTTTTATATATTCTAAATATTATTATATTTTCACATTAATATTTAATATATTAATAATAATTTTCTCATAGTAACTTTTTTTACAATTTCTTATCTTATTATTTATCACCGAATTATAATTAATTAAATAAAATTTTTTTAAAATGAAAATTAATTATTTAAGTAAAAAAATTTCTGTGAAGACAAATTTTTTTTTCGCCAGTAAAAATTTTTTCTTGACCTATTTTCATATACCTATATATATATAAGACGTGTAATCTTCCGGATGGAATATACGTGCGGGAGAAGAAAGGGCGTAAAGATGCGCTTTATAGAGACCAAGGAGTTTATTTCAAATTCTATAAAAAAAAACTCTCATTTTTTTCTGAAAAACAATATGTCGATAAGGATTATTTCCTATTTTTAGGAAGCGCGTTATTTTTTATTTTTTTTTTTTTGATACCGGAGCCGTTTGTACGCTCGACAAGATGACTTGGAATGGCTCGTAAGGGGCGTCACAACGTCTATACTTAGCGTTGGCGATCGTTCGTTATAAATAAAATACATTGAATATTTTTACACCAAGAAAAACCGAAACGAATATACATAATTTATTATTTTACAATTAAACATGATAAATTCGTCGTTGATCAAAAAAAAAAATATTTAAATTAAAAAATAGAACAGATTTTAATGACATTAGACAAAAAATAAAATTTTTATTTTATAAAAAATATATCTAAAATAAAAATTATTTTCTCATTCAAAATTTTATTTTCTAATTCCTTCAATGAACAATGAGTAAAAAAATTTGTAAGATTATTAGAATTTTTTTTTTTTCTTTTTTTTTTTCATTATAAAATATGGAGTGTCTAAAGAGAATGCAAAATTAGTGTGTGCGAGAGAATGAGAGAAAGGAAGAGAGAGAATCAAGTTACAATTGGATCTCGCGGTGGATCGTCACAAATCTCGGTAGCATTCGAGCCGCAAATTAATTGCCGCCTACCTGCATCCACAGGCTTAAAGTCCCGTTTAAATGTCGGTCGAGTGGGCTTGCAGACTCTGTCTTCTGATTTATACCTTAGTGGCGCATTAAAGCTGATCAAAGTATTCCTAGTTTCTCTCGTTTGCACAAACTGTGCATTGTTCCTTTTTAATTAGAATTTAATATCACGTCAATTATATCAACTTTAATAATAAGCTAAGTCATTCAAAAATTTATACACGTACCAACTTCCGTTCACAATTTCCTTTAAGGAAATTTTTTATCAAAAAAAAAAAAAAAATAATTTATTATTATAAATTCGATTTTTTTTTCATATTTAATTTTTAATATCTAATAATAATTTTTATTTTTAAATTAAAAAATTTTTTTTTTTTTTAATTTTAATATTTAATCAATTAAAATATTTTACTGAACCAAAAGAAATTGCGTTTTTTGTTTGAATTTAAAAAACAATTTTTTGTTTAAACAGAATTAAAAAAAATTGTTTAAAAAATTTTTTTTTTCATAATAAAGAATTAATATCGTCATTCGATTCAGAAAAAATTACCAAATAGAATTTATTTTATTTAAAAGAAAAAATTTATTTTTTTTAAAACATTTTTGATTTTTAATTAATTTTATTAACTAAAAACTACACGCTTATTATTTTAATCCATTTTGGTATTAAAATAAGTAAAATTGGATTAAAATAATAAGCGTTGCAGCTTATTTTAATGTTTTTTAATTTTCTGTGTAAGAAAAAATATGAGAATATGAGGAAAATAAAAATTTATAATTAAAATAATTGTTTAGCATTAAATATATTTTATTTATAGTTGAAAATTTTGCTATCTTTTTTTTACACTAAAATATTTGTCTCTCGCGAAGGGATTATAAGAAGTTTTGTGCTTTTTAATGAGTTTTGATAAAAAAAAAAAAAAAGCAAACACCTGTGTTCACCATGATTTAGTTCTCGTACCATAAAATGATTACGGTAATTTACGTCGCTGTGTGCAAAATATGGAAATTCTCGTTATAAAACGAGTTAGATCCCTGGGATTATCATCTTTACGAGGTTCTATTTACTCGTAGAATTTTTCCTGTCTTATGTCACCATCAGCAATCCTTTATAATGAACTTAATTTTTTTTTCTATTCTTATATATATTTAGTCAAGCCCTCCCCCCCCTTCATTTTCAGTGAAAATTTCAATTTAATTCAAAATTATTTTCAAAGAACATATTTTTCTTTAAATTTTTATTAGAAAATTTATTCATAAAAAATATTTTTAGTTTATAATAATAATAATAATAATAATAATAATAATAATAATAATAATAATAATAATAATAATAATAATAATAATAATAATAATAATAATAATAATAATAATAATAATAATAATAATAATAATAATAATAATAATAATAATAATAATAATAATAATAATAATAATATATCATAATAATAATAAATAATAAAAGGAAGAAAATACTGAAAAGTATCGATTGAAAAATTGTTAAATGAAAATTTTATACATTTCGAACCATTTTTTTTTAAATTGATATATATTTATTTATTTTTTTTATGATAAATTTTTGGCTGACCTTTTGAAAGTTTTATTTTTTAATTAAAAATTACAAAATTATTTCCGCTTACAAATATAGTTTTGACGTAAATTATATATTGGGATTAATGAACGATCAATAGAATGAAGAAATTAAACTAAAAATAATTAACAGTGGGTCACGTATCACGTGTATAAGGTGAGATAAGACACATGTAAGATATGAACTTTTGCCAAGTTCGCCATTAAGCTATATTCATACTATGATATTAATTGACAATGTTTCCCTGATAAAAATTTATTAATTAAAATAAAAAAATAAAAAAAATAATAAAATAATAGAATAATAAAATAATAAAACAAAAAAATAATAAAATAATAAAATAAAAAAATAATAAAACAATAGAATAATAAAATAATAAAATTAAAATATTATAAAATTATAAACATATAGAGCAAAAAGAATTTGTCAAATGAAACGAAAATTTTGAAATAAAATAGATAGCAGAGAAAGAAAAAGTTTTTTAATTAAAATATAAATGAACATTTTTAATTAGAGAATAAATTGAGTTTCACGCGAGAATTAAAAATATTTTGTCATATTATGCTTCAGAAAACCAGAGATTGGTGAAAATTCTTGTTTTTTAAAAGTAAAATTTTGCAAATATTAAATTCCACATAATAAGGTTAAAGTGTTAATTAATAAATGTTTCATATTTTTAATAAAGATTATCATTTTTTTTTTTTTTGTATAAAAATTAATAGTTTCGGAAACAATTTTTATCAATTTTATATAAAAAAAAATTATATCTACCCGTGTGGAAAAAGCCACGATCTTGCCCTCAAGAGTTCGGGGCCCCCGGCGGGGGCCCATGAGGGCTGATCCATATGGCGAATCCATGAGGGGCACCGTAGGGGCCCCGCATGGATCGCCCTCATGATCGATTAGCAAAATTTTCTAAGTCCAAAAATCAAATATTTTTTTATCACCAAAAAATTAATGTTTATAATGATTCACAACAATGAAAAACGCGTTTTTAATTAAAATATATTTTCACTTTTTTTGAAAATAACACTCACACTTATGGCGAATCCATGAGGGGCACCGTAGGGGCCCCGCATGGATCGCCCTCATGATCGATTAGCAAAATTTTCTAAGTCCAAAAATCAAATATTTTTTTATCACCAAAAAATTAATGTTTATAATGATTCAGAACCACGAAAAACGCGTTTTTAATAAAAATATATTTACACTTTTTTGAAAATAACACTCACACTTATGGCAAAATAGATGAGGGCCACCGTAGGGGCCCGCATGGATCGCCCTCATGATCGATTAGCAAAATTTTCTAAGTCCAAAAATCAAATATTTTTTTATCAACAAAAAATGAATGTTTCCAATGATTTAAAACAACGAAAAACGCGTTTTTAATAAAAATATATTTACACTTTTTTGAAAATTCGCCTGAGATGATTCATGATAATAATCATAAAGCATATAATTAATTATATTTTATAAATTGCATTTGATTGGAAAATATAATTTAATATCTTAACTTTAACTAAATGATGTTAAGCACTTTTCTTTGTTAGGTATTTTTGAAGTTTAAATAGCATCAAGAAGTTAGCATTCGTTTTGAAGTAGCGTACGTAGCGTAGTTGGTAAAGCGTTAGACTCATAGTCCGTAGGTCGTAGGTTCGATTCCCCCCATGCGTTAGATTTATTTATTTCTCAGGTTTGCGTTTAATCATTAATTCTATGTATGAATTAATTGAGAAATGAAAATATCCATTAATAGTATGCATAAATTACATATTTTTTAATTTTTTAATTAATTAATTTATTATTACTTTTAATTATATCTGACAATTAATTAATTAGAACGTTAATTAATAAATTCAATTTGAGTAAGAATTTAATTTAAAATTGAATAATTATTAAATAAATATGTTATTTATTCATAACTTAAGCTTATTTATTATTAATTAACTTTTATTATTAATATTATTGATTAAAAAACATTATGGCAAACTTGAGGGCAAGATGAGGGCAAACGTGAGGGCCCATAAGGGCGCCCGTAGGGGCACCCTCATGGATCGCCCATGCGGGCGCCCTCATCGATGAGCATGTCGTTTCCATGAGGGGCCCCTATGGATCATCCATATGCGGCCTTCATGGCATGAGGGCGATCCATAAGGGCCCCCGCTGGGGGCCCACATCACTTTTCCACACGGGTAATATTTGAAATTTAATATTAGAAAAAAAATTGTAAAATATTTTCGATTTCCAAAATGGAAATATTGTGAGATAACAGTGAAGTTAGAATATTTGATAGGAATTTTCTTTTTTTTTTATTTTTTATAAATAAGATGAAATTTTCTCATCTCGCTCGAAGAGTCAAGATAGCGACCGAGTTGTTGTAACCAAATTTGGATCGCGGTATTGAAATGAGAGTGGGGACCGACTCATTGCGGCTATTTTTGTATTACGACGGATATACTGTATAACATTCTACCTCTGTAAGTCGACCCTGATCAATTCGTTTACTTAATCTCATCATCTAGTAATTTTTTTTTTCTTATCGAACCAATCGCGAATCAATCTTAATACGCTGCATAAGGGTGAATCAAAAAAAAAATAAATATATATATATATATATATCTTCCACAATCTTCCTTTCTTCGTTCATTGAACTCAATTTTCAAAAAATTACACAAATTAAAAAAAAATAAAAATTTTTCTTAAAATTTTTATTAATATGAATATTAATTGGAATTTTTTTTTCTAGGTAGTTGCAGTTAAAACTAGACACAAACATGGCCGACGATGAGGTTAGGTGAGTATCAGTATTATAGGAAATAATTTTTTGAATCATTTTCTTCGTTATCGATTAATTAGTTTTAATAATTTTGATATTTAAAATTCGATTTTTTTTACTGGTAAAGTAGTTTTAGAACATTTTTTGAATTTTTGAAAAAAAAGCGAATTTGGCGGGAATTGAAGACTAACTGTCTTTCTACTATTCGCAAGTTACTCTAACCAATTGAGCTACACGAAGGATTAAAAAATTCTAATGTTAATCCCGGTAAAAAATTTTACACTAATATTTATATCATTGAAAAATTTATTAAAAACATAAAAAAGTCAAGTAAAAAAAAAATAATAAAAATATTTTTCAAAATTTAAATAGTAATGTTCTAAATTATTTTAAAAATAATAAATTTTACAAAAATTTTTACAAAAAATAGTTATTTTTCATAATTTTCATGTTAATAATAATAATGGTAATAAAATAATAAATAAATAATATAAAAAAATAATAATTTTATAAACATTAATGAAATTTTTTATTTTCATTTCTCTTGGGATTCATTTTCAAAATTGGACCATTCTGATGATTTGGAATTGTTGTTGGAAAATTAGTATTCGCAAAAAAAAAAAAATTTCTAAAAGGTACGTTTTGGTTTGATGCTTTTTTAATTTTGTGATTTCTAAAATTATATATATGTAATCTTGTGCTTTTTAAAAATTTCAGGCAATTTCATTACAATTACATTACTTCTTTTTTCAATTATAAAAATGTCGATATTACTATTTAATTTTTTATCATTTTTTTTTAAATTCTTAAATTATTATTAAACTTTATCAATTAATTAAATAAAATTTTAATCTTTCTAGAAATAAATTAAATTCAAATGAATATTTTCGAAAAATTGTAATTTGAAATTATTTTTTAAATAAAAGAAATTATACAGAAAAAATTTGTAATTTTTTTAAGAACTGAATTTAAATGGAAGTTTTTTTTCTAAATTTAATAATTTTGTATTTGATTTTGCCTGAAAAATTACAATTTTTGGTTTTTTTTTAAAAAAAAAAAAAAAAAAAAAATCAAAAGTTGAGATGTCAAGAGGTTCGTGAAGACTGAGCCTCGTCAAATCGGAGTGTAACCTAGTATACAAATTTAGAATCCTCCCCCCTATGTTCGTTAGAACCACTAGTTGTTAGTATCTTTAGAATGTCTATCAGTAGCACCCACCTTTGCTTTTTATAACTTCCTATTATTCTATTTTTCATAAAAGAAAAAAATCCATAAATTTTCCTCTGTTTTTTTTAACTTTCTTCACGTTTACACAATTCATTTCTTATTATTAAACTTTTTGGGTCAATTATCCACGATAAGGACTAATGTACATAATTATTATGCGACCCCAGGAACTCTACAAAAAAAAATTTTTTTATTTTACAAATCGTATTTTTATGCAAAAAATTATTTATTTTAAAAAAATTCAACACCTCAGCAAATTTTATATAGTTCTCAGTTTCTCTTTATCCAAACATACATTATATACGTTTTTTTTATCTCCATTTCACGAACAACACGATTTTATTATGCAAAATTATAATTTTGTTCAAATATGGAAAAATAAAGAAAAATTTATTTTTTAGTTTAATTATTAATTAATTTTATTTTTTAAGTAAGAAATTTTGTTATTGAAAATAGATTATGCAAAAAAAAAAGTCAATTTTAAAGTAGGGAAATTTTTAGTTTGAAAAAAAACTCGTATTTTAAAGAAAAAAAAAACTATCATTTTTGCGACAGTCGAGAATTGAAGGAAAGTTATTTCATCCCAAGGAGAGTTTTCTCGGAACATTTTTCAGATGATTTATCGAGACAAACTCTCCTTACTTCCACATTATTTACTGCCATGCACGATTCTCGACGTCGTCGTCGTCGTCGTTGTCGTCGTAACGCCATAGTTTTTAATCTTTCCAACAAGTCATGTTGTCAACGATCCTTTGAATGGAGTTTTCAATAGTAAACAGATATTCCATTTTCCTAATCGATTTTCAATAAAGTACATTTTATGAGTCACTTTTAATCTCATTTATAATAATAAATTCATTATATTATTTTTTTAACTGACGGCAAAAAACAAAAAATTGGAATTAATTTTTTTTTTCTAAAAATTGTAATTTTATTATTTAATATAATTAATATTTCAAAAAAAAAAAAAAAATTAGGAAAAAAATTTGGAATTTTGAAATAAAAAAAAACAGGACTACACTTGGGTAAAGTACACACTTGAAATCACAGTTTTTAATTTTCATATTGGCACTAAACACAAAAAAAAAATTTCGCCTTGTGACTGTTATATTATTTGTATTTAATAAATGTTTATCAGTGTTTTCGCTAACATTTTTGTTGCTTTTGAATGTTTATTTATTAGTAATTTAAAGTTCGGATGCAATAAGTTTCTATTATTAGATAATTTAAATCTAAAGACAGTTATTGCATCTTGAAAATATATTTGCAAAAATAAATATATATATTTTATAAATATTTTTTATATTATTTAATTTCACAATATATTTTAAATAAATTTTTAAAAATATTGTTAATTATAAATTTTTTGTTTCATTTATAAAAATATAAGGACTTTTGGAATCTTGATAACAGCATTTTTTGCGCATAAATTATTTAAATTTAATATAATTTTTTTAAAATTGTTTCTTTTATTTTTGAGAGAAACATTATTTTTTAATAACATGCTTTAAGATAATAAATTTATTTCAAATGAAAACTGATTTTTGTCTAACGAAATTTTGTTCTTTTTTCTTTTTACAGAGAAAACGCATCGAGGATGTACGTACAGAAGATAACAACAAATAATTATGAAACTATATAGATTTTTATTTCTTTTTTTAATTTTTAACATTTTTTTTTTTATTACAATAATATTATTTATTTTTACATTTAGTAATTATTTAATTGAGTAATTTATTATTTATTTATTATTCATTTATTATTTATTTAATTAATAAAATAAGTAATCGTTAAATTCGCAAATTTAAAGAAAAAATTTTTTTTTGAAACTTTAAATAGAATTTTGAATATTTAACAATTTTTGAAAAATTTTACTAATTATTGAAATTTTCAATGAATTTTTTTTGAAAGGAAAAAAAATCGGGATTTTTTTTTAATGTTTAAAACACTTTTTACACTCGAAATCCATATATATATATAGGAAAAGAAGAGGAAGCAAGCGGAAACCGACAGAAAAAGGGCGGAAGTCCGCGCCCGTCTTGAGGAGGCCTCAAAGGCGAAAAAGGCCAAGAAAGGGTTTATGACACCCGACAGAAAGAAGAAGCTCAGGGTGAGTTTAAAATTTTATTTTCAATTTTCCCCTTCTTTTTTTTTTAATTTAATTTTTTATTTTCCTTTTTTTTCATCTTCAAATTACATTAAAAATTACATTAACAAGTATTTATTAAAAAATTTTTTTTTTTCAAATTGTAAAACGAAATTCTGAAATTCTTTCATGGATTTATTTTTTTTTTTTTTTGATATAAATGTAATATATTTTTGAAATTTGCAAATAATTTTTTGAACTATTTTTTCTTTCAGTTGTTGTTACGTAAGAAAGCTGCTGAAGAATTAAAGAAAGAACAAGAAAGGAAAGCAGCTGAAAGGAGGCGCATTATTGAAGAAAGATGCGGGAAACCAAAGAACGTCGATGACGCTAACGAAGGTACTTGACAAAACTTTTTCTAACTAAAAATTTTTTTTATTTTTTTATATTTATATATATAAAAATATAAGATGATAAAAAACGTCAATTTCTCGTTATCAATCAGATACTCGAGATCTTATTCAAATTTTTCAATCGCGTAATATCGTGAACAAAGCGTAAACAATTTTCCATTCAATATGATTAAATTGAGCTATTTTACAAAAAAAAAAAAAAAAAAAGAAAACGAAAAAGAAAAATACGTTTTTTGAGAGAGAAAATATTCTTCTTGTTATCCCACGATTATATGGATCAATTATTTTATTTATCTTTGTTTTATTTTATTGAAAAGTTAAAATAATCAAATTGCGGAATTTTTAGGTATATATAATTATTTCTCATCGATCTCATATTTCAATTTTTTTACATTGTCCTCATTCACTGACAATACAATATACACAACAAACACAACAAATTACAAGTTAATTTTAAATTATAAATATTTATATAAACTATTTTTTATATGACTGTAAAATTTTTAATGAAAAGTTTTATAAAAAAACAAGTTACACCGTCAAATTAAAAAAAATTAGTTTTGTAACAATATTATTATTAATCATTATATTTATTTGCTAAAAAGTAATTAATTAAAAAAAAAAAATTAAACAAGATATTTCAATTAAAAAACAATTTAAATTATAAAAAATAAAATTTTTGGGATTAACCAAAAAAAAAGGAAATTAAATATTAATTAATAATTAACCATTTTTTTAATTATCAAAATAAGGGAGATATTTTAAGGAAAAAAAAATAATTATTTTTTTTCTACTTTAAATTAATTGTTGTGAATTAAAAATTTAATTTCTAATCAACATATACAGAGACATGTAAGCGTGTGTTGCGCGAATATCACACAAGGATCGCAGCACTGGAGGATAAAAAATTCGACATCGAATATCTAGTCAAGAAAAAGGACTTTGAGGTACTTTCCTTTTTTCTTTTGTAAAAAGGAAACAAAAAAAAAAAACAAAATAATAATAATTTTTTAAACAAATGTCGCCTTTTTGTGGGCATGACACCGCGCGGTGTCCGTTCGCGTGATAATCGTTAAAATTTCTTGTTTATCTAAATGTTGCGGACGCAATTTAAAACACGAAGCTTAGCATTACTCGGTCTTTTTTAACAAAAATGCAATATTTCTTTTGAAAAAAAAAGAAAATTTCTTTTTTTTTTTATGCCAAAAATTATCTTTTTTCTTTATACGTTCTGTTTAATCAAATTTTTTCTGTGAATTCAATTAGAATCGAAAATTATTTATCGAGTTTTTTTTTTTTTTATCACAAATTGATTTCAATTTTTTGTTGAAAAAAAAAATTATTTTTTAATTATTAAAAGAAAATTTCTTTTCATTTTTTTAAAAAAATTTTTTATTAAAAATTAAATAAAAGTTTATTTTATTAAAAGAATTTGTTATTTAAATAAAAATTTATTTTATTAAAAGAATTTGTTATTTAAATAAAAATTTATTTTATTAAAATAATTTGTTATTTAAATAAAAGAAAATTTCTATTTTAGTAAAATTAATTTTTTTTTGCTATAAAAATTGAGATAAAATGATAAAAAAAAAATTATGCTGATATATAATTTTTGGATCATTGAAATTCCTTTCGTCTAATTGTTTATAATTTTTTGTGATACGTCTTTCAGCATATCGATGTCGATGTTGGTTGTTTTTTTTTTTTTTTACTTGGATGAATTCTACGTATTTCTGTCGATTTTCTCTCATTCTCTATACTACGATACTTACACTTTGTAAATCCACTTCCTACATCCTTTTTCACTCACACACTTTACGTCATGACACTTGCAACATTTTTCATTGAATGCAGCCAGATTCATTTCACACCATTTACTTCAAAAATTATACTCATTCCATTATAAATTGGATAAATTCCAATCTATATTATATATAAACTAGTCAGAATGTTCTCTGTCATTTATTGTTTTATTAATTATATTTCTTTTTTTATTTATTGTTCATTTTTTTTTTGCAAATTAAAATTTTATTTTTCTATTAGTAAATTTTCTTTTTTTATAATTTTTAATAAATTAGTGATATTCGGTTTAATATTATAAGTTCCTAATAATAAATTGATAAATTATAAATTAATAATTCCTAATTAATAAATTAATTAATTTAATATTTAAATAATTAATTTTTGAAAAAAAAAAATTCTGACCAGTTTTAATTTCATCATCATTTTTATAATAAATACACATATTTCGTCAAAGTAAAATTTGAATTTTGAAAAATATGTGGAGATTTATTAGTTTATTATATAATGACTTCACGTTTTGGCAGCATGCGTTAAGTCAATCATAAAGGAGTATTATAAGAGGATCGTCGTCCTGGAGGAGGAGAAATACGACCTTGAATTTGAAGTCACCAAGAAGGACTTTGAGGTCTAGAAATTTAAACGAACGAACATTAATTTATTATTGCGAGATAATGCAAAATATTAATAATGCCAAAGAAAAAAGAATTTTTTTAGAATATCGTTTTTGATATAATTTAATTTTTTTTTTCTTCAATTAGTTAATGAAAATTATAGGCTGTATCGCTAACGCAATGCCTTAGCCAGCAATTTGCATTTTATTCATTTTTTTAAAATTATTAATATAGAAATATAAATAAAATATTTATATTAAGAAAAAAAAATTTAATTGATAGAAATAATTTATCGTTATTAAATAAATATTTAATTATTGTCCAATTATTATTTGGTTCAATAAAATATTTATTTGATAATATTTGGTATTATTTGATACAAATAAAATTTTTTTTTGCAGTATAAATATTCTTTTTTTTTTTATTAAATTATTAAAGATTTATTTTCTTTTTTTAAAAAGTAGGAATTTTGTTCGAATTTGAAAAATATAGTTGATTAAAGTAAATAATATGCCAGCCAAAGTATCTTAGTCACTAATGCAGCAGAAAACTAAAGGTTTTTTGTGCTCAATTTTAAATATTAATCCGAAAAATAGTTTTTTTTATGAAAGAATTTTCAGTAGAGAATAATATTATATAATTTTATTAATGCTCAAAACTTTCGTTTTATCTCGTTTTTTTTAGTAGTTTGAATTTCTAGTTGGCTTCAACTATTTATTATTTATTACTTTTTTTTTTTTATTTTTACACATTTAATTATTCATACTCTTTTTACAGATTCAATTAATATTATTTTAATGGATTTTTATTTTATTTTATTATTAAAAAAAATTTTTTTTTTAAATTAATTTTTAAATTAATTATTTTATACACATTAATATTTATCATTTTTAGTACACATTACATATTCCATTTTTTATGATTTTACTTTTTCATTAATTTTTTTTTGCACATATTTTTTTTTATTCATCCAAACATTTTTTTCAAATACTCTCAGTCATTATAATACAGCTTCATGCTTCGCTTTCATACATATATATATATTTTTTTCTATTATAGCCTTATTATTCCCAAATTTTCACCCGATGAGAGCTTTTCAATTTATTTAAATAATTAAACTATTTTTTTTTTTAAAGTAATTTAAAAAATTTTGATTTCACACACAAGGACACTATATAGTTATTATATATATATATATTCACGACTAACGAGCAACAATCACTGTTGAGCAGGATTTTCTGTTCTGACAAAAAACATAAAGCTACGTTATTTTTTTCGTTACTTCTTGTTTTTTTTTATAGCCGAACTGCAGACGATTTGTACGGCATACTGGAACAAAATTTCCACACTCGAGGGCGATAAGTTTGACCTCGAAAGGAAAAGTAGAATGAAAGATTTTGAGGTAACTAACCGGCTCAAAAATGGTATAGCTACAAAATTCAGAAAAATCCACATTCACACAAAATCAAACAAAAAAACAAAAACAAAAATGTTTATTACTCTGGCATTTCAATTGTGATTTTAGAAATTTTTTTTTTATTTATTTATATTTGAAAACAATTTTAATTTTTTTTTTAATGATTAATTTATTTAAAAAAATATTTTTATTATTAAAAATTTTTCTAATATAATTATTTTTATAATTCTATACAACATATGAGAATTAACGGAGTCAATTAAAGCTAAGAAATTCCATTTGCGTATATATTTTGCGAGGCAGAAATTAAATTGTGAAACAGGAAAATAGCTCGCGAGCTGCAAGTGATTTTCTACTTCAAACTAAAACCAGGATTTTCAAAGTTTTGCCACTTGCAAACTGTGTTAAAGTTTTAATGATAAAGTTTATAAAAACTTAAATTAGAAAAAAAACTATTTTTTGGTTACTTCAATAAAATATAACATTAGCAAATTTCTAATAATATAATCTTTTTGAATTATTCCGCAGTAAAATTTAAATATCAAGTAGTAAAAGACACTTTTAGTCAGACTGAATTAAAGGAATTTAGTAGTAAAAGTGCGTTACAGTCAGACAAGAAGTTTTTTTTATAATGGAGAAAATATTTGCAGCAAGATAATATTTTTTTTGTAATTAGTAGTAAAAGTCAATTTTAGTCAGACAAAATATTTTCTATAAACTAATTTTTAGTAGTAAAAGCCAAGTGTAGTTAGACAAAATTTTTTTTCCTGCCAATGGAAAATATATATTTGTCTCAGAGTAAATTTTTTTTGTTTTAAATAAATTTTATTTATAAAATATAAAAAAAATAATAAAAAAATAATAGAAAAAATTTATTTAAACAAAATTTAAATAAAAAACAAATTTATTCAATAATAAATAAAAAAAGTAATAATTATTTCCAAATAAATTCAGATGATATTAATGTCAGTAGTAAAAGTCAATTTTAGTCAGACAAAATATTTTCTATAAACTATTTTTTAGTAGTAAAAGCCAAGTGTAGTCAGACAAATTATCTTTCTCCTGATAATGAAAAAAAGATATATTTGTCTTAGAGTAAATTTTTTTGTTTCAAATAAATTTTATTTATAAAATATAAAAAAATAAATTAATAAAAAAAAAGAAAAATTTATTTAAATAATTAAATAAAATTTAAATAAAAAACAAATTTATTAAATAATAAATAAAAAAAGTAATAACTATTTCCAAATAAATTCAGATAATATTAATGTAAGTAGTAAAAATCTGTTTTAGTCAGACAATACAAAATTTAATATATAAATTCGTTTAGTTTCTAATTTACAATTGAATTTTATTTTGAAATCAAATCAAAATGAAATTTTATCAATGTCAAGAGTAATTTCGTTTTTTTTCACACTTTGTGTACATAAAGTCGAACAAAAAAAATATTGTCGATATCTTATACAAATCGACGCCAACTCAAATGGTGAGTTGGGAAAATTGTTCGTGTGAAAGTTTTCACTTTTGCAATATTCTTTAATACACACATATATATATATATATACTTTTGACACCCACACAATTTCGCGATTGACGATTTTGTGATAGTACGCCTTTTTTTCGTATATATACTTTTCAATTTTTTTTTTTTTGCTCATACCGAGCTCGCCAGTAGTTTGAGAAATGATACGTGAACGATAACCCGACTATATCCTGTTCAATGCACGAGTACTTTGAATGGCAGATGCCTGAAAAATATTGCGCAAACACACTCGAAGAGAGAATTTTCAGAGCAGGTGATGCTCGCAAATGATTTCATCTATTTTATTGATTTTAGTATTTATATCCGCAATTATAATCCACAATTTTAAGTCAAAAAAAAAAAAAAAAAAACAGACACTCTTTTTTCATCCATATTATGTTTGATTATTTATATTTTTTAAATTGGTAACAAAATCATAAAAAAATGAAAATATTTCCCACATTTTTGGATTTTTTTTTTCATTAAATTATTATTAAATTATTCCACTTGGAAAGATTTCCCGGAAAGTGCCCCCCTGGAGGTTTAATCGGAATTCCGCCGGAACTTCCATCGTAATTCCGTCGGAATTCCATCGAAGTTCCAAAGAATTTCCGATGGGATTCCGACGGAATTAGGACTCTAAAAATTTTGAAAAATAATTAATCAGAATTCCGCCGGAACTTCCAACGGAATTCCGTCGGAATTCCATCGAAGTTCCAAAGAATTTCCGATGGGATTCCGACGGAATTAGGACTCTAAAAAATTTTGAAAAATAATTAATCAGAATTCCGCCGGAACTTCCAACGGAATTCCGTCGGAATTCCATCGGAGTTCCAAAGAATTTCCGATGGGATTCCGACGGAATTAGGACTCTAAAAATTTTGAAAAATAATTAATCAGAATTCCGCCTGAACTTCCAAACATAATTCCGTCGGAATTCCATCGGAGTTCCAAAGAATTTCCGATGGGATTCCGACGGAATTTCGATTAATTTTTTTTCAAAAATTTTTAGAGTCCTAATTACGTCGGAATACCATCGGAAATTCTTTGGAACTCCAATTGGAATTCCGACGGAATTAGGTTGAAAGCTCCGGCGGAATTCTAATAGAACCTCCAGGGGGCACTTTCCGGGGAATCTTTCCAAGTGGGTTTATTAATTAAATAAATTAAATATGAATTTAGTTAATTAAAATATAAAATTTTAAAATTAAAAAAAAAACAAATTTTTCGGGTGAAAAAGAAATGTCAACGCTCATTTATTATATAAAAAAAAAAAAAAAAAAATCTAAAGAAGAATCTTAAATCTGAGGTTGGTCTCTCCATATTGTTATAGTCGACTTGAAGAAGATTTGCCAAATGTATTACGACCGCGTCTACATTTGTGAGGGTCAAAAGTGGGATTTGGAGCGTGAAGTACGAAAACGAGACTACGAGGTATAACCCACCATCGTATAAAAGGACTAAAACAAATCCTTGTATTATTATTTATTTATTTATTTTTTTTGTATTTTTCGTCTCTCTCAAAAAAAAAATTTGTTTTTTAATATTTATAAATAATAATTTCTCTATCGGAGAATTGTCCCATTTTATACCCTTAGCCTATTTTTCCTTTTATATTTTGTTTTCTTTCTAAATTCAATCCCTGCTTGAAAAACTGAGAGTTCAACCCCAAAAAATTAACAAAAAAAAAAAAAACCCTCAAAAAAAAAAAAAGAAAATTTTTTTTTTGAAAAAAATAAAATTTTGCTCTACTCTCAGTGAAATTGTTCTGCCCGTTTTGAAAATTGAAATCGTCGATAATGGGACGATATGAAAAACTTGGTTTTCTCCTTATAATCTTGGTCAGTCCTGTTTTTTTGATAAAATATTTAATCGATTCTAATAAAAAAAAAAAAAATCGATAAAAAACGCGTTTCGATTGTTTTATGAATATGAAGTGCCCTTCATTTTTCTTCTTCTTTTCTGCATTGCAAAACACGCAGCTCTGACAAAATAATTTTTTTTTTTCAAATTCTCTGCTTATTTATTTTTAAATTAATCGGTACTGTTTTAGTACATTCTTTTTACAGTGTAATAATTATAACCATAAAATAAAAATTATTACATTACTGTAATTGTAAATTGAAAATTATTACATTAATGATATTTAGAAATATTGTGTAAAAATTATAATATTTTACTAAAAAATAATTAATAAATGTAATAATGAATATTTTTATCAGTCTTTTTTTGTTTTCTTCATTTTTTTTTTTCATTTTTTTTTCTATCTCATCTGTCTTTTCTGTCCTTCTATCTTTTAATCGTAACTGGCTTTCTACTAACTATAAGCAGCCAAGAGAGAAAGCTTTTTGATTATGACGCAGGGCTGGGCAAGCTTATAGGAGACGTTTTTCTTCTCGGAAGCTAGCTTTAAGTAGATGCCGGAAAGGCCGCTTTGAATAATAAAGTGCACCGTTTCGCTTCTCCCTACGATTCTCAAAAATAGCTTCTCGGGAAGGTAAAACACTCACGTATTACATCTATATACCAAAAAGTTTCTTTTTTGCCAAAAAGAAAAATTTTCCAAAAAAAAAAAAGTGATCTTATTATCTTATTATCGACTGTATCGTGAAATTCTGAAAATTGGCAGACAAAAAGATTTCTAGAGAAAAAAACAAATTTTTAATTGAAACGTTATTTCGCTTTTTAATTTTTTCACATTATTATTAAAAAAAATTTTTTTTTTAGTAAAGAATAAGTAAAAATGAATTTTAATTTATTTTATTTTCATGTTTTTTTTCTCTGCGAAAGAGAGGTAGAATAATATCGACAAATAAAAATATGAATAATTTTAATCGCGAGCTAGGATTCGGTTAAATCGTGAACTATTAGCAACTTTAATTTGCGGGAGAGAAAGAAAGAAAGAGAGAGAGAGAGAAAAAAAAATACGCTTATAAATTCAAGCACCAAAGTATCCGAGGCGTGTCGTGTGTTTCTGTGCAACATCATTTTTTTTGAAAAAAAAAGAAAAAAAAACACACACCTTTCGAATTTTCAACATCATCGCTGTATTGGGAAACGCTCTCGGCTGTGTAATTCATCAGCCACCTCTCGTTCAGAAAAATTTGTCGGGCAAGAAGAAAGCAAATCTCGCAACACTAACAAATGCATGGCCGATACTAACGAAGACTACTCAAATCTCAAAAAAAAAAAAAAAAAAAAAAAATTGCATGCGCCGCATTTTAGCTTCTATATTGCTCACGTTGGAGTATGGCACTTCATATTCGTCACTGGATGATTAAAAAAACAAAAATACAAAAAAAAAAACAATTGGTAAGAAATTTTACCGAATTACGTTCATATTTTTACAAAACAGGATGAAAAAATTTGAAAATAATTTTGAAAATAGGGGAAAAATTTTTAGAAACTTAAAATTTAGAATTGAAAAAAAAAAATTGTGGAATTTGAAAAAATGTGGAATAAATTCCAAAAAATAAGAGGGAAAAATGATCAGAAAAAAAATCTAAACATTGAAATTATCTCAAAAAATTAGAATTTAAAATTAAATATTTGACAAAACTGAAGAAATTTTAAAACAATTTTGAAAACTAAAATTAATTTAGAAAAAAAAAATGTGAAACCAAATTAGAAAACTATTTTGAAAACTGCGATTGCAATTTAGAAAAAAAAACGAAACCAAATTAGAAAATTATTTTGTAAAACAATAATTTGGAAAATTCAATTTAGACTAAAAATTAAAGCAAAATTGGAAAATTATTTTTAAATTTTGAAAATTGCGATTAATTTAGAAAAAAAACGTGATACCAAATAAAAATATTTTTTAAAAATATAATTTTCAAAAATTGCAAATAAAAAAAAAATGTGAAACCAAATTAGAAAACTATTTTGAAAATTGCGATTGCAATTTAGATAAAAAAAAATGAAACCAAATTAGAAAATTATTTTGTAAAACAATAATTTCGAAAATTCAATTTAGACTAAAAATTGAAGCAAAATTGGAAAATTATTTTAAAATTTTGAAAATTGCGATTAATTTAGAAAAAAAACGTGATACCAAATAAAAATATTTTTTAAAAATATAATTTTCAAAAATTGCAAATAAAAAAATAAAATGCGAAACCAAATTTCAAAACTATTTTGAAAAAAAACTGCTGATAATAATTTTAGAAACTGAAAAATTTTTTCATTAAATTAAAAATATTTTTTTAAAAAATAAAATTACGAATGTGAATCAATCCAAAAGAATCTATTAAGAAACTAAAAATGAGGAAATTTTTTTTTCCAAAATTAAAAAGAACTGAAACTCTAAAAAAATAAAACAAAGATTAAAAATTTCGATAAAAAAAAAATCACAAATAGTAAAAATTTATTATTGATAATGAAAAAAAATTTTAAAAGAAAAATACAATTTTTTTTTCTCAAATAATTAATAAATTTTTTTTTTTATTGACGAAAAATTGAATTTAGAACACTTAGGGCTCTCACAAAGATGGACGCGAGGCTCTGGTGGTGAGAGAGAAAAAAAAAAAATAAAGAACGCGAAGAAGTGCCATGCTGTGAAATTCTCTATTCAGAATTTTTTTTAGAACCCTTAATTATGTAGTCTCGTTGTTTTTCCTGTTCATGAGGAACGGCTTTTCTAGAGTGGAACAAAAGAGGGTAAAAGCGATTCCCAAAAAAAGCAAAAGTAAACATATTGTATATATTATTATACACAATTTCGAATTTCAAATTTTGCACCGATACACACGTCACCCACTTTCTGTGTTGTTATGGTGTGTAACTCAGCTAGCCCCCATCATTGGTTCGATGAAAAATAACAATTTCTTATTTAAAAAAATTAATTATTTTTGATTTTCTAATTAAAAAAATTTTTTAAATACAAATGATAGTTAATGATAAATAATTTAATAAATAAATATTTAATATAAATATTTTAAATAAATATTCAATTTATAATACATAAAATAATAAAAATTGTAAAAAAAGAAATTGAAAAAAGGAAAATTAATTCTTTGGAAGAAATTTAATTTTCTCGAACCAAGAAGTGGAATTTTAGTGAATGTGGTCCAAGGAGAGAGCTGAACACGACCAGCCATTCCGTGATTGATAATAAAAATTTAAAAAAAAAAGAAAAATTAAAACAGACTGAAAATCATCAGCCTGACAACCCTCATCGATCGCTAGACGGCAATACCTTTTTTTTGTTTCCATTTTTTGTAAAAAAAAAAAAAAATATAACACCCTATCATATTTTTTTTTTTTGTCTAATGGGGCTCCATTTAGACACAAAAGACATTTTTAACAAAAATTAATTTTTTTTTTTGGGGGAGAATTTAAGAATTAAGAGCACTTGTAAAATTGTTAGTAGGAATTACTTATAATTCTCAACTGTGCGTTGATGAAAACGTTATATTCAACGATGAAAGCTGACAGGGTGACAATTACTTTTCCTACAAGAACGAATTTCCTGTGAAAATTGCTTTCCCCTTTTTTATAATTTTTTATTTTTATTTCTATTGCACAAATTCCTTCATGAAATAATTGGTTTTTTTTATGGATATTATTTTATATGAAAACGGTTACAGTAAACTCTCTGATAAATAATCGTTTTTGATATACGTTAAAAATTCATTATCGAGGGTCGACTGTATTTTATCTATTTTTAATTTTATAATGTGAATTATTTTTTTGAATTTAGAATACTACAGTGATTTATTTGAAGTTGGATTAAAAAAAAAATTCAGCATGCAGTAGAACCTCAATAACTGGTACAGTCAATTATCGAGGGTTCACTGTATTTTTATTTTTAAAAATTAAATCAAAATTAAATGCTTATTGAGAGATTACTGTACTAGAACTGGTGTATCAGAAAAATATTTTTTTTTTCTTCTACATTTTCGATAAATCCTCGTACTATCCAATAAAAATCATTTTTCCTTTTCACTAATAAAATACCATTTCCCTCTTGTCTCTCCGCAATTAATCAACAAGCCAATCATTGTTCAACACTACAAATGGCTCGCCAAAAAAAAAAAACATAATTTTCTTAAATTATCATGCAAATTGCATGACATTTTTTTTTTTGTGTTTTGTCCGTAAATGCATGAGCTTCGATTAATTTTCTTATATTTATATGCATAGTAGAATAATAATTTCTTTCGTTGAATGATCAGCGAAGATTTTTCTTTTTTTTGTACTTTTTTTTAAAAAAAAAAAACTAAACCGCTTGTCTTGAGTTTTGTGACTATAAAAAAACTATTTATAGTGCGCTATTGTGTTTGTTCAGCAAGTGAATCGTAAACACATAGAATTTGTAAGGCGAAAAATATATTTTCGACTCGCAGTTTCGAAGGACGTGTAATGAGGCGTTGATAGTGACTTCATTGTAACAAAATTGCACCAGATTCGTTGCATTTTGCACGCTTCGTTAAATTCTTCGAAACTTGCGATGCTTCGAGTCATTTAAAAAAAAAAAAAAAAATAGAGGGACATTGCAAAATATAAAAAAAAGTAAAAAAAAATCGCTTTTATGAAAATAATTTTTTCAAAGAAAATAAATATTAATTTGATTTTTTATTGATGCAGATTTCCGATTTGAACAGTCAAGTTAACGACCTCCGAGGTAAATTGTAAGTATATTTTTAATTATTTGTTTAGTAATTTTTTATTATTAATAATTATTTTTTTATTTAAAATATTTAATTTATATCAAAAAAAAAAAAAAAATGTCTTGCATTTTTTCCTCGTAATTCATCATCAAATTAATATTTCTGTATTTATTATTTTGTCAATTATTATTTATCAATTATATTAATTATCATCAATTATTATTTATTCAATTATTATCGACATTGATTTTATCATTTATTGAAATATTTTGTCCTGTTTTTCCTATCAATATATATATTTTCATTCAAAATTAATTTTAATTTGTGGTAAAAAATTAAGATAACAAATTTTTTTTTTCATAGAACTTTTTGATAATTAAATTCAATTATCTATTAAATCGTAAAATTAGGAATAAAATTAAAAATTCTATTACTTGCTTGTAGTATGAAACCAACATTGAAGAAAGTTTCTAAATACGAAAACAAATTCGCCAAATTGCAAAAGAAGGCAGCCGAGTTCAACTTCCGCAATCAACTCAAGCAGGTTAAGAAGAAGGAATTCACCCTTGAGGAAGAAGACAAGGAGGTAAGAATTTTTCTATTCTTAACGTAAAATTTTATAATCAACGCGCGTACAAAATTTCTCATCGAACTTTTTTTTTTCTTTTCCAATCAATTGCACTTTATTCGCGGAAACTTTCTAAATTACTTTCATTTACGAAATAAAAATTTTGTATTTTATTATTTTACTTTTTTTTAAAAAATATTTTTATTATTTTTATTATTATTATTAGTATCTTTATTATTTTTATTATTACATTGATTATCATTTTTATTATAATTTCCGTTTTTTTTTTTGCCATAATGTTTTAATTATTTTTTTTAAATATAATAATTAAATATATTTAATTTTTTTTCATCATTACAGTTATTTATATATTGTAAAATCGAAATTAGGTTTCAATAGAATCAAAATTAATTAGAAAAAAAAGAAATTTTGATAATTTTTTTATCAAAGTGAAAAATATCGCGGTTTTATCGTGAGAGAAATTATCAAAGGTTTGTTTATATATTACCCATTGTTCAATTTTTTTTTTTTTTTCCTTTAGGTTTTTGTATAATTTTTTTTTCGTTATGGTGTTTTTTGAATTTTTTGATTCCCTTAGAATTGTTTTTTTGTCCGACCACAAACGAGGTCATGTTTTTCATTACCCATGTAGGTGTTTTCTTTTTTTTTTCTCTTTTTTTTTTCTATCCACATTTATGTCAGTAGTCACAGTACGTATTTCGTCAGCCAATTTAAGGAGATTTGCTGCCCAATGAAATATTGATGAATGGCGGCAAACTATTTGATAGAGAAAAAAAAAAAAAAAAAAAAAAAATTGAAAGAAAAAAAAAAATTCGGTTTGTTGAAAAGTCAAACCCATTGTCAATCGGTAACACCCCAATCACAAGTATTGTGTGTATTGATAGAGTGTATACGCGATTGCTGCTGATTCGACATTTATCGTCACTTTTTATTACAATCAATAATTTTCCACTCGCCCTGCTATGTTCATCCCTTTTATATCTGGACCCGAAAAAAAACTTTCTTTTCAAATATGATGATGGTTTTTATTTTTCCCAAAAAAAAAACGAATTCACCAAATTTTTATACATCAATAAACGCAGCTTTTTTGAGAATAAAAAAAATTTATCGTCAATACAAATCGTGATTTATTTTTGTTATATTATTTGGTAAATTTTTTGGACAAATAAAAATTTATAGACAATTTGAAAAATTGAAAAAAAAGGTTTCTTTAATTAAAATTTATTTATTTTTTTTTTTTTTAGCTACTATTGGATTTTTTTTTTTAAATATATATTTTAATTTTCTTTTGAAATAAATAATAAATGCGGTATATTGATAAATATATATATAGAAGGTCAAAGAAAATTTTTTATCACATAAAAATGAATTTTTACTTGAAGAAATTTCTCTTTGACGTATAAAGAACTCTTTATATGTCAGAGAAAATATATTCTTGTCGGTAAAGAATTTTATATATATAGTTGAAATGAATATAAGAAAACGAATTATGTTAGTCTTTTTTTCTGACGATAAAAAAAAATATATTAATTAAATTACGAAAAATTTCAATTTAATATTTTACAGGTATAATAAAAATTTTTTTTTATATCTAAAATTATTCATTTGAGAAAATTTTTTTTCATTTTCAGTTAAAAATTAAAAAATTAAAAATTAAATAATAAATAAAATTAAAAATTGAAAAAACCAAAAAAAAATGATTAAATTTGTAAAGAAAAAATTTGAAAATTATTGAAAAATTGAAAAAAAAGAAAAAATCTCCTTAAAATGGTTGAGGATTGTAATCCACATTGTAGTCAGTAGTTGATTAGGCAATGTGTTGTTCTCCACAGCCCAAGAAGTCCGAGAAGGCGGAATGGCAGACGAAGAAATAGATAAACGAATACACAGCCTACTCAGATTCGACATTAAAATATAACAATAATTATTATTATTAATTATAATTATTTTAAAAAAAAGTAAAAATAATTAATATAACGTTATAATTATACAAATATACACACACTGATAAGACACTTTTTTATATATATATCGTTATATATGTCTAAAAAAAAAAAAAAATTCATCAATGCTTTCCAATCGAGTAATCGTACGTTTTTCGAAATATATATATATATATATATATATATGTTTGCCTTTAATCGCGAATTTTGATTTTTTTTCGTCCAAAATCTCGTGACATTAATGGACAAACTTTACATATATACTTGTTTTTTTTCCGAACTATTATTTACAAGTTAATAAAAATAATGTTAATATTGTGCAGATAAAAAAATCTATTTTTCCAATTTCTTTCTTTTTTCTCTTTAATATTAATAACTGCAATATATTTGTCTGCGCAAAAAAATTTTCTTGTAAACTAAAAAATATTTAAATTTCAACTTTTGCTTCTCTTCTTGTAATTTACATTATGTTCTGCTTTTTTTTTAATGCGACGATTCGATTGAACTTTTACTTAAAAAAAGTCGAAGAAAAAGTTGAAAAAAAAATGGTAAAAGAAAGATCAAATATATCAATTTTAGAAAATTGTGAATTATAAAATTAAATAAAATTGAAAAATTGTAGAAAAGTGAAAATTTTAGAAAATTAAATAAAAGTAATTTATTAAAAAATTACAAATTTTAAATAAGAATAATTTTAAAAAAATAATGAAAAAAAAAAAAATATAATTCGAGAATTGAGAGCTTATAAATAAGAGGGATATCGATATCGTCGCTTGAACATATTAAATCATATTACTGTTTTTATACTTTCATTTTATTTCTCTGATCTATCTTCTATACTATAATATTTGAAGCAAGCTAATCCAATTTTCACGGCCCTCTTTGCAAAAAGAAAAAAAGAAAAAAAAAAAAAAAAAAAAATGAGATTGAGGGCCGGTGCCTCTCTGACGCATTTTTCGCGAGCAGTCGAACCAACGTAAAGTTTAACTGCAAGCACTACTATAGCCTGTAAAATATTTGGAAAGCAATTTATCGAGCGAGTAAGTGGCGCAAGAAGGTGAGAATGGCTTACAACGTATTATCGAATTACTTCTCGCTCCGTGTACTACTACTACTACTATACATAATCGCAAAAAGCGCTTTACTCACACATTTTTCTTGTATTTTATCATTTTCACTATGTTTTTCTCTCTCTCTATATATATATTTTTTTTACTCTTTTTTGCCAACATTTTTTTTTTATCCTTTTTACTATTCTCTCGGCAATACACACACACAGAGAGAACAATTTCATTCAATCAAACATGCTTTTAATTAAAAGTGATATCTACTTTGGTTAATTAAAATACCAATGTTTTGTTGATTAAAAGAAATATAATGTTTTTTGATTAATTGATGCAAAATAATTTTTTTTTTTTTGCTTATTTGATATAATTTAAAGATATATTTTTATTTAATTTTATTAAATTAATTAATTTTTATTTATTTAATCATACATATTTTTTTGGAGAAATTTTCCTTTTATTCTTTGAAAAAAAATTTTTTTTTTCATTTAAAAATATTCATTAAAATGTATGTAAATATTAATAAATGTTTTAATATTTTCGTTTTTAAAAATGTTACTGAAAAAAATAGTTTAGAAATAAAATATTGTCTTGGGAAATTTTTTTGGAAATATAAAAAGAAACTTTCTAATCGAGTAAATTTTCTAATTAATTTGACGGGAAATTTACTTCAAAAAAGTTTAACGAAATTTTTACTTTATTACTGCTGGGAAAAATATGCTTTGAATTGAATTTTCTTCAGAGTGAAGTAAATTTTTTAAAATTAGAAAGAAAAAAAAATTCTCACACAAAAAAAAAGATCTTTAATTCAGTTAAAAGGTAAATTTTTTCGAAACAAGACTTTAAATATTTTTTACAATTTTTTTTTTTAAATTATCAAAACTATATCAAAACAGTTGTTTTAATTATTAAAATAAAATTTTTAGTTTCAAAATTATTTCCTATTTTACTAATTTACACCTTCTTTTACTCTTTCTCTACTTTACTTTACACTATCCGCGCAATTCAGGCAAAATTAATAAAATGCACTACATTTATATATTCAAATGACTTGAAAAAAAAAAATTTTGTTTAAAATAAAAAATTACGCCAAAGGCTCCTTTTTCAGTTGACACTCATTCGGCTGCCAAGCTTCGAGGCTATATATGTATATGTGTATTTTAATGTTGTCTTGGTCCATGGGCTTCTTTATATTAATTCTCACGTCTCAATATTTTTCGTACAAAAAATTAATTAAAAATTAATCGTACTTTTTTAATTCGTACTTTTGTACGAAAGGGCATGTCCCGTTAATAAATGAAATTTGAAATTTGAAAATTAATTTATTTTTTTGTGTAAAATTTTTATTTACAAAAAAAAATTAAATATTCCCACTTTTTTCTAAATTAATTTTTTTTTAAAAAAAAGAAATTTTTTCTTTTCGCAATTAAAAAATATAGTTTTTTGAACTATATATATATTTTTTTTTTTTGAGGAAGATGGAAAGCATCAATTTATGCGGGGCAGGTGTCAAAGAAATGAATCGTCTGTCAAAAAATTTATCGACACGTGAGAATGTCGAGCCAATTTATTGATCGACATTTTATGTCATTGCAAGCTGAATAAGCCATGCGCGCGAAAATTCCAGTAAAATGTGCATATGTCACAAGTTTGATGAATCCTAAAATGACATGTATATATATATATTTTTTTTTGCTCTTCCTTTTTACATTCAATTGATGAATATAATTTACTGAAATTTTCGTCGTGTGACTGTCGAGATGATAAATCCTCTCTTTTTGATACTTGTTAAGTAATAAAATAATGATCGCTTTATTTACTGTCCTCGTCTGACATTGACTAATGATTTTTTGCTCTTGCATTATGTTTGCAGAACGCGTCAAAAGACAAGGTAAACTTTTAACAAAATTGTGTTGCGCTTAAATGCTTATATTTTGTGAATCGCTTTTCTGATAGTTTTTTTTTTTTTTTTTTTTTTTTTTTTTTTTTTGAAATCATTTTTTGCTTTAAAAAAGAATTTTCTATTGAAATAATTTGTCCTCAATTAATTTTTATTTAAATACATTCAGAGAATATTTTTTTTATATTCGAATCAATTTTTTGAATCAAAGAAATATAATTTAATTGTTTTTTAATTTTTTTTTTCTAAATTTTTTTAATTATATTTGAAAGTATTTAATTAATACGTAAGCACATTTATAAAAATTTATATCACCTCCTTTTCTTCTAATAGTGATATTTTACTGAAAATAAATTTATTTTTAAATTCAGAATATTTTATTTTTAAAATAAGAATATATTTTATTTGAATATTTTCTAAAATTAAAAAATATATTCTTATTTTAAGAGTAGAATATATATAAAAAAAATTATAATTTCAATATATTTTTTTTGCAATATTCTTAATTTTAGAATATATTTTGAAATTTTGAAATTTATTCTTATTTTAAAAATAGAATATATACTAAATTTAAGAATAAATTTAAAATATTTTAAATAAGTTTAATTTAATAGCAAACTAGTGAAAAGTGAATAAATTTTCTTAATTCTCCATAAGTTTATCTGCAGTAGTATAAATATCAGTAGTTAAAGACAGTTTCAGTCAGACATAATTCTTATTCTGTAGTACAATTATATTCTAAATAAAAAATCCAATATTATAAATGTTTACGTAATAATTAAATAGCAGATTTATTTTTTTTTGTTCTTTAATAACTATATTTTTAGCAGTTGGCAAAATAATGTTTTTTTTTTTTTTTTGTTAAAAATAATCTTTCTTTCGAGGCAAATTATTTCTGTTAGTGAATATAATCTGATGTTTTAATATTTTGATTGATAATAATCTGTTAATAAAAAAATAAGCTTTATTATATGTTGTTCATAAATTTCAATTTCTATTGTATTCATTCTTTTTTGAAAATAACAAAATATTTTCTTGCTATTTACAAAAATCTCAATTTTATAATTTTATTAAACTAAAGTTTGCACTATCAATAAAACGATAACAATTTTAATGTAAATTCTTATTTTTTTTTTAAATTACGATTATTAATAAATTATTATTAATTATTATTTAACATACGTTTTGACATATTGCAAACTTAAGTTTTCTTACAAAAACAAAAATCATTAATTCTATATATCTATTCTAACTTTTTTCAAAAAAAAAAAACTATTTCTTCTTTTCTTTTTCATGTAGCACAATTTTATATATAAAAAAAAATTGTACGAATTTTTTTCTAAATTTCTTGGACTGGGATTTTACTATTCTGGAAATAAAATTTTTAAAACTAATAAAACGGTTATTAGAGTGAAATTTTACTGGATTAAAATTAACGTTTATATAACGTTTTTTCCTTTAGTAATAGTCATTGAAACATTAGAAATTTATATATAGTTTAATTCCTTATTTGAATTGAATTTTCAATTAAAATTGAGTCAAAACTTTTAATTAGTTTTTCATCTAATTATCGATTCTGTATAATTGTGTAAAAAATTAATTAATTAGTAATTGAACCACAAACTGTTAATTAGTTACTCTCAATTAGATATGAAAGTTCAAATTTCATTCAGAAATTCCAAAAATGATTGGTATATATATTATTTCGATATTATGTACAGTTCAAATTTTTTGTTGTAAAAAAAAATTTTTTTGAAAAAAATTTTCAATGAGAATTCATCTGTTTCGGAGAAATAAAATTTTTAAAATAAATTTTTTAAATAATAAAGTGAAATATTTTTAAAAAAAAATTAAATTTCATTTCAAAAATAGTAAAATTCCAAAAAAAGATTATTTTTTTTTTATCACGAAGACAATTAATTGGACGATGATGATTTGAGGGATGGGAAACAAAATTCGAAATTATGAAAAATTTTATATATTTTTAATAAAAACCATTTTAAAAAATAGATTTTTAGGAAACGATTTCTTATTTTTATTTTTATTTAAAGAAAACTTTTCGTTTCCCTTTGTAGGGTATATATATATATAAATTTTTTTTTCGGGGTTTCCCGAATCCGTTTAATATGCTTGAGAGCGTTTTAACATCCCCCGCATTGGCGCGCAATCCATGCGAATAAAACTTGAAAAGGGAAAAATACTAAAATTTTGTTTTTCTGTCACCTTACAGAAGAAACCTGACTGGTCGAAGAAGGGCGAAGATAAGAAGGTAAAGGAAGAGGAGGTTGAGGCATGAGAGAACCATCTCCCCCCACCCCCCCTTCAATAAAAAAAAGAGAAACTTTACGTCAAAAACTTCCTTCCAATGATCGAAACAACGCCTTGTTTTTCTTGAAGCAGAATTTACGTCACTTCTTCTTTTTTTTTTTTGTATAACATTCTTCTGACAAATCCTTTACGTAAATGTATATTATTTAAACCGCGACTGTTGTAATATTCGTCGATTAATGATTTTTTTCTTCCATAAACATTTTTTTTTGTAAATTAACAAAAATTTCCTTTTTTTTTGTTTTTAAATACCTTTTTTTGCAATGAAAATTTTAATGTTTTCATTCTTTGAATAAAAAAAAATGAATTAAAGATTATTTTTCTATTTGTAAAAAAAAGTAGATTTTGCATATCGTTTTTCTTTTCTACTATTTGCAAATTAAGAAATTTTTCTCGATCGATCAGTCCCAGGTTAACTAATCATGTAACATTATTGTTTCGCGATATTTATATTTGACAAAAACAACAACAACAACAAAAAAAAGAGATTATTAATTAAGATATATTATAAATTAAATACGTAATTATAATCAAAAAAAAAAAAAAAATACCTCTGTGTTAATTTTTACCAATATCACCTGGTGTCATCCTTTTTTTTCCTGCACGACTGTTTTTAATTTTCATTTCTAGAGAAAAATTCTCATTTTTATAAAAATTGAACGAAAATTAAATACAAAATTTTTAATTACGATTAAATTTATAACAAATAAAAAAAGGTATATAAATAAATTATTTATTTACAGTAAAGAATAAATTTTAAATTAATAAAACATTTTAATTTATATAAAATTTATATAAAAAATTATAATAAATTTAATTAAATTTAATTTAAATAAAAATATTTTCTAATATAATAATAAAATAATAATAATTTAATAATTTATTAATAATTGTAATATTTAAAAAAAACGAACCGTTAAATGTTCCCTTTTCCTTAAATTGTTTTTTCTATTTAAAAAGAAATGTGTTTCAGTATAAATATTCACAAAAATTTTGTGAATTTCAACCCTGTGAGCATGCATCTGAAGATATAGATATAAGAAAAATTTGTGAATTTCAGGAAATAACGAAATTGATGATGGTAGGTACATTATATAAATATTATATTATGCATATCGCTTTTGAAATTTTCATTCAATCAAATTTTATTTATTTTCATATATATTCAATTATAAATATTAAAAATTGTTAAAATCAAGAGTAATTATATACTCGCAATCACAATTCAAAGAGTATTCACTTTTTGATATAATAAATTTCTACATATATAGAATATAGCAAAAAATATAGAAAAATAATAAAATTTCTTTGGTCCCATTATAAATATGCTCGTCACATTTTATATTAAATAAAATATTAATTTTCAATAATTTTCTCAATATGAAATAATTTTTTCTTTTATAAAATTTCGAATTTTCATTTTAAAAAAAAAATGTTATGCCCCAGGCAAAATTTTCATATTTTTCAATGAAACATGCATTCTATATAATAATTAATTAATAAACAAGCAAAAATGTTGAGTTTAATTAAATTGAAAAAAAAAAATTCACAATTAGAACATAAAAGATAATATTATCAACAACAAAAATTAAAATAATGTCATGATATGAGGATTTCTAATGAATATTTAAATTCTATTTAAAATACGCCTTCCTTAAGCCATTAAAAGAGTCAAAACTTTGTAATTGAAACCACCAGCGAAAATGGGCTAAAAATTTCATTTGAATAAAAATTCGATAATTCTTTGTTAATGTGCTTTCTGCGAGAGTTAAGAAAAACACATGAAAAAAAAGGGAGGGAGCAAAAAAAAGAATTTTCTAATTTAAAGAATAATTATTTTTTCCAATAATTTCTCTGTAGTGATTTTTTTACATTTTTTTTTTTTTAATTTACATTTATTACTCATGAGTAATTTTCTAACAAATATTAATATTTAAAAATATATAATAATTAAATTATTATTATTAAAATTATAAAATATCAAACTTTAATAAAAATTAATATTTAAAAAAGATATAACTGCGTTTCATAATTATATATATATATATATATATATATATATATATATATATATATATATATATATATATATATATATATATATATATATATATATATATATATATTATGAATTAATTTTAAATTCTAATTTAATGACAAACATTTCTGACCGGATACATTTTACGACCTGATGGTTGTGGTTACACGCATGTTGAAGCCACATACAATCATCATAATAATATGAGATCACGCGAAACAGGTATGTAAATTGATGTGAAATGACCAGAATTTCTTAAGATCACCCTGGTGTGATCATATAAATAAAAACCAAAAAAAATTGAATCCAGTTGTTATAATTATAGTAATATAACTTTTTTTTCAAATTCTCACATTTAAAAATAATAAATTGATGATTTATCTTACTATTCTCGTAAACATTAATAACACATTTCACTGATATGGAAAATTTTAATGAATCAAAATTTTAAAAGAAAAATATTCAATTTTATTTTCTATTAGTGTCGAGCAATTTGGGACCAAAGTTAAAAAAAAAAAAATTATACAATCATTTAACTTTTAATATTTTTTTTTTTTGCATTTACAATTAAATTTCACATTTAATTAATAATAAAATTTTGAATGAACATTATCATTGTACTATCATTTATTATTATCGTTATTTTATTTATAATTATTTATAAAAGTTTCCGGTCTAGCGTCGTTTGCTTTTTTTTCTATATGTGAGCGCACCAATCACTTTACGTTCATCCCCTCCTAATTGTGCTGCGCGCGCATAAGAGCTGTGGGAATGCGCCGCTAGTCCAAAACAATTAAATTATTATATTTGTGTTTAAATGTTTTGTGTAAAATTTTGTATTTCTTTATTTTCATACAATAAAAAAAAAAAAAAAAATTTTTTTAAAGAATCGGGGAAAATGATTGTGAGGGTTTTTTTTGAATATTTATAAAGAAATCTTTGGCTGGACAATGATTAAAAATTGTCAATAAGTTGGAGCCGCCACCATCAGTTGAGCTACCGACGCCAACACCTACACCATCCCCGGCGCCACGAGAACCAACGCCAACACCATCACCAACGCCAACACCAACGCCAACACCAACGCCAACGCCAACGCCTACACCAACTCCCGAACCACCAGTTGTCGCGCCACCTCCGGAACCAACACCAACGCCATCACCTGTACCTCCAGAAGGTAAAAAATTATTATTATTATTATTATTGTCATTGAAAATTTAAAATTAATTATAGAATTGAAAAATATTTTTTCATTTAAATATTATTTGCAGCGCCACCTGCAGACGCAGCTCCATCGGAAGGAGAAGCGCCACCTGCTGAGGCAGCGCCACCTACCGAAGGAGCGCCACCTGCCGAAGGAGCGCCTCCAGCCGAAGGAGCACCACCAGCGGAAGGTATATTTTTTTTATTTTAATTTTATTAAAAATTTAATTAATTTATTAATTAATTAAATTAATAATAATTTAATAAATAATTAAATTTTGTATTTATTTTTTTATTTTATTTTTATTTTAATTAAATAATATTTCCGCTTGCGTTAAAATTCTACTAAATGAAAAAAAAAAAAATTCAGGAGCGCCTCCTGCAGAAGGTGCGCCATCAGCAGAAACTGCACCTCCGGCAGAATCAGCGCCACCAGCTGAAGGAGCGCCTCCGGCTGAAGGAGCACCACCCGCAGAAGGTTATTATATTTTTCTATTCATTATAAACATTAACAATGCTAATAAAAATTTACGATTAATATAATAATTAATTAAATTAAAAATTATAATATAAAATATTTAAATTAAAAATATAATTTAATAAAATTTATAATTTTTTTACAATTTTTTAAATTTATTTACATTATAAATAGAGTTTAAATTTGCTATTTATGTTAAATTATAATTATAATATAAAAATATAATTAAAAATTTTAAAAAAAAATTGGAAAATTTACAGGAGCGCCCCCAGCGGAAGGGGCACCCCCTGTGGAGGGAGCAGCACCTGAAGCAGCTCCAACGGAAGGAGCGCCACCTGCAGAAACACCAGCGCCTGCAGCTGACGCTCCTCCTGCAGAAGCAGCTCCCGCGGAAGTTCCTCAGGGACCTGCTCCTGAACCTGCGTCTGTTGAAGGTGCGTGAAATTAATTTTCCGCCCCCTCTCGCAAGCCAAGGGGAAAAAAAAATTTCCACGTAATTATATATATTTATCCAATTTCTATATTTTACGAAATTTTTATTTAGCTGAATTTTTATTTTGCAAAATTTTTTATTAAGTCCATTTTAAAAAAAAATTAAATAATTTTAATTTAATAGAAAATTTATTTAGCAAAATATTTACACTAAATTTAATTTTACGGTTGATCAAAATATTTGTTTTAACCCTTTATTTAGCGGAATTTTCATTCGGCAAAATATTTTCATTAAGCAAAATTTTTCTCTAATGCAATGTTTTTTTAAAAGATTAATTATTTACTTTGTTTTAAATTAAATATTATTTCATAAAAATTTTTATTTAGCAAAATTTTTCGATATTAAACAGTCTGTTTATTTGGCCGAATTTTCATTTTGGCAGAATATTTCCACGTGGCAAAATTTTTAAATTAAGCACTGTTTTTTTAATTATTCATTGTAAAATTTATATTTAATTAAATATTACTATATAACGAAATTTCTATTTTGCAAAATTCTTATTAGTCTTTATTTAGCCAAATTTTCATTTTGCAAAATATTACTATTTTCAAAAAAGATAATTTTTATTCACAAAAGTTATCTTTAATTAACCCGTGTAGAAATTTCCCTACCAGGGCCCTGGTAGTGAATAGTAATCTGGTCCCGATCAGGGACTGTTCAGGGCCAGATTAGGGCCACGAGAAAAATGGGGATTTCCTAATCAGGGACACATCAGGCGTAGTGTCACATTCCCGCCCGATCCGGCCCCGATCCGAGCCATGGCAAAATTTCTACACGGGAAACTTTCTTTTAATAAATTTATTACAATCTTTTTTTTTTTTTATTAATTTCACTTTTTTATTTCAAAATTTTTGATAAAAATTTTAATTAATAAAATTTAAAGAAGGCAAAACTTGTGCTAAATATATCGTTTAGTAGAAACTATTTTATTGTATAAAAAAAAATTTTTTTTTCTAAGAAATTCGTTTAATTTGAAAATTCAATTAAATAATAATTTTAGTAAGAGAATTAATATAGAAATTCTATAAAAAATAAAATATGAGATAAAAATTATAGAAAAGAAAAAAAAATTTTTTTTTTCAATTAAATAATAAAATAAAATGCTTTATATTAAAGTATATTGTGGAGCGATTTATAGTATATATATATAAAAGTAAAAGAATGAAACATTTTCAAGACAATATTTTTCGTGAAATTTATTTTCTCCTCTCTTGTAAAATAATGCATTGTTTTCAAATTACAGCGGCAGCTTCGTAACTCCTTGCTCAAGATTGATGGTGGACACTTCCATGTTTTATCGCCAGTTAACTTTGCAATGCTGCTTATATTGTATATACTATCTGACATAAAGTATATGGATATGCATTGAATACATCATACTTCCGGTACAAGCCTTTAATTACCAGTATACATATGACATTCGTCCCTAAATTACAATCAAACTTTTAATATTGTCATTATCAATTATATATTATTATTATTATTATTATATATATATATATATATATATATATATCGTATTGTCGTCATCGTTGTCGTCGTCGTCGTCGTTACGCATTTCAATGCTCATGTCATTAATAAATAAAAAAAAATAAGAGATCTATACACTATTTAACATAATTAGTGTTTTTCGAAATGTATTAATTTTCAATAAACTTACGAAAAATCAATATTAGATTATTCTTTTTTCCCTAAAATATTTTATATTAAAATTTCTTTATTAGCTAATAATTTATTTGTTTTTATATTTTATGTTTTTTTCTAATTTATTTATTTTTCTGCTTAAAAATAATTTTTGTTTTATTTATTTGTTATAAACATTATTTTTATTTACATACATTTCTCATTTTATAAAAATTTTTTTTGTAATATATAAATTTTATTTTACATTTTTGTTTTTTTTTCCAAAGGACTTAAAGAAGTAATACAAGGATAAAAATTTATCAATCTGTGAAGCAAAGACAGCTTAAGAAAAATTGTGAAAATGTATGATAGTTATTAATGTCATTTTCACAAAAGAAAATCTTAGACCTTATCTGAAAGAAATATCATATTCTTATCCCTTCTTAACAAAGTAAAAATATTGTGGAGTCATAAAAGATACTCAAAAATCAATTACACCTGATCCATCTTAAAGCATATTATTCGAATAAATTTTTTAAAAATTTAAATTTTTATTAAATAATATATTTCACTAAATTTAATTTATTATAAAATTCCATCAACAACAATTTTATTATTATTAATAATTTATTATTAACAATTCATTTAAATAACATACATTACATTATATTATTAGTAAATACAAATACAAAAATAATATTACCTTATACTGGTGAAAAAAATTAATAATCTATTTAATAATCAAATATTGAAAAATAAACAATCAGGAAATATTCAATTCAGACATATTATCAATTTAGATTAATTAATTAAATAATAACATTACATTATATTGGATAAAATAAATTAATAATCAAAATATATTAAAAGAACAAAGAATCAGGAAACATTGAATTCAAATATTTAAATCAAACAACTATGTAATTGTGCGCATGCGCAGAACGTCACGTGATCATTTCAATTTCATCGCAGCAAAGTATTTGCAATTTGTCAATTATATATTAATTCAAATGTTTAATATAGATAAAAAAAATGTTTAACGATTTTAATATTAGTTTTATTTTATTTTCAATTGCATAGTTTAATGAAATAAATAATTAAAATAAGTGTAATTTGCAAAATAACACTGATTATTCATAGGAGTGTTTAAGGTTGGCAGCACTGACTAGAGTCGCATAGCTGCGTTCATTCCATACAGTGTACACTAACCGCTCATTCATTGTGATGTGTTTGCAACAGTTGCATCGTTTTTCTTGTTTTCAACATTAAAATCAGCATCAGTTAAATTGTTTTTACGTAAATATCATAGAATTACTTCAGTAAAGTAAATAAATGTGTATTTTTTATATGTGTGTAGTGATTGTAAAGTATCAATTTATTCTGAAAGGTGAAAGAATATCTAATTTTTCTGTTTCGTCAAACCATGTCAACAGTACCGGTAAGTTATTCATTTCTATACAATTTATTCTAATATATTCATTATAATTTCGTTATTATCTTGATTTACTTGTTCTCGAAATGTTATTTTTATCTTATCTATATATTGAATTTTTCGATCGTGAACATTTTTCATTTTAACATAACCTGATTTATGTCACATTATTGTTATATTTTTATTTCGTGCATATTTGACCCTTTTTTGTCAAATTAATTGAATCAATTCAAATGATTTGATTATTATTCAATATAGGGTATTATTTTAATTTATTAATAAGTAATATTTTTATTATTTTACGGAATTTACCAAATTTATATCAAAGTATTTGTTTTTTCTATAAGTAAAAAATCGATTGATTTGTGACAATAAAATTGAGGTTAAGTTGATCATTAAAAATTCAAATAAAGATTTTCAGGAATTAATTTATATTATTAAATAATATATTTTCTTAAATTTATAAAACACAAACATTGATATATGAAAATAAGTGTAAAAAAATTGATAAATTTGACGTTTTACAATATTAGATAGCAAATGAATTTTTTCACAACAAATTAATTTACTAAAAAAAAATAAACAATATTACACAAAAAAAAAAATTATTTGATTTCAATAATTTTTTTTCTTGATTATTGTCAATTAAATATTTATTTGTATAAGATAATAATTTATTATTTGAAATTATTAAAAGGTATTTATTTTTATTACAAAAATTATTGAGTCTATATCTAAAATTAAAAAAAATTTTAGGTATTGAATAAAATATTATTATTATTATTATTATATATTATTATATAATAATAATTATTATTATATTATTATTTTATTATATATTTATAATATAATATAAATATTATTTTTATATTCGATGTTTTTACTTTTTTTATTTTAGTTATTTATAATTTTTATTTATTCTTTTTGCATTGAAAAAAATTTTTGTTTATTATTATGAAAATTTTGTTTTTGTACTTTGTTATTGTCTTACAATTTTTTTTTTTTAATTTTTTAGTCATTACATAAATAATTTTTTTTTCTTTTTATTTTGTACATAAAATTTTTTTCAACCTTTTATTTTGTATATACAAAATTTTTTAAAGTTTAAACAAAATTGGCGTTCATATTGACGTCGAGTTCTCGAAAACTCTTAGTTATATTTTCATAATTTTTGTGTTTTTCGATTAATTTTAATTATTTTTTTTTTTGGCAGATTCTATCCACGATGGCTTGTGATAAAAAAGGGTATCTTATCTTGAAGGACGTAGAACTCTTCATATTCTCCAGTTTCAGACTTTTTAGAACTCGGTCTATTTTTACGGTTATTTTTCACATTTTCTAAATGGAAATTTAACTTGAAAGTAGGGATCTCCGAGGGCTATTTAGTTTGAAAGAAATCTCATTGAAGCTGAAAATTCATCATTAAGGTAAATAATTTAATTTATTGGAAAAATTAACATTTTTTTTTTGTTTGTTTTAATACCAATTCAAATTATTGATTCGAATAAAATTTATTTAATTTAAATAAAAATTATTTGGTCCAAATAAATATTTATTTACAACCAAATAACCATTTATTTAAAGCAAATAATTTTATTTTCACTATATATTAATATATAAACAATGTATTTATGACTTTTTTCCTTTAAAAAATATGAAAAATTGGAGAAAAAAATGAGTATATTTTCTCGTAGATTGCGGTATGTACACATTCGATTTTGAGATAAAATGTACTAATTGGAACAGGATAAAGAAGTACCTTTATATATATATATATATATATATATATATATATATATATAGCGAGAAACGGCCTTTCTCCCCTGCATTTAAAATATTTCGGCTGCCTGGATATCTAATTGACGAAGGACGTCGATTTTGTGTTCAGGGCGCTTGGTGGTTCTCCCGCAAGGTTGTCCAATTAGAAGATTTCTTTTGTCGAAGGGTTTCCGACTTTCTCTCTTTCTCTCTCTCTTTCGTTTCAGACGCGCGGAGGTTCATTAGATGTTAAAAAACCAAAAAAAAATAAATAAATAAAATGCACCTCGTGGTTTCTCTCCCCTTCTCGTTGATGCAGACTCCCTTTTTCGGTCCACGAGTTAAATCGTGTTTGAATCTCGCAGTTTTGCCCGCGCGCTCTCTCTCTCTTTCAACTCACTCTCATTTCAGAGTGTGTTGTGCTTACTCTCCTCAGTCTCTCACTGGCAGTCGTGTCGTGAGGTACGGGAATATTCTTCACGTATATATCGCTTTGAAACGCCGGTTATTCACGTGGGCAATTCTTTTCGATTTATCTGTCAAACAGAAAAATTCAATTAAACAAAAAGAAAAAAAAAAATTCTTCACATTTCCAAGATTTATCAAATAAATTTTATTTCACAATTATGTAAATTTTGTTCATATATGTGAGTGAAGTGTTTGTGCTTTCAAGTGTATATTAATAATGAATTTACATAATCAGGGAGAATAAAAAAAAAAAAAAACAAAATGAATTGTGCTAAGATGATCAAAGAGCAAGGCTCTATTATCTTTATAGAGGAAGGTTGTCGTGTTATGTAAAAGATCATTTATAGTGTTTTTTTTGGTGGTGGAAATTATTGTTTGGCACTTTTTTTGTTTTGTAAAAATATTGTAATTGCAATATTTTGAAAAAAAACTCGACGTGTGTTTTTAAAATACAGTTTTCAAAATTAAAAAAAAGTAAAGACAATTGTCATTCGGTTTTTGGAAATTTAAATCTCGTGTATTAAAAATTTTTTCCCGCCAATCGTCTGACTAGGGTGAGTAAAACTTGAGGTTTTTCCTTTTTTTTTTTCATTGAGTGATGATTTTTATGTGGTTTTGCGTTGGTTTGTACCGGTTCTCATTCGAGGAAGTAAATCGATGGGCAAAAAACTAGAAACCTTCGAATGACATCGTGATCCCGTTTTGTTGGGTTGGGAAAAACAGTTCGGAGACTCTCATTGCAAACATGTATAATCGACTCGGTTGCGTTGCCAATAAGCACGTGGCTTTTGTTTTGAAATAAGTAATTGGCTGATTTTTTTGGCGGAAAACCAAATTTTACCCCTTTTTGCCTAAAAATTCACTATTTTGTCATTAATTATTATTTAAATTAATATAAATATTAATCAAAGTTGATAGTCATATTATTAATACTGATTTTTTCATTTCGAGAAATTATTTTATTTACATTATTTTTTATTATTATTATTATTAACTTTTATTTATTTATTTCGCATAAACGGATCTTCAATTTTTATTCAAATAAATTTTGTGATACATTCAAAAAGTGTCAAAGGAAATTTATCATAAAAGAAAATATATTAAATTTCTTCTAGGAATTATTTATTAACTGCAAATTTTTTTTAAATATTACTATAGCAATGAAAAATAAAAAAGTTCAAAAAATTATTATTATTATTTATTATTGGTTTTTATTTTCTATAAAGTAAAAAATGTGTTTTTTGCACTTTTAAGAAAAATTATTATTAAAAAGTTTTCTATCGTTCTTATAAATTGTTATTCCTTTTTTTTAAATTTAATTTCTTTATTAACAAAAAATTCTTTTGCGTTTTATAATTTTATTTATATCGTCGTGTTTTTTTCGAAATAAATAAAATTTACGAAAGATTCGGAAGTGACGGGAAATTCAACCTTCAGGAAATTATATAGTGCTCATCTGTAAAAATATATATATTTATGTATTTTTAAATTAGAAATAAAATATAGAGAAAGAAATTAATTAAACAAAAATATTTAATAATTCATTTAGTATATTAGTAAAATGGTTTTGAAATTTTTCAATTGTTTAAAAAAAAAAAAAGATAAAGAAAATCAAAATTTTCGAGAATATGGAAATATAATTTTTTTTTTACTATCATTGTATATATGCGTTCACGTAAAAAGAATGAAAAATGCAGGCGACATATATACGGATTCCTTGTTTTTTCAATTTAAAAAATGGAAATAGTTTTCCTTTGATACTCAATTTCAAGTCTTCACATGAATATGACACATTAATTTGCTTTTAGCTAAAAAACTAAGCAATCAACTTTGTACCTTTCCCACGTATTTCTTTTGCATGTTTTTAATAATATATATTTTTTTTAATTTCCTGTGCTCTTAAACATTTTTAAAATTTTTACATTATTATTCATTCTTTAAAAAAATTTTTTATACGCACGCTTATATCTTCGTATATGAAAATTTTCCTACATGAAAAAATTTTAAATATAAATTTTTATTTAATTACAATTAATTAAATTTTTGACAAATATTCTTAATTGATTGTTCGTTTATGCGGAATTTTCTGATAAAATTATTATAACTTTGTAGGTCTGATTATAAATTTATTTATTGTACAACTGAAAATATTTTTATTTTATATTGTAGAGATATTACTTGTCAAGTTTTTTTTTTTTTTTTTTTTTTTTTTTCATTGAACAAGAACATAAATCGGAAAATATATCATGTTTATTATCCGTGCGGACACAGAAATCCTCCCATGAGGAATTCTCACGAACAAACAATATAAATATGAATTTTTATGTTTCGTTTGACCACATTTACCTGGGGCCTTTATAGTAGTAGCAAAGTGTTATACGTTACAACTCTTTTCTTATCTTAGCATATAAGCTTCTTATCGGGTTTGTTGGCCAAGAGAGTTTGTGTTGTCACTTGAACCGCGTCGCTGCTCTAGCTAAAACACCCAATGAGCTAAATTTACAAATATAATATATACCTTACAAATTGTTCATGTCATTTCGTCTATAAGTCACTTCAAGAAACTGTAGTTTTTCTTGTTAGTTTTATCAATTTTTTTTTATCGTTTTTATCTTTTCCTCAATACTGTATTATATAAATTTTTAAATCGTAATTTACTCAAAATTCATTGAAGATAAGAAATTTAAAATTGATAAAAAAAAATATAGTGTAGCTATTAATAAAATAGAGGGAAAATTTTTTTTTTACCAGCAATCGGTAAAACAGATTCCACAATGAAATTCTGTTTTATCAACAATCGGTATAGCAGAATGGCCTTAAATTTCAGTGGAAATATTCAATTTTTAAATTCCAACTAATATTTTATCGATACAATCTTTCTGATTTTTTTAAAAGAGTATTCGATTTTGAAATTCGCCAAATTTTGCAATTAGAGTGAATGACTCGAGATAATGGCATCCAATTGGTTACACGGAGTTTAATTTCTCCGGTTTTCTATATGGTCGAAATGTCGCTTGAGAATCGTATTAATGAAAGTTTTGGAGACTTTTGACAAACGGTGGTTGAAACTTTACGCTGATTATATTCGAGTTTGCAATTTTCGAATCTAATTATCGAATTCTGTCATTTTGATTGCATTTTATCATGTCAGTGAATAATTGATTGTTTTTCCCTTCCCTTTCACAATTTTCATCTTACAAACATCAAGATATAATTTCATTCGCATTGTGCACAATGTCGAATTTAATTATCAAATTCTTTTCTTTCTACTTTATCAATATCATTTGAATTCTGTTAAATTTTATATAAAAAATTTATTTTCAAAGATTTTTTACAGTAATTTAAAACATTCTGTCAGAGTTTTTCAAAAAAAAAAAAAATCTTCCTATTTGAAAAATAAATAGTTAATCATGAAATTAATTAAGAAAAAAAAATATACCATATATAAAAGAAGTAGGGGGGGGGGGTATTTTAAAAGATTTTCGTCCCCGTGTGCAATTTCGTTTCACGTGCATGGCTATTCAATATCAAATGGCTTTCAGTCCCAGAGGTAGTTACTCGCTTTTTGTCCTCTATGAAAGTCGCGCGGGTGATGAGGCAGACCTCATGAGCTGTCAGCGCCTCTAGCTGGTGGCAAACGATAACATCGCAAACTGACCCACATTTACGACAGAAAAGCTCTCTAATGAAAACATTAAAATTAAAAAAAAAAAAAAAAATCCTCTCCATTTTTCATTAACCCTTTTTTCTCGTTTTATACTATATAAACGCGCACGAAGAACGCAAACATTACATTCTGTATACAGTTATTATCCGCATATACAAAGCAAGACCTGTTCTATAATTAACACAATTATGTCTGAGCAATCACAAAAAAAAAAACAGAAATGTTGCGAGAAAATATTTTTTAGTCACGGTTCTCAATAATGTATTTTATAAATAATGGGTGAAAAGCTCGCTTTTTACTCCACAATCGCAGTTATTAAATTTACAATTCCAGAATAAGCGGAATTTAATAAACTGAATTATTTAATTTTGATAAATGCATTTTCATGTAAAGCATATGATTTATGTTTTTCTCTATTTTATTTTTTTATTTTCTTAGAAAAATATACATAGGGTAGGCACTAGTTAGGAAAATTCGGGAAATTAAAGAAAAATTCAGTTCAATAAATCAAAATTTAAATTAGTTGTAAGCATTTATTGATTAAAATTATTTTTTTTAATCACATTTTTGTCACTTGTTTTGCGATACCTTTTCCATTTTCAAAGAAAGGCAATTTAATCAAAAATTACAATTGATAGTAGCAAACAAAAATAAAAAAAAAGCATATAGCTTTTTTGAAGTTTTCGTTATTTTTTATCTATACCACTTTTTTTTATAAACAATCAAAATTATTGTTAATTGGGTATGAGCAATTATTATTGAAGTCACAATTTTCATGATTCCAATTAAAAATCAGTTATTTTCAACAATATGAATTTTATTGCATTTTAATTTCTTTACTATTTTCTTTTTATTTTTTTTAAACGAACACACAATTCAGTTCAATATTTTGTTTTTGTTTTTTTTTTTTTTTTAAAGGGATCGTGTTACTTGGAGCGTAAATATTGTTGTAAATTGTTCATTTGATGAAGTTCGTAACGATCGACACGAATAACGGGTAGTAATAACGTAAGTCATTAAAAAATATACTTTATCGTTGAAGTGGTTTTTGCGCCGTCGGACTATTATATGGATCGTATTTAAAGTTGTAAGCATTTTATACATATTTACTAAATAATTAGATTTCAACATTGCAAATGGACAATAAGATTAAATCTGCGAATTAACTAATTTTTGAATTACTGATTGGACAATATAATTTTCTTAAATTTGAATTAAAATTTGATAAAAAATTTTAAAATCAATACTTAGCACAAATATTAAATGAATAAAAAAAGTAATGTTAATATTTTATATACCTAATGGAACTGAAAGTGGTACAAAAGTATACGGGAGCTTAAAATTAATGTTGAATAATGTGTTAATAAAATACTTACAGAATCCTAAAATAATCGTAATAAATATATAAAATAATCAAATGGCGTAATAAATGAAAGACTAATCGTAATAATAAAACGAAGCATATAATTCAAATACATATAAAGTAATTTCAATTGCAATAAAATGAAATATATGCAAATGGATTTTAATTAAACCAGTTTTTTTTATGTATAGATATATATATATATATTATATATTTTTTTTAATAACGAAATCTCTATATCTTATACTACTTGGACCACCCGATGCCTTACTTGACGAATCTGACTAATTAAATGAGAGTTTAACGAAGCTGGCGCGTTTCAGAGACAGTAATTAAATCTCACTTTGTCCCTCTGCTTTTGCACCACTTTGTGTGTTAAAATTACGTCGATAGTAATCTGATGAGATGAAGGCTCATCATCCTCTCTTTGGGAAAGCTCTTTTGCTTATTAGAAAACTGTTTTCAGATGATCTGGCAATTATGAAAGCCTCTTGAAAAAAAAGAAACATTCACTGTCTATAAAA